CCCTAACCCTAACCCTAACCCTAACCCTAACCCTAACCCTAACCCTAACCCTAACCCTAACCCTAACCCTAACCCTAACCCTAACCCTAACCCTAACCCTAACCCTAACCCTAACCCTAACCCTAACCCTAACCCTAACCCTAACCCTAACCCTAACCCTAACCCTAATGGTCCATCCATGTCCTAACAACACCCCCCTTTTAATGGAAAAGAATAACGTCCACGTTATTTAAATCCAATTACATACGTACTGACAGGCCCGCCTGTCACATGCCCTCGCACGCGATTACCGCGTGCTTGGAGCGTTCCTTCTTCGAGATAGCTTAGCTTAATCTAGGTATATAGTTAGACTGTTGAGATCTTTAGATCTTAGCTAATTTTAAAAAGGCAAGCTTCTTTGTTCTACGATTACGATCCCATACCAAGACTAACATTTGGTAGCTCGGCTCTTGTTTACATAAAATTCGTTTTCACCTTGCCGTCGACTCCGGTTGTCGAGGAGGGGTTTACGCATTCCTGGGAGTGATGGGACTCAATCAGTCAATCGTCAATGGAATATATAGAAGAGAAGAAGAGAGCTGAGCTCCCAGCGTCTCAGGCTAGCTATATATACATGGATAAGGTTCAACAAGCTGCGGCAGCAGCAGCCATGGAGATGCCCACATGGCAGTAGCCATGGATAACCACGGGAGTGGCTATCCACGTCCATGGCCACGTCCATCTATGTCCTAACAGGGAGGGTCCGGAACCCCCTCCCAACATCTATTCCCGCCCACCTGCCCTCCACTAAAGGAGGTATTACTGGTGGGGATGGTGTTATAGGCGGTAGTGATTGGGGTATTACTGGTAGGGACGGTTCAATGGGTGGTGGTAATTGTGGTGGTAATTGTGGTGGTAATTGTGGTGGATGTGTATGTGATAGCGAGGACTGGAACAACGACTGTGTTTTGGAAGAGGTTGCAGGTAGCAATCCGGTATTTTCGAGAATTCTGCGAGTGGTCGTTCCAGAATCAAGCGTGAGAGATCCCGAAAATCTATCAAAAGGTCGGAGGGAAAGGGGCGAGGATAAGGAGGAACAATTAGAAGGAGATTGGGAAAACGATTGATCAGGTGGGCTCCGCCAGGGATGGCTCGGCCCCCCAAAGGATTCGAAATGGACGTGCCCCCTTCTGCGTATAGGGTTGTGTTTGTGTGATATGATAGCGGGTAACTATTGTGATGTGTGCACAAGAGGCAAATGTTATGGTCGGACCTGAGTAGTCTATGTGGGCTCCGTGTGGGTGGAGAAAAGAGGTGCCCAAGAGAAGATTCGGTTTTAGTGGGCCGGGATTTGTTGATCCCTGATATGAATGAATCTCTATAGCTAACCCGTGCTGCTTTAACAATTGCAGCGACTCCAGAGAGTCCTCCTAGTGGGATACATGTGCCTTTAAGACCCTAAGTGGTCGGGGTGGTGCTGCGCTTGCCGGAGGCTCTGCTGCGTTGAGGCTCTGTTGCGGCTCTGCTGACATATATGAGAATAAACTGAATAATGGTTTCAGCACAGCCATTTTGAATGGCTGTATGCTGAATAATTTCGTCTGCTGGGGGAACCGAGAATTAAGTGATATGTAGTCCCAGGTACGTACGTCTCCTGGACAGGGAGAGCGTAGGTCTCTGGGTGATCGGGGGTTGAGAGGGTTATAAATCCGCTGTCTATGTCTCTGACGACGTGTCTAAATATTTAAAGAGAATGGTAGTTGGACAGCAATGAATAGAAGATATAAGAGTTGTCTCGGGTGCGTCGTATGGGTTGAACAATTTGATGGAGTAGGAGGTCGGATTGAAAAAAAGGGTATCTATACAGCAATGGATAGGAGAAATAACGGTGGTTCCAGCTACTGAAGATAGTCAAAGAGCCTGCGCGCTCGGTGGGTGTCGGACCGGCACCTGACGCGGCTTGAACGGGGCTGGTAGTAGGTCGGACTTGAAGATAGTCAAAGAGTTAGGGCGTCATGGGGGTTGAACAATTTGATAGGTTAGGAGGTCGGGTTCAAGATAGTCTGGACAGCAATGGATAGGAGATATGTTTGTCAGATGGATGGGACCCAGCAACGGACGTCTGACCGGGTGGACGTGAGGCGTTATGGGTGGGTGTGGTCGTGGTTTAAGGAGCTTCTTCCAGCTGCTGCAGCAGTGGATAGACAGCAGCCCAAATACGTACGTCTCCTGGTCAGGGATGGACGTCGAGTGTTTTGGGTGGATATACAACGAATAATCCCGCTGTCTATATGTTTGACAGCGTCTCTGAATACTGAGAGTTAATGTGAGACTTAATGCTAGTCCACAGATCAAAGATCAATCGTCAAAAGAATGAATAATAAAAGAGAGGAAGAGAGCGGAGCTCTCGACCTCTCAGGCTAGCTATATATACATGGATAAGGTTCAGCAAGCTGCGGCAGCAGCTATGGAGATGTCCATATGGCAGTAGCTATGGATAGCCACGGGAGTGGCTATCCATGTCCATGCATCCATGTCCTAACAGGGTCGCAGGCTAAGCACACCTAAAATCAAGTCATCCACTATCAGGATGACTTGGGAATAAAGGTTAATTGAGGTATATGTCCATATACCTTTGACGTCTTATTCTTGATAACGAATAGTGATGCGAAGCTCTTTAAAAATACCGCGTATACGACATCCCCCCGATGTCTTTGGGGAGCTAGCTGCTTAACTGGCGAGACCTAGAAAGTTACTACTAATGAAACTCCTAAATGTGAAAAAGGATTCATTACTAAAACTAGTGCGAGCCCTCTGAGATGGCGGCCACGGTGATCTTATTGTTGTGGGAGATTGTGAAAGCTCATAACGCTCTCCCGATATTTTAGGAGGCTTCAAGGTTGGTTAGCTATGAACTATGCTCTTGGAGAAACTGGAAAGGGGTCCCCCACGTACCTTATGCAATATGACATTCTACTTTTTATGAACCAACTTCCGCTCTTGAAAGTACTAGTATTATTTTACTTTTGCGCCCCGTCTGTTCCACCCTTTAGCATATTACTACTTCCCATTTTCTATGTATGCTTCGTGTACTTTGAGTATACTCACTTAAGTGGTTAAAAGGGTGAACCCACGGTACCTTACACACGGCTTCGAGGTTCTCAAACAAGGCATTCAAGAGGTCTCAAAGGACTGTTATAGCAATTTATGTAAAATGTAGCTCCTACTTGTCAAAGTACTAGTATTTTTTCTTCTTCTGTCCTATCTTGTCGTCTACCTCCGTTCGTCTATGATGGCCGTGGCTAATATTCTTGCAAATCTAACGCTGCGGCTGAACAGTATAAAGGTGCTATAGTTAAGTAGCACAACTTTTAAGTGTTAAGCTCTCTAAGCTCTAGTTAGTGGGTAGACCGCTATAAAATGCGTTAATAACTGGTACTAATTCATTTATACTGTGATACTCGCCCTAATTAATTGTAAGTATAGCGAGTCTCTCACTAAAATACAAGGGACTAGCTACCATACTTTAGGGAGCCTAGCCACTAAAGCACTGTCCTACTCAAGCCCCCGTCATACTGTACAGCCACACTTCAATTTCGATTACTAACTGTCCACATCTCCAGCGCTGTAATTTTAGCTCAGCCATCTTCCAAGTTCCTGTTTATGTTCCTTCACATAATATTTCTCGGATGTCAATGCCATCATACTTCAATGTTCATAATCATTGTACTACCTAACTAAATCAATTCATTACATGTTTTAATAAATTCGATTATTATTTCACAATGAGATAGATAACCGTAACAGTAAATCGGAGAACCCCTATCAAAGTCGGCTCCGATGATTCGCCAGAGATTATCATCCCAGTCTAGATATACTAACTTGGTTAGACGAGACTGAAGTATCACCAAGACCAAGTATCACAGAGATCAGTATCGCATAAATCATAAATCATGGCATTGCCTCCTGAGCAAATGCCCCTTCTTCAATCTGACTCGAATGGTTACCAAAACGATATCATTATGGCTACTACAGATGAGAACCCCGAGATCACGATGCCTAACGAGGCTGGTGATGTCGCCGGCAACATTGACCAAGATGAGGCTCGTCGTATCTTGCGCCGAATTGATTGGCGTATAATGCCACTACTATTCGTAGCCTACATGCTCAATTTCATGGACAAGACCATCTTGTCCAGCGCGTCAGTTTTTGGCTTACGAGAAGATACTCACTTAAAGGGCACTCAATACTCCTGGGTCTCGAGCGTCTTTTACTTTGGCTACTTTATCTGGGCCTATCCCACCACCTTATTGATTGCTCGCTTACCCGTGGCCAAATATCTTGCCGGCAACACCTTTATCTGGGGTGCCGTGGTCGCCTTTACTGCCGCGTGCGCTAACTACGGCGGTCTCATTACCGTGAGATTCTTTCTTGGTGTCGCCGAGGCCACCGTCTCGCCGGCTTTGATGTTCATTACATGCACTTGGTATACTCGAGATGAGATCCCCATTAGAACAGGTATCTGGTTCGCGGGGAACTCAGTTGGTGGTGAGTGAAAAATATAAGAAAAATGCCTAGTAAAGATGTAATGGTCTGTTGAGAGGCTCGAAATATTGACCGTAGCTATCTGTCTAGGCATCATCTCGTCACTTCTTGCGTATGGGATCGGCCACATTACCCATAGCATCAGCCCATGGCGTTGGATGTTCATCATCCTCGGAGTAGCGACTTTCTTGTTAGGGTTCGGGTTATTATTCCTACTACCTGATTCCATTTCCAGCGCCAAGTTTTTGACACCCCGAGAACGGCAGTGGGCTGGCGATCGGGTTGTCATCGCCGGCACAGGTCGCACGGAGAATGCCGGTTGGAAATGGGAGCAGATGGTTGAATGCCTACAAGATCCCAAGACGTGGCTGATCTGGTCTCTTGCGCTGCTCTGCCAGATACCCAATGGCGGTACCCAGAATTTTGCCAATCTAGTCATTACGTCGTTTGGATTCACGTCTCTGCAGTCGACGCTTATTAACATCCCGTATTCCTGCATCTCTATAGCTGCTATCTCTGGGACTGGGTGGTTGGCCGGACATTTCCGATCACTGAATTGTATTCTCATCGGTCTTATCGTGGTGCCGCCAGTAGTTGGGTCCGCATTGATCGGAAGCCGGAGCTCGATCCCCCACGGTGTTTCTTTATTCGGCTATTTTCTTCTATCCACCGGACCGGCCGCTCTTCCCTTGCTTCTATCGCTTGTGCAGTCCAACTACCGTGGTGTTACGAAGAAGATGACGATGACGGGCATGCTTTTTATTGCGTATTGCACCGGAAAGTACGTATCACATCACACTCTAAAGTCAATCGCTCCCGAGTGGTTAGCCACTCAAGATTATTCGCTAATGCACATACCTACATAGTATCGTTGGCCCTCAGCTCTTCATATCAGCCGAAGAGCCCACTTACGCCACTGCCTTCCGCGCCATCATGATATGTTATGCCTTGGTGGTTTGCCTTGTCGCGATCCTGAGGGTTTATTTACAGTTGGTCAATAGACGGAGGCAGTTAGAAGAAGGGATGGAGGGCAATGCTGGGACCTCTGGCACCGTCGGCGGGGGTAAGGTGGTAGACATTACTAATGACCTTAATGTGAATGTGGTGGTCAATGAGGTTCGACTCAGGCCTGAGGATTATGAAGATGTGACGGACTGGAAAACTCTGGGTTTCCGCTACAGGCTGTAGAGACTTCCTCCATCTTTGGTGTACCACCAACGTGGCAGTCTCGCTCGACACAATGTTGTCAGGATTCACTCTACCCACACAGCATTACAGCATAACAGTATTAATCAACATATAATCCGGGCAGAGAAGGAAAGTGCGCTGATACTTTCAGGCATAGATTACACGATCAAACGCTGAATGTTATTGATCTTCTCCCTCTACCTCCCAGACTAAAACCCCAAATCAGTTGAATGGACAAAGACATCTTACATCACGAATTCGGCATTTAATTGTGTTTCCCGAAAACTTCATATAGTATTCATTATGAAAATCATGGATAGTAAAAAATATGGATCGTCTGGGAGACCAATCTCGTGGGCTGGACGTAACCAGTTTTCAGTGCCAAAATGGATAAAAAATCCCGATCCAGCCGACATCAAATCGACACTCCTAGACATGTATCATGACTCCGAAGTCGATGTCAAACCTTTGGCCAGTGGTTTCAATCGGGTTTACGAAGTAGAATGGCCGAAAAGGAAAGCAGCTTCAAAGGCTATCATGCGAGTAATGCTGCCAGTTGAACCTCATGACAAGACAGAGTCCGAGATTGTCACCATGCAAACCGTACAACGAATATCAAGCTTATATATTCCGAAAGTCATTAATTCGGACTCACATCCTAACAACCCAATCGGGTACGAATGGATATTATTGGAATATATCGAAGGTACACCTCTCCCCTTCGTGGCGGGGATGGAGGAGATCGACTGGATCTTGATGTCCGAACGGAGCCAAAATGCACTGATATGGCATTTGACCAGGTTTTATCGCGCGATGTTTGAACATCGGCTCACGTACATCGGCAACCTCTGGCCAGGAACTACAGCAGAGTCAACCAAGTTAGGGAACCTCATCTCACCAGATTTCTATTGGGCAGACCACACTAGCTGTGTGGTCGACAAGGGTCCATTTCGTAACAGTCATCAGTGGCTCAGTGCACGTCTCAAGATAAAGTCTCGGGTCTGTCAAGACACGACGAGCACATATCCAACTTTCGCACACCGAACCGAGCACATCATCAAGCGTCTCCGAAGATTGTTGGAAGACCTCTTCGACCCATATATAGTAGAAGACACCATCCTCACCAACTATGATCTTAGCGCTGACAATGTCATAATATCTGAAGAGGATGATGAAGCGGTAGGTGTGGTGGATTAGGAATGCACATCGGCCCTGCCATTGTGGAAAGGCTGTGATCTTCCTAAGTTCCTTCAAGGAAAAGCACGACGTCAGAAGCCTCACAAGAGAGACTACCAAGATGACAATGACGATTGGCTCCCCGGGGGTGAAGAAGACCACGATAAACATATATTGCAATACGAACGCACCAGGCTCCAGAATTTCTTCGTCCAGGAGATGTTGCGTCTTTGTCCCGAGTGGGTAAGGGTGTATGCCTCTCCCATGTCACGTCTACAGAAGGACTTTGACCTTGCTGTGGGATCTTGCGATGATGTGGTCACTCAACCCTTGATTAAGAAATGGCTTGATACCATAGAGTCAGGTGTAGAGAATCTTCGGCTTCAGAATCTTGACAACCGCCGTCGACCGTGTGTTTCCAATCTGGGACTTGCTATACGTAGTCTTCAGGACCGCATATACGATAATACCAACACTTCCGACACCGTAAAACGCCCTATCGTAGGACGGGAATCGTGAATTTGGAATTCGATACGATGAAAGGAATAAAGAGGAAAGAAAAGAAAATCGCCAGTCGAGATGTCTCTATGCGATATTACCCCATTCAGCAACCACTTCACCATATCTTACCATTCTTTTTTCTTCGAGGGTTATGATAGTCACATGTCACCGAAGGACAGGCTAAGGAGACCCAAGACATGATATAGCTAGGTTACCCTATTATTTCATATTGTTATTACTCCGAGGGGTAAGATTGGAGATTTGTTGAGGGTAGTACCTAAAGTCTGGAAAGGGAAGCCAATCATGCGCCCGAATATAACGAGCTGGATCAACCATGGTGGGCACGACAACTTCGCTTCCCTGGGTCTCGGATCTAGCAATATAGAAACGACGACAAATTCTATCCCACACTACCTGCCTGCATTATCGAAGAGCAATGCTAGGAATTTACGAATTACCTACTAGGTACATACTTAATACCCTAGTAATCAGGTATCTAGGCCCTTGGATTAGAGTCCAGACCTGAGCACGTTGACGTCGTCTGACCTTAGCTCAATCCCAAAAATAGCTTACATAGATGGTATCACAAAGAATAGAGTGATTCGCTACCTAGGTATTCAGTTCACGGACTCTGGCCGACTCTCTGCTTTCGGATACTGTGATGATGTTCCGGGGAAGAATCTCACGATACTACCACTACTGCCCGCTACGTAGTGAGCTCCGGAGGACATTTGTCTTCGTGAAGACTTGGCGCGGACTTTGTGTATTAGTCAACCGTGCAAAATGTCACGATATGTCGTGTGTATGGAACGAAAGAGATTTGAAATATAACGCATCTGCTTGGTCTATTGGCTCGCCACCGAGCCCACCTGCTTTACATGCACTAGGTAGGTTACCTAGGTAGCTAGCTGTGGGTCATGCATCAATGGTCTGCAGCAGGCACGAGGTTATCTCGGTTCCCCACGGTCTGGCCTGTTGCCCACCACTAGCCACTTACCCCTGAATTCTTTTTATTCTTTTTTTCTAGGAACGATACTGTTCGCTCTGCTAAAAGTACACTTAACCTGAGAGAAAACGGGTAGAAAGGGAAAATGCTCCCCTTTTTTTGCTAGTTGGCCTTATTTACCCCGGCTCTGGTATACACCCCCGGACAGTTGATTCAATAATATACGGCTAAATGGGACGACATGGTTCTCAACGTCACCTTCCTACCACCCCAACCGCCATATATCCTCGGTCCTTGCTACCCCAATTTGATAACCTATTACGGTCTTCCGTTTTCCGAAAAAAAAGTTGAGTTGTTGCTGGAGGCGGCACGGAAGACTGTTTCGTTCAGTTGGAGGTTTGTGGATGTGGATAGATGCTGTAGCCAAGACTTGAGCTACCTAGTTATTGTAGATGCTATGTTCGTACGTACGCAACTCGATGATCTTGCAGTTTTGCACGGGTCAAATTCACTTTCTTCTTGTCCACACTCTGTTTTTTGTGCTTGTCACGGGCCCCGGCCCGTACTCCTTGTTATATCATCGCGCATCTTCTACATTTCACCATTCTTTCTTTTTCTTGGCTTTCCAACTACCCCTGGGGGGTGGAAGGGTTGAAGCTCGCGTAGAATGGAACCCCCTACCTAATGGGTATTTAATCGTTTGAAGAGACCTGGACCAGACACATCATCCTGAGCGACCAAACTCCGAGAAAACCACCTCCCCTTATCTTTCCAGATTATAATAGGCCGTGCTCTCATAGGAGTCTTCTTGAACCGAGAACGCTGTTCAAGGGATAGTCACACAAGCAACCTGTAAGAATCGTCCACTCTCCTCTCCCCTCCCCTTTTCTTCATCCCTCCGAAGAGACTCTGGTATTAGGATTGTTATCTGACGTATAAAGCAGTAATTCACATCAAACTTCCACACCTTCCTAGACTGATACCGGTAAAAAGAGACAAGGCATCGTTCATCCAACCTCACCGTCATCAGTCTCTCTCCTTATTCATCGTAAGCTTCAGATCAGGAAATCAGGATGCGTTGGAATTTTGGTTTGGCATGCGTAGCCGCTGTCTTCGGTCTTGGTGCGTATTTATCCACCCTTTAGGAGAAAACAGGGAGCAGGTAGGGGGTGAGTAAGAGAGAGAGGCAAAAGGAGGGGGGGGGATTAAGAAACCAAGCCTGAGGAAACTACAAGAGGCTAACATATCCGCCATGTGCGAACCCCACACTTCAGCACCCGAAGCCAGCGCAGACGTCTTCCGCGACCCCGACACCGGGTTCACGTTCTCGCAGTATAACGCACCGATCACGACGGGCTCAACCTCCATCGCAATGCGAATAGCGATCCCAAGCCCGGCACCGTCAGGCACGCCGTACGACGCGGTCATTCAAGTCGTGGCACCCATCTCCGCCGGCTGGGTCGGCGTCGCCTGGGGCGGCTCTATGACAAACAATCCTTTATTGGTAGGGTGGGCGAATGGTGCTAGTGCTGTGACGTCTATGCGCCGGGCGACGTGAGTACCCTCTAGATACATATGTGCCGAGAGATGACCAATCTCTCTCCCTTTTGATGAATTCGAATGATGCCCCTACCACCCCATCATAATAGATGGCTGTGGAATATCTAGCTAACACACAGCGCAGCGCCCACACAGCACCCACCGCCTATACAGGCGCGACCCTGCAAGTCCTGAAAGGCGGCACCAAGACGAACGGGACGCACTGGCAGTTCACGGCCAAGTGCACAGGGTGCACGCAGTTCACGACAACGGGGACCACCACCAAGACCCTCAACCCGGCTGGCACCAACCGCCTCGCCTTCGCCTACTCCAAGGCCAAGCCCAGCCAGCCCGCCTCCGAGTCTAGCCCGATCAATGTACATGATCTGTTCAATTACTGGGAGCATGATTTCGCGTCTGCGGGTAATGCGGCGTTTCAGGATTTGGTGGCTAAGAATGCTTGAGGCTACCTTACGCCTAGGTAGGTAGGTACCGAAGGGGAAGGGGAACGTTTAGATGAGGATGAAAAGGGGGAGGATGCTGAACTTGAAGAAATAAAATTTAACAACACCACTTGCTGCGTATATAGGTGCATGGAGATCAGGGAGATAGATGTAAGCAAGTACTGTCTTTTCCGCGTGTATATGTCCTTCACGACTTGTACATAGATTTAGTACCTAGGTATCGGGACAGGAAGGTGTCCGTATTCTTCCTCATCTATCATACATGCATGCATACATATAAGTTGAATCTGTAAGAAGCACGTTTTTTCTGAGTTACATCATGTTCTGGGATGACATTTGAGGCTTAAAGGATGGTAGATACCTATTTTCGGGTGCTTACTGTACTACAGGCAAGAAAACGTGGTGTTGGTGGTGTTGATGATACTAGGCGAGTGACACCACGCGGGAAGTAATACTAGGTACTAGGTACCTACTTACCTACCTAGTAACCACAGTATATCAGGTTCCAAGGTCATTTATTATTAACGATATTATATTCTAGGTTTCGTGGAAAGTAAACTAAAATAAGAATTCACCAACACAGCTGTAATCTGATTCTAAGTTGGTACGTATGCAAACATTGATGGACAACAACAATATCAACAACGACAATTACATGAACTCAAGATTCTAAAAAAAGAAGCTATTTACCTATCCTAGAGAACCTAAGAACAACATTTGACACGCATACACGGAGATTTCGCTAGGTAGGTTCAAGACACCCAAGTTCCCCTTTAAACGGTAATCCATGTCCGTCCGCCTGTTCAACCTAGATTACCCACAGCAAGAGTTTTCTCCAAACCATCCGGGGGGAGGGAAGGGGTCGATGTGTTCGTCTACCCAGGTATCTAAGCCTTAATAGCCATCTCGCCCATGGGGAGAGCCGCGAGCCCTGTTTTTGGTGATTAGTATGTGTCTTCATCTTCCCCGTTGAGTACAGTATGGAGAGAATGTGATACTCACAGCCGTCAACATCCTCGGGAGCTTGTTGTTCCTTGGTGCAGGCGCTGTACTGGTCGGGGGTCTGGGCGTGGATGCCGGCGGTAGCGCAGTCGGTGTTGAGTCCGCACGAGCCGATGTTGTCCATGGCCTTCTGGAGGGTGTCGCCTTCCCAGCCGAAGAGGTAGTCACCGTGGGCAGCAGGGCCACTAATATCCATATGTTAGTTTGCATGCTTACAAGCCTACATTGGTTGGTGAAACGTACCCGAGGTTCATGGAGTAGACGTATGGGTTGGAGCCGTCAGTGGGGAAGTCGTTGCTGTTGGAGAACTCGGTCACGTTCCACATCAACTCGTACATGATCTGCGGGAGCTTGGTGGGGTGCGTCGAGGGGCAGGCTCCGCCGCCGGTAGCACCGCTGCCGGAGGAGTACGCAACGTGGGACTGGTGGTCTGGGGAGTCGAGGTTCTTGCCATCCCAGCAGCTAAAGTAGCGGAGTTAGTTTGGGTTTTCTGAGTGAGAATATAAAAGGAATGGCAATTAATCAATATCAAGTTATAGGTAGTTAGACGTACGTGGGGAAGATGATGGTCTGTCGGATCATCTTGCAGCTCTTGGAGCTGGGAATATCGACGGTGTCGGAACCAGTGCAGGGAGCACCACCAACGAAGGTGTTCTCATTGGGAGACGTCCAGCATCGATGGCAGATGTTCGACTTGGCGACTTTACTGGGGTCAGTGTTGGCGGCGTTACCAGCCAACATGCGGAAACCCTAGTTTGCTATTAGGGGGGGACTCGCCTACATGAAATGGGGTATTCTGGGTAAACGTTACCTTCTTAAAGGCAGTGGTCTTTCCACTGGGGATGTAGTAGAGATCGAGACCACCCTTGTTGATGAGCTTTCCCTGAGGGCCACCATTGCCGACCTGAGGAACTCGCTTGTATGTTCCGTTCTTGGACTTGAAGAACATGACGGCGGTCCAGTAGTTAGACTTGTCCTCCTTGAAGGTGCAGGACGTGCATGTGGACGAAGCCAGGTCGTGAGTAGCGGGGTCCATGGTGACGTTGAGAGAGTTACCACCGACCAGCTGGTGCAGGTGAGGAGTGTACGCCATACCGGGGTTGACCAAGGGGTCGATACGGTCGACAACTAGTTGGGAACACGCAAATCGCAACATGGAATTGCCGAACTGAGCGGCGGCATTCTGCGACAGCAGAGCCGCAGCAACGAGGGAAGTTAGCTGCATCGTGACTGTATTCTACCTCGAGCGTATTTGATTGACAAGCCTTTGGTAAAGAGTTGAGCAAGACGTTGAGGGCGAACAACGATGGTGTAGTTAGTTGAGCGCTGGAATACAAAGGGCGACGGTTACAGGAGTAAGAATCCGGAGAGTTTGAATTCTGGGGAAGTTCGTGATGCCCGTGCTACTTGTATGATCCGTTGGAGGGCGCTCTCGCCGCCTTTCACCCACGAACTGCCGAGCCCGAAGAAGACGCCCGAAGATTTTCATCTCTTGGGTATACCAGAACGATTGGTCGGGATGATTCTCTACCTTGATTGATATGATTTCCGCTTTGGGGGATCTGGAATTGCCATAGTTCCGTGGTTGCTGATTGATCCTTGGGCCCCTGGCTTTTCAACCCCCTTCTGGCTGTATCGCATTTACCCGGTTATTTACGCCTCCCAATTATAGAACCGTGATAAATGGCAGAGTAGCAATACGCCGCAACCTAGTGTTCGGAAATATGGGTCTGAATAAACTTGGGTTGGAATACTCTTACCTATAGGCATCTACTTAGTATCTAGGTTAGGCAATCTAGTATGTGTGAATGCATTGTTTGCCACGGGTAGGAATACACTTGCTTGACTGACTTACACGCCTAAATTAGGTACCTGAGATTGCTGGGTAGATAGATTGCTTTGAATAAGTCTACCAGGCTTCTGGTTCTACCATGATGAAGAATCTCCTTTCACCAAGTAGTTCATCCCATATTCGTCTTCACATCTTTATATCGCCAAACTGATTCAGCGTCATCTTTCCCACTACCTACACATTTAGCGATCGATCGACATCGTATAGCGTATAGCCCTATGACCGAAGGCTCGGCGTGGCCTACCAGGATCCTCAACATGTGTAGTTATCACTATATCCGGACCAAATCTCGGTCCTAATGTAGAGAGTAGGAAGCAATGCCAAGATATACTTATAAGCTATGGTCCGGCATGGCATACCGCGCAGACGTTGAAACACATACATACTAGTGTTTGTCACTTGGGAATCTAACCAAGGTCACTGTACTTGATTCGTATTGCTGGTGTGTCTAAACTGTCATTGGTACCTAGCTCACCCAGATTTCTCTCTTTTCATTAAAGTACGACACCTAGTGATAGGATTGCAGATGTGGGTGCAGCTGGTAAGATGGATTCGTGCAGCCAACTATGTCGTGAACCTTATATTGCGGCAGGGGAGATAACCCCCTTGATGGACCGGCTAACTAGGCCGCAGGACACACTTTGAGTGACAACCACATGGCCGAGGAGATTGAATTCCAAATCACTCAAGCACACGAGTATCAGAGTACCCCCAAAATGAAACGACGTGCGTATCCACATCATCTTAGGTTCAGGGCAGATGCCAAACGCAACACCGAGTACGGTCCATAGTAGGCCCGCAAGAATAGCATGTCGATGACAGGCTCTTAAGCAAGATATATGACATTTCAGTTTATTTATTAGCGATTTCATTAAAGTATTGGGCAGATAAGCCGTTTGAAGTTTATCATTCTTCAGAATTTGCACCTATCTCGCCTTGCCTGGGGGAACAAGATGCTTGGAAGGCTCGAGAACGGTGATTGATGACGTGGGTCTATTCAAATTCTACCTATCAGTGGGATATTAACTTGCTACCCTTTTTAAAAGATTTGTCATTTCATAAATACCAAAGGCTGGGAGAAATCTATCTACGTAATGAGTTGTGGAAGCCTCTAGAGACATGGCACTATTAGGTATGGGGCTTCTCTGCTAAGCCCTCGTTATCGATGAACTTCAATTACCAGGACTACCACAGGGAGTGGCGACTGTCATCCACCCGTCATTAACATATTTTTGATGCCTTCAGTTTATTTTGCCTCACGGCCGTGTTCGAGCCACTTTTCGCTTGTAGTTATGTCCACCAAAATATATCTTCGAACAGGACACGTTCTACATTCAGCCCCAACCCGAGATATTATGCAATAGATACCATCCCAAACCACATCTGTCTTGATAACAATCTTTGTCAAGAGCCTACTCAAGGCATAACCAGTAGTCTCCCTAGCCTCCGCGGCAACGATACCTACTAGGTACCTAGAGATCCCCGCGAAACATCGATGTTGTTCTGCGACTTTTAGACTTCGCCTGGCCTTGTGACAGATGCCAAACCGAAGCACATCCGAGATGATAACGATCTCTACTAGTTCGTGATCTGAAGTTTTGCAGAGCACCTTAATGCCTAGGTAAAGCACATAAGTAAAAGTTGGTCTCACACATTTTCATGAGGACCTGCACGACATGTCACCATCTATCTCTATGTCAGCAAGAAATATATTCATCATAAGCCAAGAGCTCAACTCTTCGGTGAAGGATGCCTTTATGTGAACTCGCATGCTTTTTGTTTTTTAATGTTTAACACGCCTTAGATTTCTTGCTTTTGTACTAAGATAGCCGGAATAAAAGGGAAACAGCGGGATTCCTATACTGCGAGAGGAAGCCGACGATTTTGTTGGGCATTATCACCACGATCCACGACTGGTATTCGTTGTGTCCATGACTACCTAGGTAGGTACTTACTAGGTACCACATGGTAAGAACCGTAATCAATAAAATTGATTCTTGCATTGAAAGTGTTGTCGTGGACCGCTCTGGACATCAAATACAGTCAGTCATGAAGCCAAAACTAAACTACAAAATTATATTCCTAAGGTAGTATTGTATATTTTCAGCGTCTTCTACACTATGTGCAGAATATGCAAATCCAGATACCAACAGTAAACTCTGGAATCCACGTGCAAAGTCCAGCTAGTCATCCGCATAGTCCCCCGTGATATCATGAAAATTTGCCAAAACCCACGTGAACGTTGAGGAAGTTGTACGAGAATCAATACCCGAAGGCAAGCGTTTTGTATCCTTTTATACATTCATACACTTATAGGCGTCTATCTAATTATGTACTTTCTTACCTCTCGCCGGCATTAAATTCGCTTCGCCTTATCCTCCGCACCAATTAACCTAGGTAAGTCTTTACACTTGACATGCCCACAGCGCAGTTATCACAAGCAAGTCCCGGGCGGGTCCGTTAAGCTATCACGATTATAGCAGATCCCGGTAGATCCTTGAAAAGACCGCCCGAATGTGACGGTGGAGCAAGATTGGGTGCCAATCAGCGAGGAGGAGGGGGAGGGGAGCCTTTGTCTGTCTCTTTTACCTAGGTAAGCCATCCGAAGCGCAAGAAAGGCAAAGGATTTTAAAAAAGACCGAAATTCCTACAGGGTTATGTAAGTAAGTCGAAAAAAATTCAGAGACAAGCCAATAACATAAAACGAGTCAAGATGTTAGGGGGTAACAGTATTCGCGCTGCTCTACTCCTTCATGTGATAGTCTCCGCCACGACGATCCAAGAGTCAGCACTCAAGCAAAATGGAGCAAAGGTAAGACACGTTACCTACCGAAGAAATGGGTGTTACTCCCTACCCCTTCAGAAAGAAAGAAGCTGGAAAAAAAAGCCTTTTTGTGGGTCGAGAGAAGAAAGGGGGGTGACCTACCTGGTAAATATCTGAAACAGAAACTAATTGCATGAAAGGACGTTCCGCTCGACCTGTCACCACATTACAATAACAAAGCATTCGGCACCTACCCGGGCGAGGCATCCTTCGACGGATTGGGCCAATCGTATCCAGCGCCGGATTTTGCAGCGCCCTACTACACCTCGAGTGACACCGGCATAGTATATACCTTCCCGGGTTACACCGGACCATCCGCACCGGACAACGTTGTATGCGACAACCAAAACATACCCGTGCCAACAAACAACGGCAACACCCCGTACTTCTCGGCCTCTTTCTTACTCTCTGAGGACAAGGAGCAGGTAATCGTGACCGGCAATGTGACGTTCACCTACACCGACAACACCACCTCGGTGTACGAGCTGCGCTCGCTCGACTGGTACAGCATCCTGACCATCAACCGGGGCCAGCTCATGTTCCCGAGCCGCTTCACGGCCACAGGGGTAAACTACAACCGGAGCCACATATACGAGAGCGCTGCCCCTCTGGACCCTGGGAAGGAGCTGCGTAGCATAAACCTTCCAGCAGCCACTAGTGTGGATGATGGCAGGTTGCACATCTTTGCTATCTCCCTGAGACACGGTGCTTCGTCAGGTGGTGTAGATGTACAGTCTGTCCGGCCAACTCAGAAATGGCTCGAAAGCGGCGCGCAGGCGGTCGAGGTCACGATCAACAACGTAGGATCTGAATGCATTTCCCGGGACGGATTGGTGCTATCTCTCTCTGGGGATGGGCTAGAAGCCACCGAAGAGGGATATCTGAAGCGACTGTGCCCGGGCGACCAAAAAACCATTACCGTCGGGGTAAAATCATCTTCCAGTGAACCCATCAACGCATCAGCAGTTCTCGACGATGGTACGAACCAGTGGTCCGTCGAGTTTGAGAATATCCGCTTCGGCTTGGTAGAATGGACGACCGACCTCGACAACCTCGCCAAGCACGAGAGCCCGGACTGGTTCAACGATGCCAAGTTCGGCATCTTCATCCACTGGGGCCCTTACGCGGTAACAGGCTGGGGCAACTCTTCGCCTTATGAGAGTTATGCGGAGTGGTTCTGGTGCGTGGCTTTTCCGTTACTTATTTACCTTACCTTGGGTATCTACCCCTTTAAGTACAAACACACATACTAATCCATGGTAAAGGTGGTACTCAACTCAAGATCCCACCCACGACCGCTCCGGCTTCCGTGACTACCGGCTCCGTACCTACGGTGAAAGCTGGGCCTACGACGACACCTTCCCATCCTTCACCGCGTCCGCCTTCGACGCCAAAGCGTGGGTCGACCTAATCGCCGACGCTGGAGCGAAGTACTTCGTGCTGACCACCAAGCACCACGACGGCTTTGCTTTATTCGACGCGGGGGCAACCACGAACCGCACGTCTCTACACTATGGACCGAAGAGGGATCTGCTAAAGGAGTTGTTTGATGCCGCCGCCGAGTATCAACCCTCGCTGAAGCGGGGAACCTACTTCTCGCTGCCGGAGTGGTTCAACCCCTCTTTCGCACCATACGGATACGACAGTTGGTCTGGCTTCCCGGCCACAAACCCATACACCGGCGCCGCGGAGTCATACACAGGTCACATCCCGGTCTCGGATTTCCTCTCGGACGTGATGCTCCCACAAATGAATGCGCTCGCCTACAATTACAGCACCGACATAATGTGGTGCGACTGCGGGGCCGCGAACGCCACAGCGCAGTTCGCATCGCGCTGGTTCAACACAGCGGCGGCGCAGAACCGGCAGATCGCGATAAACTCGCGGTGCGGGGTCCCCGAAGCCGCTGACTTCGACACGCCAGAGTACGCGCGGTTTAACTCGGCGCAGCAGCGCAAGTGGGAGAGTAATCTCGGGATGGACCCATACTCTTACGGGTACAACCGCGCGACGCCGGATGACGCGTACATGACCGCGACGGAGATCGTCTACATGCTCGTCGACATCGTGGCCAAGAATGGAAATCTACTGCTGGATATTGGGGCACGCGCTGATGGGAGCTTGGTCCAAATCGAGGTGGACAATCTGCGGGAGGCGGGACGGTGGATCCAGGCACATGAGGAGGCGATTTTCGGGACGACGTATTGGTTTGTGCAGAGTGAGCTGAGTAAGGGGGCGGATGTGAGGTTTACGCAGACAGGGGAGGCATTTTATGTGCTGTTTTTGGAACGGCCAGTAATTCAGGATGGTAGAATTAGTATTGCCGCGCCAGTGCCGATACTAGAGGGAGACGAGGTGAGGTTGCTGGCTGTTGAGGGGGGTGAGAATCTGACATGGAAGGTAAGTGGACAAGGTAGCGAGAGAGTACTTCGAATCGAAGTTGACGACACACTCCTGGACAAGGAAGAGTTTTGCTGGGTATTTGAAGTCAAGTATGCTTAGCTAGAAACTGGAACTATCTACAGTTAGGACGTTATATTTGGGATATTGGATAGAATGTCATGTGCGATAGACTCAAGCAAACAAACTCCTTGCAGTGAACCTTCAAACAAATGCAGCAAAGACTCCCGGTGACTCATTACGAGTCTTTCGAATGAAATTGTAATCCTTTTCATCGCTACTCCAGTGTCGTTCTTCGTAATTCCCTGGGCAAATCTGGCGGGCTTCTCCCATTTCGGTACTGCCACAGTCGACTTAGGTCTTTAACTCTCACTTTGCCGTCATATATCCCATTCGTATCTTCATGGAAACTGCCATGTAAGGCGACTTCGTCTTTAATAAAGCTCGCCCTTCGTCCAGCAAGCTCAAGCATGGGCCAACTATTCTCAATGCCCTCTCGCACATTGTCTTTTTCCGTCCCTCTTCCAGATAACTCCACAACACTGTTCATAAATTCGTTGCTATCAGCGCAGCCGATAAATTCGCCCTTGTAGTCGCGCACCAGTGGAAACATTCCATTAAGATAGTGTTGACAAAATTGATGCCCACCGCGTGTTGAAGTGCGACTGAATACACGACCGATATACCGAGGCATCGTTGGGGAAGCGTTCTCATTTGTCACGAAGTGTAGAATCCCCCATAACGCCACGAAGTCCGTCGTATGAGCGTAATGCTCAACATGGGAGATGGCACGATCAGATGCTGCTACCGTATATGTTGTTTCGTGTGACACATTTGACTCCTTGGACATCGAGGTAAAGCCAGAGAAACAGTTGTGCACATAGGAGGAGATACTGCTGTTAGAAAGTCGTCTCCTTGAACAAGGTGCGTGAGTCTCGACTGGAGAGTGGGTGAGTGGAATTTCGTCAATGGTCTTAGGAATCTGTGTACTGATGTTGGGAAACTTCCGTTCTACTTCTTGCGAGTCGGCATGTCGGTGTGGGTTGTTGAAATGATTCGACGCATTTCCAAACGTGTAGACTTCAAGTTTAGCCAGAAGATCCTGTGGTAATTCCTGCAAGAGCCAGTCCAGAACTAGGCCGCCTTCAATGCCGCCCTGTGAATGGAGGATGAAGACTACTTTTGAATACTGTGGATTATACAGCTTTTCCTTGACAATTTTGTAGGCTGCGCGAATGTCACCGGTCGCATATCCGAAGTTACGCTGAATCAGACACTCGACAACATCAAATATGACGCCCGTGGTACGGTTATGGACACCGATGATGGGCCTCTTGAAAGTCAATGCCAGACGATTGATGTTGCTTTGAAGCCACGCCTCCCTGCAGATTCATGAAGCTAGGTTAGTGACCACGCCTACGAAGTACTGGGTAGGGGTTTAAACATCACAAATCGCCAAGAAAACAGGAGTCTTACCCAACAGCAACGCCGTTCAAAAATATCCATTGTTCATGTGCATGCTCCTCCAAAGCGGGCGCATATTTGGGATCCGAGTTAAAAGTAATGGTTTTCCCGTTTAGGCCTAGGCATATGAACCAGTTTATCGCAAAGAAACCCGACATCCATATAGCCACCAACCATGCCGGAAAGAGTAGAGTCAAGGGCAAAACGAGGATGAAGGATCCTTGCAGAACTATCAGGATTGCATGAAGGAACATACACCAAATATTCTGCCGAGTGAGGGAAAGTTCGTCAAAGTGGCCCCCGTCGCAAGGGCGAACAGGCCAGAGTACCCAGGGTAGAGCCCAAGAGAAGGTGAAGAAGTGGTAGATATCCCACATTATAAGCTTCCAGGGCATATCGGTATAGCTATAGTTGATGATGGACTCGCCGCCGACTTGAGAGCCGAAGAACTCGGTGCGATCCATGACGAATGGTTGGGGTAGCCGCTGTCGTCTCGCTCCATGGGTTCGGGCGAAGATACCTGACGTGTATAGAAGGCAGGAGATCAAGACAACAGAGACGAGGCTGAAATAGGTAGAAAAGTCAAGGTGAGAGAGTATAGCTCCCGGAAGGGGATAGCACCCAGCTTTAAATAGGGTTACAATAGTCATCCTCGTTCGGTCTTGTCAGCTACTAGGCACTTATAATACCTATCTAGGTAGGTGCCTACTAAGGAGTGTACTAAAAAAGAGGCTTATCCTCCAAATTTTGGGGTGTTGCAGAAAAAAAGCGATGGACGTGATGCCTGTTGTGTCTGTCGGGAACGGCACGTAGCAGATAGCTATACGGTAACATCGTGGCTCGGCAAGACCCTCACTCAGTAGGGCTGAGAGGCTTCATCCCTTACCGTATATAGCCACACTTGCATCCAATAGGCAACGACATACAGAAGGGGTGAGTTGATCATGAATGAAAGTCATCTGGCTCATATGAGCCAGAGATTGTGTTACCGCGTGCTATAATTGGGCATACTGAACATTTGGGGTTGGCTGGTTGGTTGGTTGGTATCCATAGATATTTAACGAACATTTGGGGTGGATATCGATGGAGTGTGTTTTTGAAGTTGGGGGAAGGGTAGCGAGGAAGATCTTGGGGGAAGTGAAACAAAGGATGACTCTAAGGGATTTTCTATCTAGGGTGTCTTGGGTGTCTAGGATGTTTAGGTGTGGTTTTAGTTGATGCTGATTCGCCAGGGTAGGGTATTCGGCACATCTGTTAACTTGTACTACCCCGAAGAGTACTAACCTAGATTAGAATCTGTAATAAGTAACCGACGTCACCTGCGGTTCGCCCTTTACAGTTACATGTGCCTACCATACGATTTTATTAATCTTCAAGGTGCTTTGTCAACATTCTTAGAGCAGCCTATTTGAACTTTCAACTCTTTGGAGACAAGAAACAATCGCAAATCTTCTGAAATTCCATAGCCATCTACTTAGCCTTAAGATTATATAGCCAACTACTAGAAAAGTAAAACATGGAGGAGGCCCAGATTACATCGCCGGGGACGTCTGTCTCCAACCCCAAAGTCCTCATCATGATGGCTGACTATGGCCATGATCCCACCGGTGCGTCGCATCTTCAATACCCAATTCAATAACAACTTATTCGCACACATCACACTCAAGGTTCTAACTCGTACAGTATAGAGACCGCTGTTCCCTATACCACCTTCAAGAATGCCAACTACGCAATAAGTTTCGCGACCGAGACCGGACGACCACCGCGATGCGATAAGAAGCTATTAGAAGGGTTCACACAAAAGCTATTCGTACGCCACACACGCACAACCACTCCTCCCTACCTAATAGACCCAGTTTGAAGTATCTGGTGAGACAGAAAGGTCCTAATCATATATAACAGGGCGCAAGCAAGGAAGTCATCTCGATGTACCGTAAGATGGCTCTTAGCGAAGAAATGCGCCACCCGCTCTCATGGTCCGCGCCCGACTTCACTCTCGACTCCTTCGACCTCGTGCTATTCCCCGGGGGGCACGACAAAGGTGTGCGACAGATTATCGACTCGCCCATCGTTCACAGGCTCGTCGCAGACTACTTCCCCCAGACGAGAAGGCCTAGCAAGAAAGTGATTGCTGCTGTGTGCCACGGCGTCATGGTCCTATCCGAGTCTAAAGATGCTGAGGGGAAGAGCGTCATACGGGACTGTAATACGACAGCACTGCCTGCGAAATTTGAACAGGCTGCGTATTGGAGTACAAGGGCGGTGCTAGGTGACTACTATAAGACCTATGGTCACGGGAGCGCAAATGTGGAAGAATCGGTAAGACACAACGTTGCCTACCTACTTATTTAGTAAGGCAGGTAGTGAAAAGGATTGGTATATTGATAGATGTATAGGTCAAGAAAGTCCTAGCCGACCCATCTCAGTTTAAGGCCAGTCTCAATCCCGGCGCGTAAGTTCATTCACTTCCCTCCCTTTCTTCTTCTTCTTCTTCTTCTCCTTCTCCTTTTCTCTTTCTTCTTGGGGGCCATGCGTACAGTGGAACCTGGTTCCCCATTACTTACCATTGAACTCTCTTAGTTTCACGGTGGAAGACGAGCAGTACAACTACATAAGTGCTTGGTATCCAGGCGATGCGGAGATGTTTGCGGACGAGATCATCAAGCTCTTCGAAAGCTTCCATAGGATTATCTAACCTAATTCTTGCTGCAATTTTGTATGCCAACCTAAGAGGTATTGACGCAGTCGCACCGTCTCGGTAACCCCTAGGTTACATTTCTTGATGCCGTTTACGACGATGATGATTTGCCATGATGATCTAAGGAATTATTTAAGTTATGATGTGTAGGTAAATGCCCCAAAATAAAAAAATATCAATATTTCAGGATGCGTTTGATCGCTTCATCAACACCGGATGTGATGACTGAAGGCGCACGCTTCTCATCTAGCCGGTCTATCCAACCTTTGCCAGTCCTATCAATAAAAGCTGCTTTTAACCCAGCAGCTCTGGCACCAACAACGTCAAACGGATTAGCACTCACAACCCATACATCACTCTCCTGCCCTTTCTTGCCAACCTGCCTGACCAGATGCTCGTACGCTCTCTTATCCGGCTTGAAGCACTGCAGACTATGCACCGTAATCAGCGCCTTGAAAATCCTCCCTGCACTCGGCCCGAGCTCCGGGGACGTCTTGATTGAATTCTCCACCATCTCATCGGTGCCATTCGAGAACACGTAGGCTTCCACCGACTTATTATTGTTGTTATCGCCATACTTATCATCATCCAAGAGTCGCAGCGCTAGGGGTACTTCGGGGAAGACGTGCAAGGCATCGTACGACCGCATGAGAGCGTCTGCGTCTTCTGATGAGAGACTAAGTCCATGCTCGGATACCGCGTGGTATAGGGCGTTCCGCGTTATCGTGCTGAAAGGCTTATATTCGCCTAGTACCTCCCCCTCCCAGTTAGGGAACAGTCGAGAATAGTTTTGCCAAAGTGAAATCAGGATGGGGATCACTAGATAACCTACCCATGCTGTTGATCCGCCACGTATATTCCAACTGATATCGGCGCCATAATGCAGCCAAAGACTTCCAGGTTGCCTCTTGTTCTGCGCCGTAAACTTTGGCTAGCTCATAGGCTATTGATTCGGTGGACAACAATGTCCCGTACAGGTCGAACGCGATGATTATCTTCTTCGTCGCCATTGCATCAATCTTTTATGTGTAGATAGGGATTTCCGGGAAATGGGCCAGTTCGTTGATCGGTGATCCGTAAGTCTCTCGTGATTATGCGGGGTAGCTATAGCTATATGCCCAGTGCCGAATTAGGTTGTTCATGTCGATAGTTTCCAGTTTGGACCCGTGCGATTTATTGGTATCTAGCCATAAGGTTGGTATATACATCATTACTAGGTATAGGCACATTGACGTAAATACCTACCAAGGAACCAAGAAAAGAACCACCTAACCTATGCCATATTTCAAGATCTGCCTCTCAATAATTCCGATCAGAAAGGATCTCACTGCCCGAATCAAAGCCAAAGCAAGGATCCAAGTCTAGAAGGCATCATTCACATCCCCAGCAGTTCATGCAGGCGAAGGCGGCGCGACGTGTGGGAGATCAGTAGGGATGATTCGAGCAGATGGGTGGGCGCATGAATAGGGGGGAGTGAGGGGTGGTCTGGGAACTAACGACACGAGATCTGGACCCAATATTTCGTTTGGAGTATTTTGGTACGTAGGTAATGATGTTTTAGACGCTTGAATTTATTAGCATACATTACCCTTGAGGATAGAGAATCAATATGCCCTTAGTTGCTTATCGTATATCTCCGTGTCTATTCACGGCGTAAGCATGGCATTGATGGCCAACCGTATACTTTAACTCCTGCAATGTTGAGTTGTTCTTATACCTTTACGTGAAGAATAGGCCAGCATCCATGGATGTCGAGTATTATGGCCCCTAGCCAACACCGTATGAGCTGATAGTCTTGACTAACTTGCCCATCTTCCGACTTTAAGGAAGTACTTGATAGTCTTCAGGCATAACAAAGTCTACGCATACTTTTGCTAGACCTTTGGAAGAAATAAGGCAGCATAAAGATATATGCTGCAATATATACTGGCGGAAAAATACAACCTAGTACTCTCCTCTTTTAACAGTAATCTGCTTACCAACGCTTCGGTGCTGTCGCGCCACCTGAAGAGAAAGATCGACTCATAACATTTGCCCTTGATCTTTCCTTCTCCAGCTTTGCCAGTCCTGTCCTATCGGTGATGGGTGTGGCATCAATGATATTGTCGAAAGTATCATCGTCGTCATCGTCGCCTTCTCCGTTATCCGAATCTGGCTCTACATCTGAGTCGACCTTGTACCTTTGTGGTTGTGAAGGAGGAATCGCCTGTGGCTTTGGCTTTCGGTCCGCATCATCTGGATTCGCGAAGGGTTTTGATGCAAGAACTTTGCGCCGAATTTCCTCCATTTCGGCATCATCGTCAGTGTCGTCTGATATATCGAACGGGTCTCTGCTAGACCCCTCATTCCCCTGTTTTTGTGTACCTTCTCCTAATTTTGGCCATTGAGCTGGCTTTTTACCAAGATAAATGCCGTCAGCGCTGTCATTATCTTTCCCTTTCTCTTCGTCGTCATCGTCATCGTCGTCATCGTCCTCCTCTTCGTCATCGGTATCAAAAATGTCTCTACGGTTGACGTTGCCACCTTTCCATAGGTCGTCATCATCGGCGTTTTCCCTACTTTCGGCATGTTCACGTTCTAATCGCTCCATCCACTCCTTTTCGGTCTTTATGATCCCCTCCTCATCGGTGCAAGCTGCGTACTTCTTCAGGATCTTCGAGTTGATGGCTAAAAATGACTCTCCATAATTGAAGGGGCGTAATACTTCCTCTGCCCAATCGGAATGGCCGCATATGTAGAATGCGGCAGCCAGGGCCTCCACACAGTTTAAGCGCAATGGCTTGCCGTAATTGACAGAATTGGCAGCGACCAGGTATGGTAACAGTCGTTCGCATTTACCACCAACCTTGTTCCATTGGACTTCTTGAGTTCGCGCCCAAGAACACTCCACCACAGCTGCGCCATATTGCTCCATTAGCTCTTTGTCAGCTGGAGAGATTTTGTGCTTTCCGTTGGGTGTGATGATGACACCGTTGTGTCTCTGACCAAGATGAAGGTCGCGCATGAGACCGAGTCTTATGAGCTTTTTACCCGAGCATCGTTTCGGGTCGCAGTGATTTAAATCCCAGCAGGCGGCCTTGAAAGCGGGTTTGGAAGAGGTCTGTTCGGAATCGTCATCGGCGGGGTGGTGTTGACGAGGAGGACCACGACCTTTTCCACCTCGAGATGAAAACTTGTCTTTTTTGTGGCGAACCATATTGATAGTGTAGTTGCCTACCTAGGTATTTATTTATTTGAAAACTGTATTGAAAGCGCTTTGGAGTTTGGGTAATTTGAGTAAGTTGAGAAACTTGTATAAGTTGAACAGGTTGAAATCTTTGTAATGATTTCAATAAAATGATTTCCATGAAATTATTTCAATGGCCAATGACGAACGAGGGGCACTTTCAATTCTTGACTCGTGTACCTACATATCCAGGGTAGGTACATATGTACCTGATATCTACATACACCGTTGACGATTACATACCTACTAGGTAGTAAGTTCGTTAACCCTGACCTTGCTACTAACTAGACCTTGCAGTGCGGGCGCAGAAGGCAGCATTGAAGGCAAGGGTGGGGTGTAACGGGTGAAATAGATAATCCGTCTAACCGTAGTCGGTTGCCCTTTCACAGCCCTGATATGCTTAATTTAATTGGTCCCAAATTCTTTCGACACCAGTGACTTCAATGTTCTCTTAGCTTCTCCACCGCGCGGCGGGTGCCACAGTTTTGTGCCATGGACGTACTATTCAAGGTTATTACATAGGTACTAGGTACCCTAGGTAGTGGTGAGTTACCTAACCTAGTAGTGATACTTACTTCCACAGCACTCCTCAGCACTGAAGGCTTCTTCTTTAGTTTCTATTAACCTAAGTTGCAAGCTGGCTTGCATAACAATAGCACTCAAACTGAACCAACCCAACACATCCAACAACCTTGAACTTGAAATCTTATTGATGACCCTGTCTCTGTCTCTTTTCGAGCTTCATCACCACATATAACACATCCAATACATATTTTTATCTTCATTGTCACCAATGAGTACAACCACCCGCAACACCCGTCGCCGATCTCTCATGGTTTAACTTGATTCTCTCTTATCTCTATGGATGAATCAAGGCCATAAGCGCATTATACCAAGCGCAATTGTTAACTTAGCCCTCGTCTTACTTCTTACATAGTACCATTCGTATTCGTCACAACATATAATTCCAACTTCGAACTTGAATCCTCTAAAGATGGAGGCCGCCTCCGCTCGAGCTGCGGCTAGGGACCGCTGGAGCGAAATGGGTTTCCCACGACCCTCGCAACTTCAACGGTTCATAGCTACCGCCTGTAGTCCCGAAAATTACGAACCGAATCTTGCTTTAAATCTCGAGATATCCGATCTGATCAACAGTAAAAAAGGCACCGCACCTCGAGAAGCTGCCGTCGCTATCGCGAACTACATCAACTCTCGCAATCCCAACGTTAGCCTTTTAGCCTTGAATCTCCTCGACATCTGTGTCAAAAATTGCGGTTACCCTTTTCAACTTCAGATCAGCACTAAAGAATTCTTGAATGAACTTGTTAGGCGGTTCCCCGAAAGACCCCCGCTCCGCTATACCAAAGTCCAATCTAAGATCCTGGAGGCTATCGAAGAATGGAGAAGCACTATATGTGAGACGAGTCGGTACAAGGAAGACTTGGGTTTTATTCGAGACATGCACCGCTTGTTAAGCTACAAGGGCTACCATTTCCCCGAAGTTCGAAGAGATGATGCTGCTGTTTTAAACCCCAGCGATGTGAGTGATTTGCGACGCGCCCCCGATTATCAGTGGATGGACTCAACTAACCCATGTAGAACCTCAAATCTGCCGAGGAAATGGAGGAGGAGGAGCGAGAAGCGCAGTCCGCTAAGCTGCAAGAGCTAATCAGACGGGGCGCCCCCGAGGACCTACAAGAAGCCAACCGTCTTATGAAGATCATGGCTGGTTTCGACACAAGGTCCAAGACAGACTACCGAGCAAAGGCCGCCGAAGAGGTTGGCAAGATCCAGGCCAAAGCCCGGATATTGGAGGAAAGGTTGGAAGCTTTCAAGCCAGGCGACTCCATGAAGGATGGTGATGTTTTTGAGGAACTCGCTTCGGCCCTGCAAAGCGCGCAACCCAAGATCCAAAAGATGTGCGAAGAAGAGTCCGATGACCACGAAGCGGTTGCTAAGTTGTTCGAGATCAACGATAGTATACACCGGACCGTTGAACGATGGAAGCTTCTCAAGAAGGGGGACATTGAAGGCGCAGCCAAAATCGCCCAGGGCGCACCTATTCCGAGCTCATCTACAAAGGCGGGAAAGTCGGCATCGGCCGCAAACGAATTGTCGCTGATAGACTTTGATGGGGATGCTAGCGCGAACGGTTCCGGCGAGAATGCTGGTGGATCGAATTCACAAGCTGGTGGACTAGAGAATGACCTCCTAGGTCTGTCTCTTGGAGATAGTGGAAGTAGTAGTAACAGTTTTGGTCAAGGAGGTGGAATCTCTCTTGGTTTTGGGGCAAACCAAAGTGCGTCGATCACAGTTTTCATGAGAATATCACGCGTACTAACATTTATTTAGATGTCCCAGGACCTGCTTTACTCTCCTCTATAACCCAAAACAACAGCGCGAAAAGCCCCGTACCAAGCCCTACGCCTCCAGCGTTCTCTCCCTTCTCCGGGTTCATATCACCTCCTACAGGTTCTCAGTCCAGCACCCCTCAGCCATCTTTGGGTCAGCAATCTTCGTTCTCCAGGCCACCACCGCTAAATGCAGCCCTCGCCAACGATCCTTTTGCTGCTCTCGCCTCTCCTCAATTTTCATCTAAGCCATCTACGCCCAAGCCTGTAGCACCGGCAGCGACAAATGATGATGACGAATGGTCCTTTTCATCTGCATTACCAGCCGAGCCTTCATTGCCTAAGGAGCACAAAGCCACCATCAAAAGTAGTCCCTTGGTGATCGAACTTGGCGCTCGGAGATCACAGACACCTAGTGCTATACGTCTACTCTTCGTTTTCTCTAATGCGACCTCAGCGCCTATAAGCGATCTTCATTTTCAAATTGCCGTAACCAAGGTAAGCAACAACATAGCCAACCTATGTTTATGAACACTCCAAAATCCACTACCTCGAGCGATGTCAGACTAACCGAAGCACAGGGCTACGAACTCAGTCTAGAGCCGCAAACAGGCCGTTCCTTACAACCCATGCAGAGGTCAGGCGTTACACAGTCCGTCGAGGTATTCCACGCGGGTGATAAAGCCAAGAAAGTAGAAAGCATCAAGCTACGGTGGAGAGCCAGTTACTCGTTAGGTGGTGCGCCAAAGAGCGAGATGGGCGAGATACCCGAGTTTGGCATCGCGTGATTTTTTATTTCGCAAGACATCCATGCATGGCTTACGTGCCTTGGGCTGGAGGGCTAGGGATCGGGCTGGACGCGCAGAGAGTGAGTGAGGGATGTATGTATTGTGGCGTAGTACTATGAGCCTACCTACACGGGTAGATTCGAAGAAAGAGGAGAATTGAAGATGAGGTCGAGGAGATGATTGAAGAAGGACGAGGAAAGGAAGATGAGAAGGAGATGAGTAGACGAGAAAAGGAGAGAAATGAATGCAGATTCCCCCTTTAACCACTTGCCCCTGCTCGGGTTATCTTGTTGCGTCTTGTGTCTTAAATTGACTTGATAGGAAGAGTGACATGTTACTAAGTTAGGTTCCTTCATATCTGCCTGGGTAGGTATTCATTACCTGGGGAGATAGGGTCGATATACTATAAACTGCATAGTATGTAGTTATATTGGGCATGCTACATATGTGCCTAGATACCCAGTACACACACGATGCGCCATCGACCTAGGTAGATAGGTAGGTATAAATACAACCTGAAAACCAATACTCACCATGCCAGAAGTCTAGCATAACTGGCATACCTACCATGCTCGTATAGGTACCTATATGAACGTAGGAAATCGTAAACCCCCTTACCAACTTGTTAGTCCGTGTAGGTTTACCTGTGCCTACCCCTTTTCCGCCTGATAACTAATGCTACCCCAACACCTCCCAAATGCAAGCGGAGAATCTAGTATGTAGGTACCTAAGTATCTTATGCAGAGCACCTTCGTCAACGTCGTCGTCGTCGTTTTTCATTGGTTCTTTCTTTTCTCATCTTCGTTTTCCTTCGTTCTTGTTGTTTTTTATACACCACACCCAGGTAATATACATAGTACAAGAAAAGCATCGGGTGGGTAGGTAAGTCCCTAAGTAAATAGGTACTCCTTTCCCTCCACTTCTACCTCCACTCTCCCAAACACCGTCCGGGATTCGGGATTCAAGATGGTCTATATATCTAGCCGTAATGGTTCTAATGCTCCCCTATTCATGTGGATAGGTAGGTATATAGGTAGGTACGTAAGTAAGTACCTACCTAGGTAGAAAGGTCTGAATCAGTGGATCGTCGTGATGGGTTAAAACTACAAAGTCCTCTCCGTCCGAACCTCTTCGCAAGCTTTAATCTGGTCGCCGACCTCGAAGTCTTGGAATGACTCGAATCCGATACCACACTCGGTGTCCTTGTTCACCTTTGTGACATCTTTCTTGAGATGCTTCATCGTCTCGAGTTTGCCTATGTGCAATGCTTGTTAGTAAGGGTACCCCTTAGGGCTTGCAAAGTATGGTTATATGAACAAGCGCGATAGTATAGGGAGGGGAAACAAAAGAGTAAAAGGGAAAGAAAAGGAGGAGATATAACATACCTTCATAAAGCATCTCGCCATGTCTGAAAACCCGGTAAAGGTCGCCCTTGCTCAGAAGCCCGTTCCTGACCCTACACCCTGCCACATTCTTATATTTCCGCCCCTTATAATTGATGGGGAATATTTGCAATACCTCCGCCTCACCTAGAACCTTGAAACTGACGGTGGCCGATAGGTACTTGCTCAGCTCGGCCTTGACCTCATCTACCAAATGGTAAATAACGTTATGGTCTATAATCCTCACGTTTTTCTCTTCTGCCTGGAGCTTGACGTACCCAGGCGTTGTGGTCGCAAAGTTGATAATAATCGAACCTGTTGTAGCAGCATGATCGACGTCGGACTCGGTAATGGGCCCTGTGGCCGAGCGCAGAATGCGCGGAAGGACTTCGTTATTGCCTATCTCAGAGATCGATGCACACACGGCCTCTACGGATCCGTGCAGGTCACCCTTAACAACGAAATTAATCATCTTCGTGCCGTTCTCTTCTTCAGGCAATGGCTCGGCCTCTGCAGCAGCATCTGCTTTGTTGGATGACTTGGAAGATGCTTTGGCGGCTGCCTTCTCTATGTCACGCTTCTCTTGCCGGATCCTGCGGGACTCGGAGATGACTTCTTGAGCTGCAGCATCTTGCTCGCGTTCGCGAAGACCTTCACGGTACGATACCGCATCCTTGGCGCGACCCTCGTCGGCGGCTTGAATAATCTGGTCACCAGCAGCAGGAAGCTCTTTCCACCCTAAGATTTCGACGGGCGTTCCTGGAAGTGCCTCGTCAATCTCGTCGCCGGCTTCATTACGCAGATTTCGAATCTTTGCCCATGTGAGATTCGCTGCGATAATGTCACCAGGTCGCAAGGTACCTCTCTTCACAAGAACAGTAGCAACCTTGCCAATCTGCTTAAGACTACTCTCCAAGACCCAGCCCTCTGCAGGGCCATCAAGCTCGGCTCGATGATCTAACATCTCAGAGAGGGCAAGAATATTTTCTTCCAAGTCATCCATGCCCTGGCCAGTCTTTCCGCTCACGCAGACGACCTGGACGTCTCCACCAAAGTCCTCAATATCGACTTTTTGAGTTGCAAGATCGTGCTTGACTTGGTCTATATGAGTGCTGTCCTTGTCGATCTTGGTAATAGCCACAATCATAGGCACCTTCGCAGTGCGTGCATGATTAATAGCTTCAATTGTCTGTGGCATCACGCTATCGTCCGCGGCTACGACTAAAACGACGATATCCGTCACGTGTGCGCCTCGCTGTCTCATGGCGAGGAAGGCGGCGTGTCCAGGAGTATCTAGGAAGGTGATGGGTTTGCCAGAAGACATCTTCACAGAAAAGGCACCGATGCGCTGAGTGATACCACCATGTTCTCCGGCCGCAATAGAAGACTTGCGCAAATAATCTAATAGGGTTGTCTTGCCGTGATCGACGTGGCCCATGATAGTCACGACGGGTGGCCGTAGGGGAAGTATAGATGGATCTTCAGGAGGCGGGCGAGGTTTAAGATCACGGTTTTCGACCTCTACCGTAGGCTCGAAGCCGTATTCCTGTGCGACCAGTGCTGCCGTTTCTCCTGCCATGAGACTATCCAACGTCACGCCTTCGAAGCCTAATTCGCCAAGCTGGGACAAGAATCGGTTTGGCTCCACCTTCAATGCTTGAGCCAAAGCGGTGATGCTAATTAGTTCTGGCAGCCGGATCGGAATGGATCCGGCCATCTCAGCTTCGCGTTGCGCCTTGCGCCGGGCTTTTTCCTGGCGCTTTTCTTGGTAATAATCATAGTCAAAACCTCCTTCATCATCTTCGTCTCTTCCATGCCTAGAGTTGCGACCTGACCGCTTATTACGGCTTGTACCTCCTCGAGCCTGAGCCCGAGCCTGCGCCTCTGCCTCTGCTATCTCAAGACGGTCCTCTCGCGTAACACGGCTGCGTATACGATCCCGACTCGTGTATTCTAGTTGATCTTGGCTCTTGGTGTCAACTAGCTGCTCTGGTTTTGGTGGTGCCACTGCTTCGGGTATTTCTTCGACGACAGGTGGTTTTGGCGGGAGAGATTTCTGATATTTGGGATCATCAAATTCTGTTCCCCAATCACTAGAAGTCGTGCCTGTGGATTGACTTTTATCTCGAATCTTGTCCTCCATGGCAGACCAAGAAGTAGTAGACCAAGCTTGGTCTCGTCCCTGTTCGATTGGTACTCTAGGTCTCACGCGTTCGGGTCGTTTGGCGGCAGCCCAAAACTCATCGCTGTTAGACTTATTGGGGGTTTGTTTCCTCGCCAACAAACCCCAAGCTGGGCCACCCTGGGTGGGTTGAGATGAAGGGGAGGTATTATCCGAAACAGCGCGGGGTTTGAATCTTTGGTCATTCTCTCTGCCGCTCATGGACCCCGAGTTCCAAGGAGTGATTGTTGCAGATGGAGAGTCATTCTTAGGCGACGGGTAAAATTCGTTGTCCATTAGGCGTGGTGGAGTTCTTGTTCGCTGGCCAAGGAAATCTTTCGTAGGACTATAGGGATCGTCCAACTTATTCGAAGCGTTTGGCTTTGCGGCCATGCTACCCCATTGGTTTGATAATGGGGGGACTGGCTGCTGCGCCGGCTTCGGTTTCGTTGCCATACCACCCCAGTCATCCAAAGGTGATGCAGCGGGTTTCTCTCCCAGGATTGGTTTTGCTGCCATGCTGCCCCAAGAATCTAAAGGCGAAGTAGTAGTCTGCTCGCTTATGTTTGGCTTCGCCGCCATAGTACCCCAGTTATCCAAGGATGAAGTAGCAGGCTTCTTTGTGAGGGTGGGTTTCGCTGCTATGCTGGCCCATTCATCTAATGAAGCAATATCCTCTGTTAAGCTTGGCTTTGCTGCCATACTGCCCCAGCTGTCCAAAGATGAAGCAGCAGACTTCTTGCCAGGGGATGGTTTCGTTGCCATCCTACTACCTAGGATAGGAGAGGAAGTAGTAGCTTGCTCGCTTGCGTTTGCGTTCGTGGCAGTTCCCAAGATAGTATTCTCACTTGTGTTTGCGACAGTTTCCGAGGTAGGTTTCGAGGTAGGTTCTGAGGTAGGTTCTGAGGTAGGTTCTGAGGTAAGTTCTGAGGTAAGTTCTGATGTAGGTTCATTGCCTAGACTTGGTTTCGCTGTCATGCTATCGTCTAGATCAGGAGACGAAGTAGTAGCCTGCTCGCTTGCGTTTGCGTCTGCGGCAGCACCCAGGGGTTGTTCCTCGCTTGTGCTTGCGACAGTTTTCGAGGTAGGTTCGCCGCCTAGACTTGGTTCCGGACTTGGTTTCGCTGCCATACTATCATCTAGGTCAAGAGACAACGTAGTAGTCTGCTCGCTTACGCTTGCGTCTGCGGCATTCTTTGACAGCACGTCCCTCGATAATGGAATAGACCGGCTGTTTCTCATGAAAAAATTGGGTGGCCCACTTTCCCCTCCCTTGTTGATTGAGTTGTTTTTGAGTAGATCCGGAGATGGACTATGTTTTCGGATTTTCCATTCAGGGGTTGGCCCGCCTTGTCTGTTACTATTGGGATTATAGAACGGCCGATCAGAGCCTGGCCTTTCAAACGGGCGTGTGGGACCGTTGTTTTTATCAGGGGCATGTATCGTTTCGAGCCTAGAAGGCGGAGATGCTGTTGCAAATCTGTTAGACGGGCTCCTAATCCTATTCTTGCCCAGGTCGGCGGCACCATTAATCATCGTGCCGTCCCTGCGCAAGTTCCCCTCGATCTCCTTTTGCTTTTCCAAATTCCACGTAAATCGGGCCACGATGCCATTGCTACCAGGTGTAGGTTTCGGTGGTGGTGGCTTGGGGGCCTGCTGGGCCTGCTGTTTCGCGAGAAGTTCCCGACGTGCCTTGGCCTCGTGCTCGCTCAGGAAATCGTCCTGGTTCGACTCTGCGGGGGGTTTAGAAAAGCTCCCCCAGCCGCCGCCGCCGCCCCACCCATCGTCTCTAAGGGCCCTCGTCCTCGAGAATTGTCGCTTGCTCCGTACTGTTATAAGCCGCGACGGCAGGCGAAGTTGGCAAAATGCGCATATTGAAAAAGATTCCCGCTATATATAGAACAAAACTGTTAGTTATAAGCGCAAGACTGATGCATAGGTAATTATATATAATATGAGGAAATTCACCTTTGATATACTTGGTCTCGCTCTAAGCATAATGAAAAGGGTCGCTTCGAATCGCTATCGCTATGCGACATTTAAAGAACGAGAAATGCCGAAATGATCGTGGGAAAATTAGTAATTATTTATCGAAAAAAAAAAAAAAAAGTTGCCGAAGTTCTATAATTCCGTATCGCGGCGCCACAGGTGAAATCGATAACCTAACGACTCCAAGTTGAATTCCATGTGGATCCTGGACATCTGGAGTTCGGGTCTAAAGTTATAGTGGGGCCACGGGTACACCGTACTCCAATTTTCCAATGGATGTCATCTGGCATCATCTCAGCAGGGGTAGCTTCAGCCACATCGCTTTTCACCCCGAAATTTTTACTATTGAACTTCAATCTTCATCCCCCTTTTTTGCATAGTATCCTTAGCTACCTAAGGTAGTATTTACATTATTTCCCGCTTTCCCAAAACTACATATATACCTACACACATCACCATCATCATGGCCCGTCACAGAGTTACAGGGAAATCCGGTCCCGCCAAGAAGGCCAAAGACGGTAGTCCGCCGGTTCCGTTCAAACGGCCGCCCGAGGTTCTGCAACCACTGGTCGAGACACTGGACGAGAAGCACGTGTACATCACGCACATCGACAGCCACCCGCGTGGCTTCAAGAGCAAGATATTTGCCGTGCCAGTGCTCATGAACCTTGGCATTGTCGCCTTGTTCGTCTACCGCATCTATCGCATCTTCCCGTACTATTTACTCATCTTCGCCTCTGTGCTCGGCTACCCCAACGAGACCACCATGGTCGTTGATGAAATGGAATGGTCCGAGATTGTCCCAGAGGTCGCCACGCGCGCTTTCTCTTTCATGCTGGACTTCGTGCTGGTAGCCTTCGTTTGGCCTTGGCCGCTTGAGTTTGTTTTGGGTCATGGATACGGCAACCCCGTCTCCTGGCGCCTCAACGTTGGTTTTCGCGATCGTGAGATCGTAGTAAGGCGCAGCAGAAAATGGGATGAAAAGAAGGGCGATGTGGTAAATGACGCGAGTGCCAAGACCATGTTTTTGTCGCGCATCGGCACCGCAACAGCACCGATGCAGATTAACGAGAAGACGGGCTACATGCTTATGAATGCGGACTGGGATTTGGACTGGGCAGCTATGGTTGATGCTACTACGATGATAGACAAGAAAATGGCGGCGATCGAGGCTTTCAAGACAGTGGTCCTACTATTCCACGAAGAGTTTGGGTGGCTCTGCGTGGACATGAAGGTTGATAATAACATTGAAGAAGATGACAAGAGACGGCACGTGTTCGCTTTTAGAGATGCCCTGGCTGCTGTAGGCAAGGAGGACCTGTTCTATCGCTGGATCGAGATCGTCCAATTCGAATCATCACAGCCAGGGGGATTCACCTCCGAGAAACAGGAGAAAGTTGCGGACCAAATCAGGGAAATGTTTAGCAAACAAGGCATCAACTTTGATGACCTTTGGAAGGAGAGCACCGGGCAGGGTGCATAAATGTATCGTATCATAAGGGTAATGTGATAGAATAATTCGGATTAGACATGCGGATTTATACGTACTGTGATCTTACTGTAAATGTAACAAAGTTTGTTGGGTATTAGCAGCGTGAGGAGTGTGATGAGTGTGATTTCTAGATGGTAGCAACGCGTAATGGTAAATATCATCTAGAGGTAAGCATCATCCTGAACATACCAAGCACATAAGGGTTTAATTGACATATTCAATACCTAGAATCAGGAATCAGGACCATACGTGACATATAATTGAGAATGTAGGTTCTGGAAGATAGTGCAAATTTTATTGATGGATGCCCTTCGGCGGATAGAGGTTGCAATAACTCGAGTTCTAAGCTGACGGCAGGTATATTTATCGGGGCTGATGGGGTACTAGCAAGTTCATTTAGCTCGACCTCCCTTCTTAGCAGGCTTACCCAAAGCAGCCTCGCGCTTCTTTGCCTCTTTTGCCTCGATCTCGGTTCTACGAGCCTTCTCATGAGCTTCCCTCTCTTCCTTCTCGGCCTAAGATAAAAGTGTCAGTTGAATGTCGCATAGAAGACTGTACAAAATAGTTATAGAATTACGAACCTGCTTTCTGGCGGATTCGGCATCTCGCTTCTCACGAATAAGTCTCAAACGGGCAAGATCAGCTTTGGCCTCGTCCGTTTTGCCGGCTTCGTGCAGCTTGCGGTATCTCTCCTTGGCTTGCAGAGCTTCCAAAGATTCGCGCTCCTTTCGGCTCATTTGGCTCACTGCCACATTCTTCACGCCCTCGGTGACTTCTTCCACATCAGCCGCTGGGGCCTTGGTCTGATTCCGTGCCGCTTTGGAGTGGTTCGGATTGGCAGGCATATCATCATCCTCGTCCTCTTCGGAATCGGTGGGCATGTCACCGACTTGGATGGGGTTGTTCTTTCTGGCAATGGCTGCTTCTTTCTGGGCCTTCTTGGCCTGTTTGCGCTCTTCTCTGGTCAATTCGGCTTTCTGCTGGGAAGAGCCGCCAACATCTGACTCCTCTGATGATGATTCTTCCTCGGAATCTTCATCTTCCTCGTCCTCATCATCTTTCTTGGCATCTTTGCTCCACATGCTAATCTCGTTGCCATCGGCGTCGAGAGGTCGCAGATCACGAGAGAAGTGTTTTCCTCCTGCAGAGTAATATTATTAGTGATTGGAACTTGGTTAGATTGAAAGTAAAAAAAAGATGCATTGAAAAACGTACCTCCTCGAGTGAACTTTCTGAATTTGCCTCCACGGCCACGAGAGTTGGCACCTGGTGCTCCGCGACCACTCATGTTGACGGTGTTGAATAGGTAGCGAGGCTGGCGAAGTGATGATCGAATGTCGAATGACGATGGCGGGGTTACTAAGTAGCTTGACAACGAAAATTGTTAATAAATAAAATACTATTACGTCACAAAGGAGAAGACTTTTTTTACCTTGTGGAATTCAATGTTACGAATCCAAGTCTGTCAAATCCCAAGAAAAGTAAAGAAAACTTTCAATCAAAGCTTGTTGAAGTTAAAGCCAGCAAGCCTTCCAACATTTGAAGTTTATAAGTTTTAATAGATGAGTAAAGGTTAAGTACTACCTTCTAAGTAAGGTTGAAAGAGGGGCGAGAAAATCCAATGATTTGGGTTGGTCAAAAGTACATACATCAACTTGAAAAGCGGCATGAAGAGTCAGAGCATTGAGATCCCTACATGTAACAAGAAGGCCTGGATGGCGGGGTATTCTTACATACAGTCAGCTATGCGTTACCCGTTGATTTACCATATAGATGATTGGCTGAACCCTATCTTTGCCCTTACCTCTTTTAAGCTAGACTTATGGAATAAGGTTACGCCGCTCCCCCACCCTGCAAATTCACTTAACTAAATTTTTCAATTTTCTTCTTCTTAATTCCTTTTCTCTTCCTTTCTTCTTCACATAAAACTATAATCCTTCATATTCACTCTGGCTTTCGCCGCTTCAATGGCAGGTCTTGGAGGGGAAATTGGAGGAAAGATGAAAGGAATTCTTCTCGATCACTTACCCTCTGACCCGTTGTAGCTCTTTGAGTTGCCGTTGGGTACCAGATAAATAATCGTATCGATACATGCCCAACTAGGATTGATGACTTTGGTTACGCATAACGGAGGCTCTAACTATCATCTCTTGTCTTCTAGTATGAGGGTGCTTTATTCATTCGAAATCACCGATCTGTCGCACAATCACCATGATGCGACCCAGCCCTGGAGAGGCACTATTAGTCATTCACGAATTTCTGATCTGAATCTTGGTACTGAGTGAATACAAGTTGAGCACCTTTAACGGCCAAGCCGCACTTACTAGTTTCGTTATTGAATGCGTGCTGTCGATATGAATATGAATGGACCATAAGGCATATACATGTTGCCACAACTCCCGCCCAGAAGTTAGGAGACATAACTACTTCGAGTTCTCTGTGACCCGGTAGTGTCTAGGTATTGAGCCAGCCAGCTTTGATAGTAGAAAGAGAGGCTTAACGAATTTCCCCGTAAATCTAAGGCACAGCAAAAATAATACACTCAAACATCTTGGTTACCTGCCCAGATATGTAGGTATTTCATCCAATTCTTTGAAAAGTCGGCCAAAGAGCTTTGCTGGTCCTTAAATGTATATTGGATAAGGTAATAGTAGATCTCCTTCCTACCCATAGCGGAGCTTGGGGACGTTGATAAAGTGAATGAGCACCCATATCGTAAGTGTATTTATATCGACGACAGCCCCTTAGAGGTAATTGATGATTGCCACTGAGCAATACCCCCAGCAACATGCTTCTGGGTCTTTACCACGGCTGGGTGATAACAACATGAGATAAGTCAACCTACCTACCTAGGTTAGGTAAGTAGACTTTCATACTCTTTGTTTAATAGGAAATATATCTGGATAGTAAATGAGTATCGCAAGTTCTGGAATGTCGGCTGACTACTGGTAGGTATCTCCCCTTTCTCATATTTCATCAGTCGACAGCGTCTATCTATTAAGTTGATAGCCTTGCCACTCTCCCACTATCTCAGCCGATTCAAAAAAAAAAACAAGCCAATTCATACTCGATATCTTCAAATATACATATCTTCAAATATGAAATGACCTATGAAGATCATATGGTATATGAATCTTCGGCGAATGGTCAGGCATAGCGAATAGGAATACAATATAGATTGTAGTCAATACCGTATAAGCCAATAAATATGCATCTAGTCAGCATATTGTAGAACCTTCTACAGTCAGCAACTTTTACTTCCTTTACTCGCTCTCTCATTCTCCCACTCTTCAAGTCTATTCATCGCCTTAACACTAAGCAATTCATCAAGGTTAGATATATTTCGCAATATCTCATTCTTATTGCGTGCTGTATCTGAGAAAAAGTAAACTTCTACTATAGACTTTGACAGTTTTTCAACTAATTTCCTACAACGATTTCTAGTTAAAACTGCCCCGCCATATTTCCAGCATCGTAGGCCAAGCAACGCTCATTACCTAAGTACCTACCCAATACCTCCTATACCTATCAACAAACTTTAAACAGAGTACAAGAACTATCAGATCCAAAAAAAGAAGAAGGAAAAAAGGGGGGAAAAGGGAAAAAAGGAAAGCCATGGCCTCCGATAACCTCCACCACATCAACTCCCTCTCGGATCTGCAATCCCTCTTCGCCTCTACCACCTACGTCGCCGTCGACTTCTACGCCGACTGGTGCGGCCCTTGCAAAGCCATCGCGCCGGGCTACGCCGCCCTCGCCAAGCAGCACGGCGCGCCCGGAATCCTCGCTTTCGCCAAGGTAAACGTTGACGTCGCCCAGGACGTCGCCCAGGCGTACGGCATCACCGCCATGCCCACCTTCTTGTTTTTCAAGGAGGGGAGGAAGGTCGCGGTTAATGGGGAGCAGGCGATTCGGGGCGCGGATGTGCGGGCGTTGACGGCGGCGGCGGAGAAGTTGGGGGGTTTGGCGAAGAAGAGGATGGAGGCTTCTTAGGGGGAGAAGAGGGAGAAATGGGAAAACTGTGAGAGGGGAGGTGATAGCATGAGATCATTATCTAGGTATTCGGCTCACCGGCGGCGCCTTGACTTTCGTTAAGAAGATACCTAGGCTGTCGTTTACTTTGAGATGGGCGTAGATATACTCTTTGGTCACAGCAGAGTCAGAGGAGAGGAGAGGAGCCTTGTGTATTCGATGTGACATGAAAAGCTACCTACCTAGGTGTGTCTATTCCACTTCCTAGAAATAAGCACAAGACGTAGATGGCTACCTAGCTATAATCGTTTAGGGCTTATTTCGTCATACAACGGCAAGAAATGAAAAGATTTACAGTATCCTAGTTTCAACTACCATGAAACTCGTGACTTTCACCATGTATGGATTCAATTCGCACGCCCCTTTTTTATTCTTCAACTCTCAGTGCTAATTTGCAACCTGCCCTTAGCCCCCCCCCCCTTTACAAGACTCGCAAAAGCCAAGGCCTATGTAAGCGTCGATTACCTAGTTGATATAGAAACCTAAAATGAAGTCCGAGATTTACGGTATGAGTAGGTGCCTAGGTTAGACACATCCATAATTTCTCAGCCCGTATCTATGGCCATACAAGTGCAACAGATCATACAAGAGCAGTTACCTTGACCTCAGTCACATTCAGTTTTACACATTGCCGAGTCATCACACTGGACCTGAAACTCAAGATTACCAATCCTATATTTTTAACAATGTTCCAAGGCAAGTAGGCCTAACGTAAGTGCAGCTATATACACACCTACCTACAGCCCTAAATAGGAACAGTGCTGTTCTGCGGTATGCAAGCGCCATAGAACGTCGATGTGAGGCTCTCCGTCGAGTTCTTGGCCGCCTTGCCCAACGCCGTGGTCCCGCACTTGAGACCCAGCACGAAGCTTCCCGCCATGACGTCGGCCATGTACGCGCCGGTGTGCGTGTGGTCCTTGGGGTAGTTCGCGTTGACCTTGGCGGGGCCGAGGTTCTTCATCGCTTGCACGGCGTACTGCTTGTGCGGGACGTGGTAGACGTCCGGGCTGGCGAGTTCGGCGGCCGCGTTCCTTTTGGGTAGGTGTTAGTATTATTCAGGAGCTAGAGCCCCCCCCCCCCCTTTTTCTTTTCTTCGGATTCGTTGACTAAGTAGACTAGACAGGCAACACTTACCAAGCATAGTAATCAAACCTCGCCACATCGTCCACACAAGTGCCGCTCTCGCAGATATTGTTCGGCGTAGGTGAGTTGAGGATAACCTTCGCGCCCTTCGACAAGAACAGCTTCGCCGCATTCTTGTAGTACGCCGGGTAGGTCAGCACCGTCTCCTTGACGCCGTTGTACGTCGTCTCGCAGGTCTCGTCGCCGCCGCCGCTGCAGTCCGTGCGCCCGTTGTCGTTGGCCAGGCTGCCGCCATCGTTGTGCCCGAACTCGACCACAACCCAGTCGCCCGGCTGCACCACGTTAGCCACATCCGTGAACCGGCCCTCGCGCGTGTAGGAGCGCGCGCTGCGCCCGCCGATCGCCGCGTTGTGCACCGTGAAGTCCGAGCCGAAGCTGTACTTGAGATACTCGCCCCAGCCTTCCGTGGGGATGCCCGAGCCGCCGCCGCCTTTGGCCATAGTGGAGTCGCCGCAGAGGTGGATTGTCGCGGGGGTGGCGGGCGCTGCGGCGGCGAGGAGAGCCAGTAGGAGGCGGTTTCCGTTGAGACCCATGATTTCGAGCACGTCTTGTCTGTTGGATAGGTGGGTGGGTAGATAGGTCTCAAGTTGTGGTAACGACGAAAAGGGGTTGCGTTGCGGCTCTGTGACGATCTTCGACGACGTGAGAAGAGATATATAGGTGTACCTCACATCATATCAGGATCTACGCGGCATGGCCAACTTTATATAAACTCATCTATGCCGCCCACCTGAGTGATATATAGCTATATACTAGGCATATATCCATGGATACTCCCATTACTATTGACGCGGTTAGGGACAGCGGGGGAATCTAGGCCACATTATTCACGTAACTAGGTAAGTGGCGACGTGAATAGAAGCCCGCCCCCCTAGTCGACGACGTTTCATCGCGCCGGATTGGAATGCTTATTTCTCTCGAGTTCATCCATCTCTTTCTTGGGTTTTTGCCAAACTACCTACTTGGCTTCTTTCCTTTTCTTCGTATTCCCATCTAACCTAGTGGCTTTTTAAAAGGGCGAATGGGTAGAACCTCCCACCGGGACATCCACTTCCGAATGTTTACAATGGTCAATTGGCTAAACAGCTTACATGATTTCTTCCCCGACGTTTTTTGGGGTAATTCCTTGCTTCTTATTTGGGAATATGTCTTGGCCAAGTTTCATAATTGGTGGCTTCCATGGTTCGTGAATTTGCCACCAATGACTTGAAAGTTGAATTTCGTAAAAGTGAGAGTCAGGTGTTCATGCGTTCAAGATGGTGCGAGGTATTGCGAGGTCGAAAACATTAGGTAATAGTACGTGATTATATCTGGTCTGGTCATCAGTTGTGCCAAGATCTAAAGACCTACCTACCTAGGCTAGGTAGGTATTCATACGACGGCCATGTGAATCTGCAATCCACTCCGCGTCTCCCACCTGATTGGGACGCCTGGCGCAACAAAGAAGATGAATCCTTCCTTGAGCTGGAACTCTTCTCCATCGGCATGCATGACCCCTTTCCCTGAAGTCACAATCATCACACCTGGCCCTTCGCTTGCACCTAGCTCCTCAATCTCGCTTACATCTAGATCCGTTTTGAGCATATCGAATTCGCTCATCGGTGGCCTGTACACCACTGTCTTTCCCTTCTTACTCTTCTCAAATTTTTGGCTAGGGAGGGATACGTCTTCCCTACTATGCGCTTTGAAAGTCAAGGTATCTGCAAACATGTCGGCGTTGTTGCGGTCGCCGGGCGGGCAGAAGCCGGTGTTGAGCACATTGTTGCTCCGCGCCATACACTCGACGATATCCCCAGATAAGTAGGCGTGAATTCCATCCGCAGGAATCCATACTGCGTCTCCAGGACCGAATACCAAAAAGTTCATACACAGCAGAGCCACCAGACTACCGGCATCCTCTGGGCCGTACTGGTCTTGCAGACGGGGGAGGAGGTCAAGTATATAGGCAGCATCGCCAAATTGCTCCTTGGGAATCTTGGACAGACCCGTTTGTACCTTTTTGACAGTCTCGAGGTCCGACTTGAGCAGGCTCCTGGTTATATTTCGCAGCATTTCGTCCGTCCATTTGTGTTGCTGCTCTGGGTTGAATTGCTGGAGTGGTTGTAGTTTGAATAGAGGAGCTATCTGGTCCAGTGGCTTGAACCCGGCAAAGACTTCAAACTTTGAAAGTGCCACTGCGATCTCAGGTTTGTGGTTTGAGTCTGTGAAGTTATCCGGGTCCTTCTCGTGCAGTTTGGTGGCGAGTTCCTTATTAGGGTGAAGCTGCAATGGAAGCGCCTTTGCGATAGATAGTATCTATGCACGGTGTCTTGTAAGTATTCATTTTGCTATCAATTTGCCGTCCTCCACCCTCTTCTTCCTAAGAGGATGAATCATACCTTGGGCAAATACGGCAGCTGGCTATCGAAATTCTCAATGACCTTCTTTCCAAGAAGCTGCTGTTTGTTTTGTTGCAGCACCTCGGCTAAGAGCTCCCCGGTATCCAATTTGCGTGCCGGGAAATCAGGATAGTCTCCAAACCACATCTCGGAATAAAACTCGTCTTCGTCGATGCGGAAATCTGTACCAGGCGTCTGGGCGCATAGCTGTGCTGCTAGAGACTGTTTCCCCTTCTTTCCCCAGGGGTAACTATTGCAAGTACCGCTCAATTGGAACACGAGCGGATGTGGCATGTTTACTATAGGGTGGCAGGTATCTTTTTTATTACAATTACTTGGTGAAGGAGTTGAGGACAGTATAAAATGGATGTGCGTGTAGATACGCTCAGGGGGGAGGTCAATAAATGAGGTCACGGTTGTTTTGAAGGTAAAAAAAGCTTACAATTGAGTTGAAAGTAATGAAAATTAGAAGTCGGCAGTTATGATGGAAGTATGTGTACATGTAACTACCTATTACCTATGAAACATCGAGTTTTCATGTATTCACTACATACCTAGTAGCTACATACATGTATGTAGTAGTACATGTATTTCTAACATTGTTTGCGCTGCAAGTACCGGGTACAGAGTATAAAATACTTTAGAGGTTGTCGTGATGTTTATCATGTCGTCATAGACCATATCTGTACGGAGTTTTCGAATTTCGTCATACAGCAATTAATATGTGGGGGGTGTACAATACTATGTACAATACAAATATACATAGCAGTATCTATACCTACAAGTAGTAAATTCAACATTGAAACCTCGACTTTATTTCAATTCTCAATTCAGAATTATACATAGGTAGAACGAATCTCGACAACTGTTACATTCAATGTTACATTCAAATAGTTGATATCTGCCCAGACATTTTCTCTTATGCCAAGACAACTTTATGAGATTCATTATCCATCTCGGCTATCTGGTACAGTAGCATCACATCGCCCGCGTCCCACAGTTTCCCATCTACTTGGATGTGGGATTTGTGGGATCGATCGATCAGAACGGTGATCATCCATTAGGTATGTACGGCATAGTACAGGCTAGTACAGGCCTGTAAGTGTGGGCTCTGCGGCTGAGACAACACCATATTTGCCCACTACATATCACTACTACGCTCGTCTGTTTTGTAACCGGTTTTCATGCCCTTTAGTCACTATGTCGTTCTCAGGCTATCTGTAACCACGAGATCCATAGCCTTGGAAATGGCCTTACAACTTGTATAAAACACTAAATGCGATTCAATCATTGGTCCTAGTTTAGAAGAAAATCATCCTATCGTGTAACGCTAAAGAGGTTCAGCGTCACCAACCGGTTCTCTCTTTTTTTGAGAGACCCAGCAACGTCATCGGCCTAGCTAAGTGAAAGAATATATTCATCGACTTCCCCGTTAGATAGAACAAGAGATCATTACTGTACCTAGAATTATTTTCTGTTTAATTAAATCGAGTTATCCGTCCACCCCCTTCCCTTGACTTTGAATATTTGCAGTTGCTTCGTGATTAAGCAAAAAATATCACACAATGCCCACTTATGAGGACACAGATCAGAATCGCCCTTCAACAGAAAGCCATGATATCGGGACAACATTATTAGATATCCTTCCCATCCCTCACACGACCCAACCCGGCAGCGATCCGGAAAAGCATGAACTTGCGACTACCATTAACGATGAACCCACGCTCTCCCATGCCTTGGCGACGGACGACTACGAAGATAAAGGCTTGGCTCAACAGGAGCACGACGAAGAGGTGATCGATTTAGGATGGAACGAAAAGAAACATGATATTCCTGCACCGTTAGTCGGAGGGCTGGGCAACGAGGACCTATGGCTTCTCATTCGAAGATTTAATAAGGTAATATCCTATCTGCCTATCCACTAGTACCTAGTACTTCAGAAGTACACAAAGGATGTACAATACTAATGCGATGTGATTTTACAATCTAGCAAATATATCATGTCAAAGAAGTCCCGACAGCCGTGCCTGGGAACCTGGACCTCAATATTGCTGATGAAGAGGAGTTCTCTCCCGACAAGCTACGCGCCAATATCGAACGCTTTTATATGACCGTGGTGATCGGTTTATTAGGTTTCGTTAAGCATGTAATGCGGCTACGTTCGTGGCGGGAAACTCGACGGACAGCCTATTTCTGCACGGTACCTATAAGATGATGCCTTCAAGAACTAGACCACTCACCCTAACATTTGTCTTAGGCTTATTCCATCGCTTGGGTAGCTGACTTGATCATTCCGCTAATCGCTCTTACTCTGATCACTCTACTCGTATATCCGCGATCAAGAGAGATTCTCTTCCCACCCGCGCCACTGGCAATGGTAGATTCTTCCACAGGTGGAATACAAAAGCCCAAAGCTGGTGTCCTCGGCAGCACCGAAAGCGCTACAGGAGCGCCACAGAACTTCAAAGGCGAAGCGGTCGAACAAGAGGCCAGCAACTTCGTCAACGGCTTCACTTCCATCGTGGTTACGAGCGCTGCAGGAAAACATCCACCACCTTCGTCAGCGGCTGAGTCCGGGGACGACAATGTGCCCGATCCCACTGAAGCGGCTATGGCGGCCGCGGAAGCTAAAAGTGCCGCTGCCGGCGGTAAACCCGGAGCGAAGCACGATAAGACGAAAGTCCCTGTTCAAACCGCAATGTGGACAAAGATGAGACCAATCATGCATGGAATCGCCGACGTGTCAGACACGTGGGAGCGGTTCGCCAACGCTCTATCCCCTACTTCACCATTCCCGCGAGATCTTTGCCGAGTAAGACTTGCTGCATTGGTCATCCCGGTATTACTCATTCCCCTCTTTGTAACATCGTACATGTTTATGAAGGGAGTCACCTTTGGCATTGGCTTTGGCTTCTTCGGGGACCCCATCATATCCCGCGGAATGGGTTGGTTGAATCGCACATTCCCTCACTGGCAAAAACTCCTCGAGCTTCGCAACACTGTCCTTAAAGGAGTACCAACCAATGCGCAGTTAGCTCTAACACTACTTCGCATCGGTGAGGCTAACAAGGCACCACTCCCACCACCACCTACCATGAGCGAGCCACCCCCCGAGAAACCCGTAGATATCACCGATGCCGAACTAAGAGCCACGGGAGCCGACACGCCGCTGAACGCTACCGACGAGGAACTGCGGGAAGCCATGGAACACGACCCGCGCACCGCCCACGAGACCAGCGGCCCCGACATCGACGCAGCCAAGAATCCCAAGCACGGCAAGCGCGGGAGCAAGCTCATCGGCTTCTTCAAGGGCACGACCAAGGGCGCCGTCAAGACCGCCATCGGCACCGACCACGCGCGCGCCAAAGCCGGCTCGCGCCACGCCAAGAACCGGCTCGGCGCCGTCTCCCCCGCCCACAGCGAGGACAGCCGCGTCTCCGGCCCCGTTGACTTCCAGGGCCGGTACGAGGGGCAGAAGGGCCACGTGTACATCACGACGAAGTCGACGATCCCCGCAGTCGCGTTCAGCACTGACTCGACGATCGAGAAGATCGGTTCCGCGGAGCGCGAGGACCTGCATCCGCTGTGGACGCTCGCCATCGGGGACATCGCTGAGATCAAGAAGGTCGGCGGGTACGGGTGGAAGGCTAAGATTGTTGTCGGCTGGTCTTTGGGTAGAGAAGTTGCGGACGGCCTGCAGATCACGGACCGGCTTGGCAATGTGCTGAGGGTGACGGCGCTGCCGATGCGGGATGAGCTGTTTAATCGCCTGGTGGCTGTTGGCGGACAGAGGTGGGAGGCTTGGTAAGAAGGAGGTCCTTTCGATAAAACGAATATTTCTTCTGAAAACTTGAGACGCAATGAATTCTAATAGAAAGGGGGTAGTGTAAGAGTGTGTCCGGGGGACTAGAACTGTACGTCTTTATTTTTGGGTTTGAAAATCAGTCTAGAATGTAAGTAGAGCAGTTACATGAGAAGCGTATATACAAGGTTATGACAAGGAAAAGGATATGATATACAGAGGCTTTGAAGATATCGGGTATGTACCTTGGTATGCTTGGGGTCCTACAGGAAGCGCTTGATAAGGGTTCAACGATTGATCATAAAGTATCTACATACCTGGCTAGATAGATATTTTACACGCTTCTGCTAGATGGTCAGAAAATTACACAATTCATATTACTGGTTCTGAACTTGAATCGTGTTTGAATGCCTGTATAGGGAGCGTAAAAATAAACCCTACTCCGATACTCCTATGCCGTACCTCCGGGCATTATGGCATCGCTGAGCTGGAAGCCATACAACTAGAGCCAGAATAGATGCCGAACAACGCCAAACAGCGCATGATATCGCGTCGTCTGCTCAAAGAGAACCCCCTCACGCCCTGAGACGCCCTGTATGATAAGCTTCGAGTACTCCCCTTAGCTGCTAGTATAAGGAGCGCATTTGATAGACCCCTCGGAGAGAAACGACATGCAGTTTCTATCTCTTACGTCGTTGTTAGCTCGGTTGGCCATGAGCCTGTGCATCATTAAAAGTGACCTCGTGTCGAACCATCGCCAATCCCAAGGGGAGATAATCAAATTATGTAGCATACATGCGGTAGCCGTGACCTTCGACGGAAGCATATCGCCCTATCACATGTAAGTATCTAGGACGTCGAAGACGACTAGGTAGAGAGCCTCAGTTGAACCACCAGAATCCTCGAGATGGAATTAACCTAGAACGTAGGTACCGGGAATGTAAGACCCAAGGGGCCCCCATTCCCGTCCTTATCCTCGAGCGCGTCATAGTCTGGGCAGCGATGAAAATAAAAAAACGCGACGCTGAAACATAACGACTTGATCCGTTTGCTAGCACCCAAACGATTCGCGCAGGATTCGGTCATTTCGTGCTTGATGAACCGTAAAAATACCTAGGCCTTGAAAGCCCCTAGCAGCAAGTGCCCATTGCCCTCTTCGTTAGGTGCACAGATTTGAAGGGCCCGAAATAGGGGGCACACATAGCTTCAGCAGTGATGCCTTGTCGAGTAGCTGTGCTCCTAGGAGGCAGATTCGGGCTTTGAGGCATCGCAAACTCGCGCATGTTCTCACAGCTCTCGTCAATTCCATCTCTGGCCTACGTAGGCCTGCCTTCTATGGCCTATGTCTGTTCCAATATAGTGCCGTGAACAGAGTAGGGGACTCAAAGGTGATCTCACATCGTAGCTCCGTCGACCGCCATTTACGGTGCGTATACTTGGCCCAAGGTCATATGACCCGTTGATTACAGTTTCCAGCAGCGAGCGCGTTGAGGCTGTCATTCGTATAGTAACGACAGCTGTATGGATGAGATGAAACGCGAGAAGGGATGTTATCTCATGTCGTGGGAATTACGCCAGCGAGTGTAGTGCTATATGTGCCTAAATTTCCCACGCTGCTATAGTTGTTAGTCGTAGATGAATTATCCATCTCCATTTCTTAAAAGGTGGAGGTCACGGTGAGCCCTTTTCTTTACGATATGGAAGCCCCTGTTGGTGAATAAAATCCGAAGTCACAGTTCAATTGCGAAAACTTGCATGCTACTTGACCAGTTATAATAACACCATTATTCCAGCATCAGGTCAAAGGTAACGGTACCTGAGTGGCTTTAGTATTATAAAAGAGGTAAAGGAAATGGAGGATCGCAGTCGCATTATCTTCATTCCTGAATCTGCCTAACGTAGAGTTTGGTCTGGTGAGAGCCGAAATTGGGAATTCACCCTTGTCTGAGCCTGTGGACCATCAGTTGAATGCTATAGCCCAATCAGCTTCAACAACCTAAGTGGGATACTAGAGCAAAGGCGAATATATCGGATGTCGTGAAACTTGGTGTACAAATATCTAAGATGTGATCGATTATGTGGGGGGACAAGCAACCAAGTAACACGGCCAAGAACGGAGAGAAAAGGTCTATACACTAATACAACGGCGAGGAATCGATCATCGATTTGAACCAAGCCATGTTCGAATCCATGACATCTCTTCTCATCGATATTCGACTAGGCCAAGATTGCTGACTCCAGTCCCGCCATCATCGCCTCAAGATATGTAGGCGTACCATAACCACCACTGCGGAACTCAGATTCTAAGTACGGGCCATTGCTATGAGTGGTGTTTGTTGTTAATGTACAGAGGGAATACTTCAGTGCGCATCCGGCTGGCTCAGAATATATTCCACAGCCTGGTTGACTATTTAGGAAGTAAAGTTAGTAAACTTGGTCGATCGATAGCCTTCTAAATTTTGGGGGGTAAAGAAGACTGGTAATTAAGGGCCTCATACCACTGTGGATCGCATCCGCGTCCTTGTCAGGAATCTCAATGCTGAATTCCTAAACATTAAGTTAGCTATAAGATCGAGAAAATTCGGTGCCGTGCAAGGTCGGGATGGGGGAAGTTCATCAACCCATATTTTGAAGTCCAAATATGAGTGCGTACCTCTTCTATCGCCATAACAACCTCCACCGTGTCTAAGCTATCTAGGCCGAGGTCGTTCGAGAAGTGAGAAGTAGGTTTGATCTACTGAGTGTAAGTATATCTAAAATATGCCTGCATGGAAAGTGTCCAATCTTACGTTGCTCGGGTCGTTGACCTAATATAATAGTTAGCAAATATATTATTTTCCTCATTTGCGTGTAATCTTTTCTGCTCATGCTCATGCCCATGCCCAGGCACTCCAAGCCCATAACATTCCATTGCAAGTGCTTATAGCATAGACATATATCATATAGAGACAGTCCGCAACCCGCAAGTATCAAGTATACATCCCCCCCTCCCATTTTCGCAGCCTCAACATATGGAGTTGGCGAAACCGCGCAGATAAACTCACCTTGTCAAAACCCTTGAGAATTTCCATAATGCGACTTTCGACCTCCTCTTTGTTCGGTGCGCCGCCAGCAGAATACATTCGTACGGACTTGAAGGCGACTAGTCGGGGCGCAGGTGTGAAGACAGCTCTGGCGGACACAAGGGCTCTTCGGGCGACAGGTCTTGCTGTAGCGCGGGAGGCCATGACGGCAGTACGCATTAAAGTTGTGCGGAACATGATTGCGATCGAAATCCTGGCTCAATTGAGTGGTATGCGCAAGTATGTGTATATGAAAGGGTCGAGTATTGGTTGAGGAGGGTTGAAGAGTTGATTGTGGGTTGGTGGTATTAAGTTTAGGTACTTTGAAGTGGGTTGAATTTTTAAAGCTTTGGACCATCAATGCAATCAAGACCGAAGAAGCAAGAAAGATCAATCAACGTCAATCATAAATTTCTCGTCATTCCAAATTTGGTCCGAGCTTGGACCTTTTGCGGAGCAGGCAACGTCGGAGCTAACGGCGGTTTGAATTTAAGGTTGCAATCTCACGTGACTTTGATAGTAGTAACCCAATTGCAAGGTCAACTAGCAGCTGCTAACCAGCTGGCATCTCGAGTCGATGACCGAATTATTATGGCAACGATTTAATGTGGCTTCTTGACATCTGGGGCTCAAGCTACCCGCCAATTAAATCAATCCTTTTGTAATGCTTCCCGAATCTTGCCCTCGCCGCCTTAACTAGAGGCTCCCAAGCAGCGCCACAATCAACACACCAGTACAAACACACCCATTACACACTCACTAGGTTAGACAAATTAAAGCAGCAGCAGCACCGGCCCACTAGTAAAGAGCTCCACCTGAAATTCCGAAGTAATTAACAATCTACAATCTACCATCTCCCATCTCGCCATCGGGATCATACACTCAATTCTGGTCAATCCACTCTTACTCTTTTTTCATTCTCTCTGTTCCCTTCTTGTCGCCCAATTGCGCCACGCCATGCAAGGGCTTACTACTTCAACAACCACCATGCTGACCCGCCAGCTGGTGCGGCGACAGCCCCTCGCCGCCTCAACCGTCGCCAGAATAGTCGCGCAACGCACATATGCCACACCTTCCGGTCCTCCAGCCAAGGGTTTCCGACCACCACCACCTAAACGATGGAACGAGGAGCAGGAAGGCGTATTCGATAGGGCTGGGAAGTACTTCCTCCTGACAGAAATGTTCAGAGGCATGTACGTTGCGATGGAGCAATTCTTCAGACCACCGTGAGTGTGCAATCTTTCTAATTTAATAGCAAAGGCGCAAATGCTAATGTCTCTCGATGTTACTTAGATATACAATCTACTACCCCTATGAAAAGGTTCGTAGTATACCAAGCCTTAATCCCCTCGACCCAGACCATCTTGCGCCATATATCCATATATGCCATTTAGCTACTTGATGATTCCCAAATATGAAATAAATGCGTCGACTAATCCGATCACAGGGCCCCATCTCTCCCCGATTCCGTGGCGAACACGCCTTGAGGCGCTATCCCTCAGGTGAAGAACGATGTATTGCCTGCAAGCTCTGTGAAGCCGTATGTTTTATATAATCCGAGCCTTGACTTTTTTCCAAGTACATTAGGCATCTAACACCCGACGCAGATTTGCCCGGCGCAAGCAATCACAATTGAAGCGGAAGAACGAGCCGACGGGTCAAGACGGACGACCCGTTACGACATCGACATGACCAAGTGCATATACTGTGGCTTCTGCCAGGAGTCATGTCCCGTCGACGCCATCGTCGAGTCGCCCAACGCCGAGTACGCGACGGAGACAAGAGAGGAGCTATTATACAACAAGGAGAAGCTCCTATCCAACGGAGACAAGTGGGAGCCAGAGCTGGCTGCTATCATCAAAGTAGACTCGCCTTACAGATAATCAAATCGAAATCAAATCAAGGTTTTATCACAGGGGCGTTTGTATTGTACGCTGTAAATATTCTTACTAGAAAGGCGATGGACATGTTCCATTTATGGCATTAAACATTGCATTTTGAAGATCTCAGCCCTTATTTATTCCAGTCGCAACTATACCGAGTCAAAGGGGATGTACTGCAAATGGGATATTTGCCCCTCGGACGCCATACTCAACGAGCGATCACACGACCTAAGGGAAGATTACTTACGTCTCTTCATACCCCCCCCCCCCCCCCCCAATAAGCCAGGCATGATGATATATAGTCCCCAATCGCCACCTGTCTCGAATCTCGATACTGCAAAACTACCATAGGCCTGTCTAACTAACTAACCTAGGTGGTTATACTCTGGCTAAGGAAAACGAAGACGACAGATTACTTACATAGCAGTACTAGGCCAATATACTAACTCGCAAAACACTGGGGGTGGGAATGGGTAAACCGTAAATGACATCCGCAACTAATATAAACAGCCTAGCCTAGCCTAACTTGACTTAATATACCTAGGGTAACCTAGCATACAACTAGGTAGTAGGTAGACTACATAGTAGTGATATCTCCATCGCCCCTTAAAACAAAATTCAATAATTTCATATTTATTTAAACGAGATAGCCATCACCTACCGGACTATGTCTGTCTCTATTCGCAATTAGCGTTAGAGAGTGATATGATTTGATATGATATGATATGATATACTTACTCCTACTTCGGCGCATCAGTAAGCGGCACATACCTCACCCCGTACAGCTTCTCCTTTTTGATATTCCCTTGCTCGTCCTTATCCACGGTCCAGATATGCTGCTCCCAGCCGGTCCCCGCATCGACCGGTATGAACATCCGCCCGGGCCTTCTTAGCTGCTGCACCAACTCCTCGTGTAACTCTACCGCCGCAGCACCGACGTGTATCGCGTCCCACCCCCCTTCCTCCTCCTCGTCCGCCGTCGTCCCCGTCGTGTCCGAAACAACACTCCCACCAGCCACCCCCCCAACCGCCGGCTGCGTCTCCTTCGGCCTCCCCTCAACCCACCCCTTCCTCCCATCACCCAGCCGGAACCGCGCACGCCCAGAGTCCAGCAACCGTTTGCCCTCCGCGCTCTTCGCCATGTTCCGCTGCCCCATCTCCTGCAGCGCCGGGATGTGCTCCAGCCCCACCACGACCCCGTCCTCCCCCACCAGCTCCGCGAGCACGTGCGTGAGATACCCGCTTCCGCTGCCGATGTCGAGGACGCGACGAGGGCGGGAGGGCTTGCCTTGGAGTTTGATTGGCTTATTACTATTATTCAGCTGTTGCTGGCTGTCGTCGTCGTTGCTGTTATAGGGTAAGAGAAACGGGAGCAGCGTCTCGACGGCGTTGGCGTGCATGTGCGGGGCGCTGATGGTGGCGCTGTGGCCGATGGACTGCGGGTTGTCGTGGTACGGGGACGAGGGGGCGTAGTGCGCGCGGTCCACGCGCAGAAAGGCGGCCTTGACTACCGGCTGCGTGATGAGTTTGTTGCGCCAGAGGTTTTCGATAAGCTCGACGTTGGAGGTGCCGGAGCTGCGCCACGCCATCGTTGGTGTTTATTGCTGCTGTTGATGCTGACTTTCTGGCAGAGGGTTATAAGATACGAGTGAGCAAGTTCTTCGAAGGTTGGCTTGCTCGGGTGTAGCAGGCCGAGAAAAGCGAAAGGTGAGACTGTAAGTTGGGAGCCACTTTGGCTTCAATAGTAGATTATATGTTATATGTTATATTAAATTTGTTAATAGAATGATAGGTAGGAGGATGTCAAGAATAATGATGCAACTGCCTATTAGGTACAAATGTTGAAGGTAACATGAAGTTCGTTTAAGTTCGTAAATGTCATAAAAATAAAGTACAAAGCTATATATCAGTATATACAGAGTATCTCGTTATCAGAGTTCGCCAGGTTTGCTACCGGCAACTACAAATGTTGTACATGACTTCATCAACCAACTCAACAATGCGGGGCATTACGATATACACTACACTCTTATCGATAACCTATAAAGGGCATCATTGGTATTATGTAAGAAGCATTCAGATGTAAATCTCAGGTACACACTAGGCACCTCGTTTAACTTATACGATCTTTCTTATCGTTATGTATGTTATGTAGACATCGTAGGAAACTCTAAGAAAGAGCATACAACAATATCACTATATTGTATCCCCACGCAGCTGAAATGCTTCGCTCACGATGGTTACAATACTCTTAAGAATAAACGTGGTTCAAACAAAGAACCAACTCCCAAACCTCGAACGCCGTTAGTTGAAAAGAACCTTCCGTATGCTTACTATCACACATCCCTTACACGTCCCGTAAGAATCGTTTTTTAACAGACCCTTTCGATTGTTTAAATCCAAAAATGGACACTCGAGCCGGAATGACATGACTTTAGGCATAACCATAACACTACACCACCGTTTCGACTCTCTCGCCTTCGGCAATAATTGGTACACCCAAGCCTCGGTCCGGGCTCTGGAGGACAAGCTGTTCGTGTCTCCTGGCCTTGAAGTAGTCGCTAACTGCCCGAATCAAGATGAACCAGCCCACAATCATAAGTAGGTACGCTACCCATTCGCTGCTTGCAATATCGCTGAACCCCGAGCCACCCTCGCCGTCACCCGATCCAACACTATTGGGGTCGAAGTCGTGGCTGTTGGGGTCCGGAGGTTCTGCGTATCCATCGGTAGGGGCCCCCATCCCGCCCGAGTTGGAAGCGGTTCCTTTCATGTAGAACCCATACTGAATAAGAGTAATGCCAAGCCCAGCGCGGGAGCCATTCTTGGCTGCGTGCGTCGAGTGTAGTAGATACGTAAGGAGAAAGCCTACCAACTGGAACGACATACTGATCATCCCATTCCAAATAAAACTAAATACCGAACCAACAGGCATACCATCAATATAGACATCATCGGGACCACCGAGGCCAGGGGCGAGTATCGTAGTTTCCCAGTAGGGTGGCGCAGCATCTGCTGCAGCTTGCTCGTACGTCTGTATATACAATCATTAGTAAGCCAACAATATAATTAAAAAAAAACATGGAGGAAATGCGTACGGGAGGTGCCTCTTCTACGATCTTCTCTCCCCTTTCCGGCCGAGCGGTCATGTTAGAGAATACACCATCTGATTGAATTCCACCACCATATACTCGAGAATTAGGTTGAGGAGTAGCGCCAATAGAAGACAACTGTGCCGCGTGTCCCCCGGGAATCGATGACCTGTCACTACCTCCGCTGGAAGCCTGGCTTATTGGAGGAGGTTGAACTGGGAACGAATTACCCCGTACTAGTCGCTGTCTATCATCGGGTTCGTCATCGCTGTTATCATCTTCGGCATCAAATGCATCGGCTAACGTAGGATCGACGCCATGTCTCCTTCGCTCAAATGAGGAGGCTCTTGAATGGAATGAAGGCGGAGGCGAGTTGGGTATCGAGCGCGGTTGTCGCAACGTAGAAGTAGGGGTAGTATCAGGATCGTCATCGTGGGTATTAACCCGCTCGTAACGTCCGGACATCGTGGGAGGGAGAGTGAGAGCAAAATAGATATGAAGCAAGAAAAGGAGTTAACGCTAGTGGCGGATTCCGGGTTGATGGAAGGAGAAATGTGCTTTATCGTCGCAGAGTAATTTCGTCAAGGATATAAAAAAAAGTAGGGAAAGGAATCAAAAATTAGGACAGAAATAAATTTTCTAGTCTTTTGTGATTTTCGTTATTTTTAAGGAGAGTATGGAAGAATAGGAAGAGATGACAGGGAGAGATGAGAGATGGGGCGATGGGCAAGAATGATGAATTGAGACAATTTGGTTGATGCTAATGGGAAACATGCGACACGGACGATACGGGTGGGAAAAGGAAGTCGACTTAACCTGGAACCGTACTAGGTTATTACATAATGTTCTGTATTGTAACTACCTAGGGTATGTGCATGGTATTGTAGGTACAGTACTAGGTAACCTAGAAAACTCCAGGGCTCTGATAGTAAAAATAAAAAGACTCATAGGCTTGATGATGCCACTAGTTAACCTTATCTGAATTTCACCTTGGCTTGTAGCGGCACGATTGTTCCCTAGTAGGCAAGCACTTCAGGCAAGTTCAGGCAAGTTCAGGCAAGTTCAGGCAAGGGACCCAGACGCATTACACTAAAGCTGCACTAGGGGCTAACTAGGGGCCAGCTGACCAATAGTCAGGCGTATGCACGGTCCACCTGCGCATTTCCAATCCATCAATGTTCGGCAATCTCGTCACCAATTGGAGGCCTATGATCAAAACTATATCGATATTTCCTCAATATTTCCTTATCGATTACGCACGCGATCAACGCGTTGATTGGTTCCGTCATCAAAAGTCATTAGTTTTTTTTTTCTTTGAACATTGAATTTCCTAATTATTCAGAGCACTTGAGAATTAAAAGAAATGTTGATGCGCCAATACTAATCTCTACATGTAACCTCTACCTAGAAGGAATGTAACTATTCCTAAATATTCCACTACAGATAACATATCAAATCGGAATAAACATGGCCCGTCAAGCAATCGTACGTTTATCAACAATATCCTCATCTTCTCAGGATCAGTGATCGTAATTTGGAATAATACATGGACTTACAATTCCCATATTGCAGAGCGCCCATAACCATATTCTGCGAGCGCTCGCCCAGTGGCCTAAAGATACTCTACGGCCTCAGCTCCAGTTTCAGGATGTGCTACGCAAAAGATTCGAGCAGCAGCCTTCCCCTGGCGTGTCCGAGCAGGATCAGTTAAGACAGGCGAATGCGCTTTACTCACTACTGGAAAACCGCTATAAGAAAAAAGTATGCAGTATGCCGCAAAAGCTTTCCATTCGAAAGTGTTAAGGAATTAGAGGTTGACTCCAAACCATAGTATCCCATCACAGGTGATCTGTTACGTCCCAGGAGCCACCCGACATATTTTACCGACCTTGTAAAAGAGCTTGAGGAAGCGCCGAGTAGGTCTTTTGCTGAGAGACTTTGGCTAAGGGTAAAGGGACTTGTAAGATTACAATAGATACTAAAAGAAGAAGGACTACGATTGATTGACACATATGTATGGGCTTACATTATGTGTAAGTTGTAATAGAGCTAGATATGTAATTCAATCACCAGTCAATGTCAGATGCTTGGGTTCAGCACAATGCAAGTTATGATTTGACGTATAACTAAGTGGTTATGCTGCGTCCTGTTCGACCTCCTGGATTGTATGCATAGGCCCATCAGACCCATTTAGTTTACCTTTTATATCCCCAAATATGCCCCCTTCTAGAAGCAATGACATGCTGATTAGCAGCATTGGCTCTTGGTCAAGCTACACGCATAAACTGGAGACAACTCCATTGACCATCTGGCACAAATTTCTCCAGGTCGTGAGACCTCTTCTCCGTAACCACGAGGCTCGAAATAGCTCGGTCCCCTTTAATAAATGCAAAGTAAGCCGCACAGCCAGATCCCATTAACGAAAAAGCTTTTCCTGATGCCTGATGCCTGATGCCTATATGTATTTATTTTCCGGGTCCAATGTCTTCATCAGCTCTATGCTCTTCTCATACATAGTAAACACAATACCGCCACTCATGACGAGTCTCGCTAACCGCGGCAAAGCCCCGCTCCAGAACGTCGTGACACCTTCGTGCTTAAATATCAAGGCCGCGCATCGGAAACTGTTGCCGTATACCTGCTTTGCGTCGATACTCTGCATCCTCGTCTTGATGGTGTCGAGCGGCTGGGTAACAGCTACCGTGATGGCGCCGGCCACTGACCCTATCCCAAATGTCGCTACCGTCCCCAGCTTCTCTCCGGGCGCAGTGTAAGACTCGGCAAGTTGCTTCAGGGACGTGTAGGAGCCGAAGCGTACAGCGCTGTTGGCAGATTGCCTCGCGGCGGTGGGGGCGAGGCCTTGGAAGAAGCCGCGGATGCCTCGTTCTCTCGCAATGATGGGTACGGCGTGAAGGAAACCGCGCATTCGTGGGTTGGGCGACTTGCGGTCATCTATCAGCGTGGTCTTGATAGATTCGGTGGGCGTGACGGCGATCAAGGACTCGGTGACACCGGCGCCGAAACCGGCGATGACATTTCTCGGACCTGATACCTTGCCATTCTCGTCGGCGAGGAGACGCTTATATTGCTCGAAGGAGACGAAACGGATCGCGGCCTTTGCAGAGTTGCCGATGATTAGAGTGGTGCATCCGGCATACCACTGCTTACCGAACGGTGGCCATGGTAGCTTCTGACCTGCGACTAACTTGCGATTGAGCTGTGTCCTGGTCTTTGCGAACTCTGCTGGGTACGTAATAGCAATTTCCACTGCACCAGCTGTGGCACCTGCTATAATGGACCGCAGGGCGCTGGGCTTCTCTGTCGACATGGTTGTGTCCCGGATTTGGAGCAGGAAGCGCAGCAAGACCTTGACTGACAGTATTGACGTTTCAACGATTGTCACCCTCAGTTTTCTTTTTCTTTTCTTTTCTTTTTTTTTTTTTTCTTCTTTCTCTTTCTTTTTTGGTAAGTTTCTTTTTTCTCCAATTGGTTTTCCAATGAAACTTTCCTCGGTTAGTAAGTCATTCTCATTAATGCGTTTGATTATCTTCCGTTTTTGCGGCGTCATATCATCATCCGAAGTACCCTGCCCCACGAATTAACCCCACTAACCTCCAAAGGTGTACTTACAGTAAGCTGCAAGCCGTAATATACTAAAGTGCTTGGCAATAGAAAACTGGCGGATAAAACTGTAACGAAATGCTTCATGCTAATTAGTATATAATATGCTTACAGTGATATCAATGATATCAATGATATCAGTTGCATGTCCAAGTAACAGATCCTAACTTCCTCAAGCAACTCAACGTCACTTCGTCACTTCGTCACTTTGACTCTTGTTAAATTCACATCATTGATATGAATTCCTAGTATATGAAGAAAGAACGACATCTGGAAGTAATTAGTTTGAGTTTGTTTGACCGTCCGAAAAGATGCTGCCCAAGATGCTGCCGATATCGTTCATCTTCCAAACCAAACCAATACTACGAGGTCAATATATTTTTTGCTCACATTCATCAAGCCATTACTTGACCAATACATAAACAAATACATCATGTTATCACTATTCACTATAGCTTTTATATCATGAGTGGTGATCCATCTGTGAAGGAAGGTAAAAAGCCAGCTCATGACCAAGCATCCCCAGGAATTGAAGGTCATACTCCCCTCCTCGAGCACGAGACTGCCCTCTCTGCGCTTGCGACCCTCCCTTTTAAGACAGTGGTCTCGGTCTTCCGTCATCAATGGCACAAGGACAGGGCCAGGATTGTCTTCGCCCACGCCGAGCAGTTCATGCATGAATATGATCTCCCCGTCATGAAAGTCGAATGGCCAAACTTGTCCAAGTATCGTCCACGTCGTTGGAGAATCCACTCTTTCCAGCTTCGATTATTGAGATAGGACCTCATGTAGCATCGTGAGAAGTTCGTCAGGCTGTACCTATCTGCCATCATCGCATCTACTCGCCTACCCAAGAAGGAACCCATCACCCAGTCAGATGCCCAGCGTATTCGGAAGTCTATGTATGTCTTCCATCTCTCACGGTGTGTCTGCTGTGTAGTAAGTTACTACCTAGTACAGAGCCAGTGTATACTCACAAGATGTCACAGGGAGGACGAGCTACGCATCAGCCTACCCAAAGATCTAGGGAAAATCCACTTCGACAAGGTTCCTGCATGCATGGACACCGCCATCGACCCAGGAGAGTTCAAAGATTTGGCATACCAGTTCGGCGCCGAACGGCATCCCATGATCCTCGCCGTCCCAATGTCCTTGCATCTGTGGAGTGTACATCAAGACTATCCGGACCTCCTCCCCAAGATTCCGGCTCCATGGGATTGGACAATGCCCGCCGATGTCATCGAGGCTAACCATTGGAAATTCAAAGAAGACTTATTCTGATAATAGAGCATGGAGGAGAGAAAAGGGGGTGGCGAAAAATTCATCCGCAGGCATGGCTTCTCACCGAATGAGCTGAAACGCACCAAGTTAAACTCGACAGTTTAGAACAATAGGATTATTCTACATTCAAATGCATATGTTCATAGCTCGCGTGATACTAGATTATCATGTACCTCTAAAAAGTTCAGAAACTTTACCTATGGAACTTTTGAATATATCATGATCTTACCGCACAGAAGATTTTGGTTCTCGTATAGAATGTCCCTTACCCCTGATTACCATAATTAGCGATTACTCGGTATGATGTGACCTAGCAGCTATATTGACCACGAATATATTTGCCATAGCCGAGAGTAGTGCCAAGTGAATGTTTCCTGTGAAGTTTCTAACGGCCTGGGGATATTATCTTCATTAACCCTTAAGCGCCTAGAAGGGAAAATTGGTACATTTTATCCCCTTAGTATTACTGAAGACCTCGTACTGAAGCTTGGCCGCTTAACTGTTGGAGATGTGGACGGACTAGGTACTAGTTAGTAAGTCCTATGGTATACTACGGTTGTGAGGCCTTTTGGCCCGGTAGACTACAAATAGGGGTAATCGAGTGTGATACACAACACGGTCAATTGAGAGTAGATATCGTTGCATTCTTGAAGAGAGAGCACTATTGGTTGCTCTATATAGTCACTCATGTAGTTCCCAGGTAGGTCCTTGGCAACTACGGAGCCTGTCATGAATATAGTTACCTGTAAAGTGCGGTTTTTAATCCCAGCTAACATCTTAACTTCACGGCAAAGCCTAGAATTAATAGGCCTGAGGAATGATTTTCAACGTTTCATTGAATTCCTTTGGCTACTTCTTGCAGGGGTTAGAAAGTCCCTTCATAAATATAAATACATGAATGGAGTGAATAATGGCTTCCGAGACAATAGCAATGTTAAGTTATGGCTAGCATTCACCTGGGTGATGACAAAGACACACTTTGTCAGGCTCGTATCAGGTTTCACTTCCCTTACTGCAATAAAGGGTTGGGGAGGTAGGTACATAGTCAAACTCTCAGTGCTTCTTAATCGGCCTAGTTAATGGAAATCGCTTTTATTAACACCATTTAGGACATGGTTGAGGGGGTTCTATGTACTGGATCTCGCTCTCCCGGCTTGGGTCGCTGTAGTAAACTCTTATATACACGGGGAATATTATATTCGCCAGTTTCCAAGCTTGAAAGTATGGCACATATTGTCATTTGGAGAGGGTGTAGGGAGATGCTTTTTCTGTCTGTATAATTGCTTCTCTGCTGTTAGTATGTTCTTTGGAGGTTGCATCCCTGGAACGAGGTGAACAACCTGAAGAGCTAGATATTGAGCGTCTTTGATACTAGAAAGTTTGAAGTATTGGAACTTTTTTCAATACACATTGCATCACTCAGTAGCGCTATACCGACTCTCATACGACAAGACAGCAAAGCATTAGCCTCCGAATCAGGCCTCGTCCAAATGCTTAGTAGGTACCTAATATAACCAAGTATCACATACTGTGTTCGCCGTATGGACTCTTTTGATAGTAACTAATGGTGCGTTACATTATAAGTAAAGAGACAGTGGGTCTTAAGGCTGTCGGGACTTGGGATGCATGTAACTTCGCCACGTGCTGCGTAACCAGAACAGATCGATCGTTCTAGGAAACAGAACAGGGAAGTTGATGCTGTTGGTGTAGTCGGTGTGGCTAAGATCACCCACCCACGGCCCTCATTTGCTGAGCCGCATACGAACAGGGGCCGTGACAGATCATCTGTATCACATCTCAGGAACGCCGCAACTACGCGGCATGTTGTTATACTGACGTGTTACTGCAGAATTATCCGCCATCTCCATGTTCCAGGTTTCATGCTTGAACCATTGACCGCTAATCTATGCAAGACTTCGATCGACTTCCCCCATGTACTAGATGGCTGCCGGAAGCTTATTTCCACGACGAATCAACATCGGTGCCCTCAATCTCATACTATTTCAACCACGACCTAAAATAGCCATCCAGGTATACAGTTCCCGGTATACAGTACGAAAAGAGTCTTGGTACTGATATACATACCACTCACTAGCCCAACAAGTCTCACGACTTTGACCAAGTCAAGTGTCAAACTCGAGTTCAACAGAAGCATAGACCCAGTTTCACTTCGGGGAAATCTAAGGATAAGTAACTACTTAGGTAATTAGGTAATTAGGAAAGAATAACAAGTAAGTGTGAAAGACCTATATCGGGTATATATATCCATCCAACCATTAGGAGATTTCTGAATGCCGTGGTCTTCTGAAAGCAATAAGCCCCACTACCTTACCTACATATTGACACATACCCAGGACTACATAATTCACTTGGGTCACGCCTCTGTTACATCGTTAATCTTGCATATGTATAGTATCGTACATATTCATGAATCCATGGATCTCATAGGGCCAGAGCGGGCACCGGCACCCGGCACTGGCACCAACTCCCGACGCATGTTGGAAGCCTCATATGTGAGACATACATGACCAACCGTTCCATCGGCACTTGGTGATCAGCATATATATACCGCTCTAAGAATTCAATCTCGATAGCATTCACTGCGGCCTAGCTGCGGCCGTGCTCCATATTTGGTGCTACATACGAGTCTGGCCCCTAAGACTGTCTGCGTATAAGGCTCAGTGGTCCGGTGACACTCTTTAGAGGCCAACGCTTTGAGATATATATTGGGCCTACCTACCTATTTATAGGAGTATAACCGGATCCACGCAACACCCGCTGACACACGTAAGGCTGTGATATAATCATCTTCTGTAAGTAAGACTACCTGATCGGGTACCTATTCGATAGGTAGACCGCTTTCATTTCTTCCTTAAAGTCTAACAATGACTAATAAGTGTTTTTTTATTCTTTAATTCTATCAATATTAACCCTGACTAATCCATGACAGCAGTCCAATATCATCAGTTGATCGTGAGGTCTAGTATCTAAACGAAATCCTGCGAACAAAAACCAAAAACAGTTGCCCCCCCTACTCCCTTCCGCTGCCTCCCCTTTCGAAAACTTACAAAGCAGCTTCAGCATACGTCTAATTTTTAACGGAAGTCGAGAGTTCAAACCACCCCGGCTTTTTCCTATTCTACAACCCGAAACGAAATCATAACCATCCCCTTAATTTTCAAGTCGTTAATGGGGCATAAATGAAAAAAAGAAAAAAAAAAGGACCTCGACATGGGATATCTCAAAAGGTATGGGCAGCAAAAGAAAAGAAAGAGTTACTACAAAAGAGAAAAAATAAAATAAAAAGGAAGGGCTACGCCGCTGGAACCAAGCGACATTGCACGCCATTATTCAGCGTCAGCGACAACGTCAACTGCTCCCTCCAGTCGCTCGGGTCGAGGTTCTCTATCCCAGAGAACGCATGGAGCAACCGCGCGATCGTGTACGAGGACTCGGTGAGCGCGAACTTCTGGCCGGGACAGATCCTCGGCCCGCCGTTGAAGGGCAGGAACTCCCAGCCGGGACGCAGGTTCTCCCAGCGCTCGGGGCGGAACTCCTCGACGTCGTCGCCGAAGAACTCGGCGCGCCGGTGCATCACGAAGGTGCTGTAGGTCACGACGTGGTGCTTGGCGACGAAGAGAGGCGACTTGCCGTCGGGACCGCCGCCGACGGGGAGAACGGTGTCTTTGTTGGCCATGCGACTGTTCGTCGCGATGGGGGGGAAGAGACGGAGGGCTATTGACGAATCATTGAGGTTAGTTTCATTGTGGACGAAGCACGGTCGCAACATTCTCGGGGGTGGAGGGGGTTAGGGGGGGGTTGAGACAACATACTCTCGTTTACGACAAACCGGAGATACTTCATGTCCATAAGCGCTTCGTACGTCAGCGGCTCGCAGTAGTGTTCCAGGACATCGGCGCGAAGCTTATCCCACACGTCGGGCCTTCGCGCCAACATGAAGAACACGAAAGCGAGTAACCCGGCGGTAGTGTCGCGCGCGGCCAAGAGCATGTTGACGATCTGGTCGCGGAGGAGGATCGGATTACTGGTATCCTTGGCGAGCTCGTTCAAGAAGACGTATTTCTGGCGCCCGCCTCCCTCCTCTCGCTCCTTCTTCTCATCCGGCAGCGCATCCTGGCTGCGTCGGTACTCGAGCGCTTGGGCGACGAACTTGTCAGCGTAGGCGTGCACGGTGTCGCAGGACTCGCGGAACTTCTTGTCCCGGTGGGTGAACATGAGGTTTCCCAGGCGCAGCCGCAGGATGGTGCCCTGCTGGGCGTAGTCCAAAGCGTGGTGGAAGGTGTGCGCCGCCTCCGACGCGTTCTCCGACATCAGGCCAACCGACTCTCCAAACATGTACTCGCTGTTCGAGTCCAGGACCTATAATAAATCACAAAAAAAGCGAGGTGTTAGTCACCGGGGGTGCTGGTGGTGGTGGGAAAGAAGGGAAGCGCGCGCCCCCCGGGGAATATGTATATCACAAACCATTCGAAAGAAGAGCTGCTGCAGGTCGACCTTGTAGTTCCGGCGGGCGATCAGAGAAATCAGCTGGTCCACGTGGTGGCCGAAGATGGAGAATTCCGTGACCTGGGCCCGTACGAAGCTCGGCCGGATGAGAGCACGTTGGTGTGACCAGATTTCGTCATCTGTGGTGAAGATGCCTTGGCCTAGCAGTGGAGAGGCGCTCTTCCGTCTCAGAGGTCCCATGCCGAAGTCCTGGAATTGGAACGACAGCACGTTTTGGATCAATGTCGGATCGCAAGTGTTGATGGTGGTCCGGAAGTAGGTGTTGGTGGTGAAAGTGAGGCCATTGTTGGCATGACGAGTCCTGAGGAGATCGAGGAATCCATAATTCTTGGCCGCTGTCAGGTTTTGCATGACTATGTCGGTCCCTAGGAAAGGATCCTTCTGGGCTAGCTTCTTGGCAGGGAGACAGCCATGCTGCTTCTTCATGAGATGTCGACGTCGACATACTATAAGCCACTGGATGACATAGTACAGGGTTAGGGCGGCGAGAGCACCGGCAGCTAGGAACAAGGAGAAAGCCATGACGAAATGTGGAAAAGATGAAGGATACCGAGATTTCTATCGTGTAACACGAACACTGCATGAGAGGGTGCTTGGAGGGGGGGTATGAGGAGAGGGTGGCGAGCTTACTTATACTCTTGGGATCAAGGGTTTTCTGGGCCAATGCTGCTGCTAGGTAGAGGTAGGTAGAGAGCTGGGCCCAGATTGTGACAAGTGAACCAGACTATACTATACCTACTCGATATCCGAAGCCCGATGATGCCCAGCCGGCGAGCAGTTTCCTCCTACGAAGTACATACATACACATCTAAGCGGCAAGGGGATCCATTAAGTCCCCTTGGCCACCGATACGCACGCATGTCCCAGCGTCCACGGGTTTTTGTTAGGCAGATTGTCAACTCGGTAGAAACTTTTCTCTTCCTCTTTAGCCAATCAGGCAATTGTCCGTAAAGGATGCGTCCAATCATGGAGCCCCGCAACGACCTCGTCACTGACCTGGCATAGGTATCCAATGGAATGCTTGTCACAAGGGATAAATGCAGAAGCAGACCTACGGGGGCGTGTACTGCTTTGAGGAGAGCGAATGTACCGTTGCCGGCCGGAGCACGGAAACTACGAAAGAAATCTTTTTCTTTTATTGCTCTTCCTCTTACCATCTCAAGTGAAGGCCCACAACACGGCTGATGAAAAAGAACCGTTCATTGCTTTTACTTCCCCAAGTTTATGACTTGTGGCTGCCAGGATAGGTATTGTTGGGCTCTCGAGGACTAGACCTGGTAACGAGTAACCGGGCATCAGCGCTGGCAAGCTACTAAGCTAGCTATACACTGTGTGTATATGTGTCTGTGTATGTTTTGTTCTGTTTTGTTGTATGTGTTTTTTCTGTATTGTGTGCATGCAAATACCATCATACAACCCTTGGAAGTATTACAAATCTCTGGAGAATACTTGTAGGTACGTACGTCATGGCCATGTACTCTGTTTTGTTGATTACCTATCGATGTATTATGTGTTTCCTTGAGAGTGGCGGGTTCCCAGTTTCCTGGTACTTGGATAATCACTTAAGTGACCGACCGACTCCGCTGGAATGGGCTGTGTTGGGTCCCCTCGAAACTATCGCGAGTTATAGTTGCTCCCCCCTGAATCAAGAAGGATCCTTATAATGGCCTGCCTTGATAGCTCGATCGAGTAGTCTCAACAACAAAGTAGTATGACAATATGATAGGGTCCGGACCACGTAAATCGTAGATCGCATAGTCTAGACTAGGTACAGACGTAACAGACCTGGACGAAGCATAAATGCATTACTATGTTACTGTGAAGCATATTGTATCAATATGGCTGATGATCTTCTACCTGAGTACCTACTAAGGTTAGGTAGACGGCCTGTGCCGTGATGATTAGCACTAACTATCTATGTAGTACTCTGTGCTCAGCTCCTTTGACAGCCAAGTAAGCAATGTTGCAGTGGAAAAGCTTGCGGCGGTATTCAGGAACAGCGGTTTTCTTTACCAGACTCTCCAGACTCCATAGTATAACTATGGGTCTAGCTACCAAGTAGAAGGCTGAAACTGATGCTGTAAATGTCCGAGACACGTGGCTAACGAGGACATAGAGAAGGAGAGGCATAAAGAGAGACATTTGGTAGAGAGACAGAGAGGTCGTATAGATTTACGCAAATACTGTGTTCAGCTTCAGCGACGTTGTCCACTTGGCACGTTATTCTCGAGATCATGTGAGGTTGATGATGATGACAAGGAAATGCATTACATGCCTAGGTACCTACTTACCCATGCATACGCGCACCAACCACTTGGCCAGACTGCTTGTAACCAGGGGAGGTAACAAAGAAGGCAACAAGGGTATAATAGTCTTTAGTCTCTAGCGAGCTCTTTGGTAAAAATAGTAATATAGGTAGTAATATATTCCTTTTTCATCAACTTCGTTCAATATCGAAGTCTTAGCGGTAAGAATAGGCAGACAATAGGCAGGCATATTGCCTTGGTCAACTTTACTTCGTAGAAAATAAGACCTACTTAGGCGAAGGATTCAGTTGCGGGTAAGTCACTTAAGCGAGAAAAATGGGAAAGGGGAAAAAGGGATAATGGGGAAAAAAAGAAAAAAAAAAGGAAAAATAAGCATAAAAATAAAAAAGTGACTAGAAAGGGATACTCTATCTGGCTCATTCCCATAAGCTTGTTCCAATCGAGAGGTCAAGATCGGCAAATGGGCCCTTGAGAGTCCATTGAAAAAAAAAGAAGCAAGAAAAGAAAAGCTCAAGCCGCCTCCTGCCGCCCACCTATTCTTCAACATGTCTGTCAGACTCTCGTCAGACTCTTCCCTCTCCCTCTGCATGGCTGCAGGTGAACCTCTAAAGCACTTCCAGTTGTCAAGTTGAGAGGGGGTTGCGAGTGGAGGTGGCATGGGTGTATAGAACCCACGCAGGGGGAATCAGGGTACTGGCAGGGCATTACAGGGTCTTCGGCTGAACCTGCAGCATTCTCCATACTTAGCTAGGCAGCTTAATGTCCTATAGGGTATTTCCTGGCGCGGCATGGGACTGCCGGATTTCCTACTGCGACACTAACGGCTTCGACGAGGCGTACCACTTACCACTCCTACGCTACATCACACCAGAATGATGCTGCTTTTGCCTCATACTGTAGCGTCTCTCTTTTTTTAACCACCTATTAGGCCCTTCTCGCCCTTTATTTCCCCCTTCTTGCTCTTCTAGCTCCCTTATAGGCTTACTACCTAGCTGATTTGCAGTTTATAGTGTAGAGCATGTTGCAGATATCGACAGGGGCTTTCTCTCTTTTTTTTTCCAGTTACGATTTTATGGATGGATGGATAGATGTATGCCAGGTAAGTACCTATGTATGTAGGAATGTGCTGGCCTTTTTTTTTTTTTTTTTTTCTCTGTCTCATTTTCCAAATTTTCTGATACTCTGATATTTTTATTTTTGATATAATACATATGACCGTAAAGGGAAGGCTTCTAGCGCGGTAATTCGAAGATGGTAAGAAGCAAAAGGAAACTAATGAGAGTGGACCGTCCGCGGAAGCGACCCAGTACCAAAGCCATGGAAATAAACGTGAATCCATTTGTGCCACCAGTGTCGATTTGTGACCAACAGTATCGTGACGGGGCAACGGGGCGTCAGGGCACCCAATCAACCTGAAGCGAGATCGCTTTCGGATCTTTTGAGACGCCATTTTCTCCCGAAAGCCTGGCATCTCCTACTATTTTCTCTCCACCCCCGACCGGCAGAATACCTACCCAGTACCTAGAAAACCACCTAATACATCTCTACGTAAGGGGTAAATAAGGCAGCTAAGCTACCTGTAGGTATGTAGGGATCATAATAGAACAACGTGGCCGTGACACACATGAAGCATATGTCGGGCTGAAAACATTCAAATTTCCCACTTCTGCCCCGAAATGAAACCATTGTCTGTGCCAACATAACCCACTCATCGTACCAAAGCAAGGGAGAATCTGTTACTACCTAGTATCTAGTATCTAACATTTTACTTTTACAAAGGATGACTACCATCAAGAACGTCGCCGTTGTAGGGGTATGTCCACCTCCACACCTCTCTCTGTTGGGAAGCTGACGAATGCTGACCACTATGATTAGGCAACCGGGAAGATCGGCCGCCCAATCGTAGACCATCTTCTCGCATCGAAGCTTTTCAAGGTGACCGCCATCACTCGTGACGGGGGAATTCTGCGCGATTTCCCCGCAGATGTGACGGTCAGAGAAGTGGATTACAACTCTCTCGAGTCTCTAGAGGCTGCTCTACAAGAACAGGATGCACTGGTCTCGGCCATGGCGTTTGAGGCTATCCACGAGCAAAAGAATCTTGTGGACGCGGCGGTAAATGCTGGCGTCAGACGAATGATTCCTTCCGAGTATGGAAATGACCTCCTGAATCCCAAGCTGGCTGCCTTCCCCATCTACCAGCCCAAGATTGCCATTCGCCAGCGATGTGAGCGCATGGCAGCCAAGAACCCGGACTTCTCCTGGACCACGATTCATAATGCGTCGTTTCTGGGGCCAGACTGGACACTGGACTTCATCGTGGACGTGAAGCAGCGAAAGGCTGACATCAAAGATGGCGGTGACGTGCTCTTCTGCGCCACCACATACGACGATATCGCTCAGGCCGTGATTGGGATCTTGACCCACCTGGAAGAGACGGCTAACCGTCCGGTGAGGATATCGAGCGTCAACACGACTCAGAACGAACTGATCACAATAGCCAAGGAGCTAGGCGCTACCGACGGCTGGGATTTGACGTATTCCAAAACCGAAGACCTGGAAATTGAAGCCCTACAGCGTTGGGCGAAAGGTGATCATAGCGACGAAGTGATCGCAATGTTCATCAACCGAGCCTTCATAGGGCACGGCTGGGGCGGGTACTTCCCGGTTCGTGACAACGATTTATTGGGAATCAAGGGGTTAAACCGAGATGAGCTGAAAGCCATCGTGAAATTGGCTATCGAGAGGTGATCCCATTGGTCTAAAGGATGAGTCAATACCATTAATACCCTGGTATTTTCCTTTTTCATGTTGTAAAGTACCGGCATCTTGGGTTGATGGGTTCCGGCGCCATGGTACTGGAACACGGCACTTGGACCCAGCCATGGGACGCACACAGATACATAGACACACACACGCGCACTTACAGACACCCCCCACGCTCACATAACATATAATAGTTCAAGGCGCCGGAATTCTCTGTGTTCGATTTGAATCTTGTAGACTACCTTAGCCTACCTAGTACCTAGTACCTACCCTACAGTATTGTACATACATAGGTGCCTATCTAGGTACGTATTTATGAGGTATCTACTTCACGGGTATCTGAGAACGCACTTTCATAAGCCAAACTCAGGTTTTCCATTCAATTCAACCCAGACAAATAAAATAAAAGCCCTAGTTGCTGCTCGTCAGAGCGCTTTGAACCCTCTGCCCTTTACCAGACAGAAGTTCAAGTTCGAACCTGAGAAGAAGTCCAACCCTACCTAGGGCACCTAGCAAACCCAACCAAGGATAGGGGGACTTTGACTGACTCCCTTTAACCCTTTAACCCTTTAACCCTTACATATGTATAAATACACCGAAGCCCATCCTTGATAACAGACAGATATTCACAGAAGAACCCTTACACAGAAGACCCTTAAATTATGTCATGTCTTTTTTGTTTTATTTTTTGAACATCTTCCATTTATTTTCCTCGGCATTTCAGGACTGTTCCGTTTATGCCAGCCGAGAGGGGAGCCTAATAGTATTTAGGTATTAAATGTCGTTTGTATTCCTTCATCCACACACATACACCACTTCTCCCTTCTCTTTTTCCCCCTTCTTTTTTTTTAAAAAAAATCTTGTTTTCGTTTTCTTTTTCGTACAAATTTCACGGACGACTATGGCCGGTATAACTTGACCTCCGCGGGCCTCTCGCAAAGGTGAAGTTGCCGTGTGATTGCTGGTGTTGGTTCTCTTCATCCGGAACGACGTGTCGATGGTTATCCGCTTCCAGATCCTTCTCGTCGCGCGCCTCGCTGACCACCTCGACCTCCACGTGCTTGTGTATATTATTACCGTTGGGGGCCACCGCGTTGCCGCCGCCGCCGCCACTGCCATTCGTGCTCGTGTCGGTCCAGCCCTTGAGATCCTGCATTTTCACCTCGTCCACCATGCGCTCCTCGCTCTCGTTGAACGTGATGTTGGTGATGGGGTTTGCGGTGGGCGGGCCCCCGCGGCGTCGCCAGCTCTGGTGGCTGCCGCCGCCGAACGTGCGCAGGTCGCTCTTCGATTCCTTGTCGGTGAGTCGCTGCTGCGAGCGGACGGTCGTGAGCAGAGAGCCGAAGATGGGGGTGAGCCACATCTTGAAGAGCGGGAAAATCATGGGTAGGTTCGTCGTGACGACCGCGACGAAGGTTTCCCGAACGGCCCAAGATCCGGCTAGTTGCGCGCCATTAACTGGGTCCTGCGGGTAGATCGTATTAGCTTAGCCCATAACTAGTTACCATGGGTTGGGTGGGTTTGTTTGTTGTCGATCATCGTTCCGTGCCGCACGCGCGCGTAGGGCAGGACAGGGGTGGTTTAGGGAGTAGTGGGTGTAAGTGGGTAAGGGGAAGAAGGGAGGAACTTACCGTTACAATGAGCGCGCAACGCAGAATGGCGCAAGCGACGACAAATAAACCTCCGCTAAAAAGAATAATCAAGCCGAATTTCTTGACTGGCTTCAGACTTGATTGCCAAAGCATAGGCACGGGGATGGAAAGTAGGTAAAGATCGGTGATGACATTCATGGAGAGGTACACCCAAATGACCTGGTTCGAAATAGCGGGTTGGCAAACATCTGAATGAATGAAACCAGGTTAGTTAGTGTGCATGTTTTATCCCTATTATGGCAAAGGCGCAAACAGGGAGAGGATGAATAGATGAATGAATGACGACGTACTGCCAGGGTCAGGATTTATCTGCCAATATCTGTAAAATGGTCGACAGGCGAGGAAGAGATTCATCAAGATAGTAATGAAACTGGCGAGGAGAAGTCCGAATCCGATATAGATGCGAATCAAGTAAGTACGAGCCAGGCCAGACTATGAATCTTGATCAGCAATCACGTCTCATATGGTACGAACCTTGGAGACTTTTGGGAGCTTACAGTCAACCGCAAGTAGAAGACGAGAAGAGAAGCCTTGAGTGCCCAGAGAAGCACAGAATAGGATGACCATCCTGCGAGTTGGATCTTGGAACCAATGACTCTGTTCAATCATAGTTAGCAAGCATTCACACACACACGCACACACACGCACTCTCGCTCTCTTTCTGTCATTTTTCACTCCTCAACTCTCATTTCCTTCTCTCCACATTCGATCTACATACCTTGTAGTATATTCTTCGCTATCTGGAGACAATGCGGCCCGCTGTTCATCTGTCATGCCATTGTTGGCCAACCCTTTAGCAACAGCACCGACCGAATATGCCAAACTAGTCTCTACGGCATAGAAGGTCTGTGTTTTTTAATGTTCATGTTAGTTCATATATACTTGTATATTATAGGTATATTGCAACCTAGAAACCAGGCATAAGACAGAACTAACCACCCCAATCCAGACCAAGAAATCATCGGCTTGTAATCGCTTGACCCCAACAGCTTTTATTCGAGCGTACGTCCTGAGAATGGTAACTACAATGCCGAAAGCTAGAAGTGTCCACGCTTCGATGGTGAACTGACGCATTGCCGCGGCGGCAGCTTCAGCAGCGGCTGCTGCCGCCGCTGGGTCGGGTGTTGATGCATCCGGGGAAGACATAACGCGGGAAGGAGAGATACGTAGAGAGATGGTTGCTTGGAAGGATGAAGCGACGGTAGCAGGCGAACCAGTGAGTATGTGTGTGTGTTGAACGGCAAGCAAGTAAGTTAGTTATATGAAAGGATTGGGCTCGACTTGACTTGACTTGATGTCAACCAAGGAGGATAGACGAACATGCAGATGGAGATGGCCAGGGCTTTTACTTGTTCGGAGCTGGGCCGTTTGACAGACTACATGTAGGTATTCTATAGACTTACATACTTTCGTACATGGAGGTACTTTGCAATACTCTGCGTGTTAGGTGTATGGCACGGCTGTTCATAATTCTTTTGGAGTAGGGTATTTATTTTGTGAAAGCCACTATGACTGGTCAATTCCTGATAGACTGTACAGATCGGGGGACCGTTGAACATGGGTTAATACCCTTGAAAGAGCCTGAACCACATATTGGCGGCATCGACAGGGTTGGATTAATCTCGAGTCATTATCAAAGTGGATAGCCGAGACCACATATATGGAGATACGATTACAGATCGGCAAACGTTTCAACTGCATGTGGATTGTCAGTTGTGAATATCGTTCGTGTGATAGCTTCGATCACTTACTCAACCCAATCGCAGTATTGTCACATCAGGCACATGAGATGCTGACTTGCTTCATGATGCAGGAACAGAAAGGGACTATTAATCTTACTTACAGTAGGTATTCGAATTCTGGGGACTGAAGACGTACATACTTCAATATTACCACCCAAGCTTCTTTTTACCTTCTAAGGGTTTTGCACATGCTTGGTCTGGCACTTGACATAAGCCCTAGAACGATTCTGGTTAATCTGTCAATACTTCGTTCGAAACTGCCCCTGAACATCTTGAATGTGTGTTATCCCATAATACGAAGAAGACTCTCCAACTTTCCGTTCATGCCTGCACATAATGGGAAGAGAAAAACCTTGCACGGCTAAAAGATCACCGTTACATTTGATCAAGGGGGGGCGTCGGGGAGATAGCGTAGGTAGTTGGTGTCTGCAGGTTTGCGGGACTACTAGTAACTAGTTACCTATGCTTCAGTCCTCGGCGTAAAACTGCAGACCTAGGTAATCACTGCTGGGGGTTCTGATACTCGGAATTACGTACTGAATCTCTGAAATAAGCAGGTGGAATGCGTTTTCAAACACACAAAATCAATCCAAGAGTTTTCTTGGTTCACGAACGGGAAGCAAGTGGGATGGGGATGGGGATGGAGAGGGAAATGGAGGAAACATACCTTAAAGAGAGGGCTGGTGTGTATTGAAGTTAGAGAGCCTCAAAACCCTCCGGAGTACAACCATTGCATACATAATACCTATGTAGGTAAGTATTGCCTACCTAGGTATTTAGGTAACCATCCCCCGGATCAAATCTTTTCACCTCCTCGGTGTTGCTATCTTCATAAGGGAGCTCGAGCTTAAAGACTTGAGCCCATAATACCTAATTTCATGTTTGTTATGCATAACACACAGGAGAGTGCATATGCATGCTACAGCATCGGAAAAGAATCTGACGGCCGGAAAAAGTTGGTGTGCTACGCAAACGCAAACGCAACGTTGAACGCAACGCAGCACATGGATGGATACCCAGTGGGTACGTACTGCTATGTATGTATGTTGTAGCTGTATGTATGTGTGTAGGTATGCAGGTTGGGTCCAAGCGTATGCGGTTGTGTACATAACATACATATCATTGTACATCCATTCATTATACGTACATATAGCGCACATATGTATATGCATAGAACTTGGAAGTGAGCCTGCCTACAGTGCCTACATATCATACATAGTACTATATAACGTTATTGTCCTACATGTAGAAACAAGCTGGTTGGATTCCTTGTATGTAGGCAGGTATGTACATATGTAGGCTCAAATTGTATGATTTTCATACATACCATCAAATCTTGGAACTTTGAGTACCTTAACATACCAACTGTACCATGGTTAAATGATCATGATGATGATTGCAGATTTCCAATTTCGCTTTTCCTCACCCTCTCTCTCTTTTTATATATCTCTTACCCTTCGTCATCCGCTGATCATTCCCTGGTCATCTGTTGGCCTGTGCCAACGGGAACGCTATTATGGTGTAGGGCTTGAAAGGTAGGCTGGGTAGAGTGGGTAGACTAAAAAGAGAGCGACGTTGGTTTGAGCAAAGAGGCTATACATACCTATAACAAAGATCTATTATGTATGATCAAGCTTGAAAAGAGGGTGGGGGGCCCTTCGTTAAGGAAAATCGAATTAGATATGAGACTAACTGTCTTTATATGTGGTACTGTAACAGCGGGACGGGTGAGACCAGGTCAATTCCGAATCAAGTAAGGGATTGACATGATCTTCTCGGCTGTTATACCTGATTCGCCATTGGTGGGTGAATTGGCTCTTAGTAGGTATGCCAAGAGTGTGGAGAGTTACCGTTTCGAGAAACATCTCATATCCAACGTGGAAACCATGGTCCAACATAGAACCAACATTGAATCCTGTCAGCAACTACTATGTAGCTGCGTCCACAGGACTACCACTCTCACCACAGGACTGGCCCCAGGCTCTAGCCTTCGCACCGTACGACTAGGGACAATAGATTAAGGCGGGCCGTCGGGGTTGAGGATGAGACAGGCAATAACCAGTTCTAACCTAGATGATGTTTAGTCAGGCAAAGGCCTCGACCTTGTGCAGCATGAAAGGGGGGGAAGACGAGGGGGGCCGAGGGGGGGTAGGAAGGGAAGGGATGGGAAAGTAAGGGATACAAGGGCGGCGCAGGCTGATAAACAACTTGAGGTATGTAATATGTCAGACCTTGAGCGCAGTTTTACATTTGCTGCTAGACTTATTACAAGTTTATCCTTATGACTTTTATCCTGATTCCCGGCTCCTTACTATACCAAGAAAGCCTGGTTAAGACCCGACTGAGTGTATCACCATGGCTAATACGACATCAACGGAGAAAGTCGAAAACATCGCCGTGGCTAACGGCATCACGATGGAGAAGTTAGACTGTGCCGTTGTTGGTGCTGGTAAGTTTTATTCCCCTTTTTTTGTTTCTATCACTCTATATCCCCGTTATGATGGCGCATACCTACCTACCTACTTAGCACATGCCTACACTTACCCATCTATCTACATATCTGCCTACTTACCTACCTGCCTACCTACCTAGGTTGGTAGGTACTTACTAAGAGGTGGTTAGGTAGGTAAGTAAGTAGATAATTATTGAAATTTGCGCCGTAATGAAAGAGGCGCACAAACTGATGGCGATAACTTCACAGGATGGTTCGGTTTAGCTGCCGCGAAACAGTTTCACTGTACACAGCCAGAATGTTCGCTCGCCGTGTTCGACTCACAGTCCAACCTGGGCGGCACATGGGCCGATGAGCGCCTGTATCCGGGGTTAAAAAGCAATAATCAGTTAGGAACCTTCGAATATCCTGACTTCCCCATGGACACGCCCACATTCGGCGTTAAGCCCAAGGAACACATGTCGGGTGAGGTCATAAACAACTACCTTAAGGCATACGCGGCCAGGTTCGGTATCACCAGTTTGATTCGCTTGAACACCAAAGTCATTGTCGCAGAGCACCAGGAGACTGTCGAGGGCGGATGGATCCTAACCATCGCACCCCTCAACCAAGCCCCAACTAGAGTGTTTGCGCGCCGAGTCATCTTCGCCACGGGAACCACCTCGGAAGCCTTCTTACCACATTTTGAGGGCCAAGAGAGCTTCGGCGGCAGAATATTCCACGGGAAGGACTTCAAGCAAAACAGCGATACGCTGCAGACGGCGAAGAGAGTAACCGTCTTCGGTGGCACCAAGTTTGCTTGGGATGCCGTGTATGCGTACGCCACCGCCGGCGTCAAGGTGGACTGGGTTATTCGATGTACGTACCTTTACTTAACCTAACTTGACGTTTCAAGGCCCATCTCCATCTCCATCTCCATCCCCGCCCTCAAGGACTACCTACCTAGTCCTGTCTTAGACTACATTATGATCTGAGCTGAGCTGAGCTGACTTTCTAACTCTAGCTTCTGGCCACGGCCCGTGCTGGATTGCCCCCTCATACGTTACGCCACTCAAAAAGTGGATTGAGAAGCTTGCAAGTAAGTGTTTGCCATGCCGTGATGCAAATCCTGCGATTTTACTCTAGTCCTAATGGGTATTTTCTCTTACTCAGATATGCGTTTCTTGACTTGGTTCAGCCCTTGCGCGTGGGGCGATGTCGACGGTTATAGTCGCATCCGGAGTTTCTACCACGAGACCGCGGTAGGACGGACTATCGTCAACTCATTCTGGAAAGTGTTGGGAGGGGACGTCCTAAATCTCAACGATTACGATTCTCACCCCAAGACCGCCAAACTAAAACCCTGGACAGAAGCCATGTTCACGGGTGCCAGCTTCAGCATCTTGAACTACGACACCGACATCATGGAGCTCATCAAGAGCGACAACGTAGATGTTTACGTCAGCGAAATCGACCATCTCAGCCCCGGCAAGGTTCATTTGTCTGACGGCACGGAATTCGAGTCTGATGCCCTTCTAGCCCACACGGGCTGGAAGCACGTCCCGCCTATCAAGTTCTTACCCGAAGGTATTGAAACCGAGCTTGGCATCCCCCACACCCCAAACGATGGCGCGCCAGCCACCGACCTCGCCAACGACCCCGCCATGATCGATCGAGCTGACAAGGAGATCTTGAAACGCTTCCCCCGGCTCAAGGACCCTCCCGTGTGGAACAAGAATTATATCCCCATGACGGAGCAAAAGGGCATCATGAGTGATGACGAGGTGACCCCCTACACGCCCCTGACCCCGTACATGCTACACCACTTCATCGTGCCACCGTCGGAGCGGTTCCTCAAACGTCGCGACACGGCCTTCATCGGCATCGTGTCCAACTTCAGCAACATGATCATGGCCCACCTTCAAGGCCTGTGGATCAGCGCGTACTTCGCCGGTAAGCTAGAGCGCGACCCGTCGATGGCCGTAGGCGACGAGCAGGCGATGGATCAGCTGCGGTACGAGACGATGCTGTACTGTCGGTTTGGGAAATGGCGCTACCCGACGGAGGGGACCAAGCGTCCCAACTTCATCTTCGACGCCGTGCCTTACCTGGACCTGCTACAGCGGGACCTGGGGCTGGAGATATGGCGCAAGAAGGGGTTCTTGGCCGAGCTCTACGAAGCGTACGGCCCCGAGGACTACCGCGACGTGAATAACGAGTGGCTGAGGAAGTACGGCGACATGAAGAAGATGGAGTCCCTGAACGACAGCTCCAAGTCGCTGAGTCCGGTCGACACGCACCAGAACTGAACTGAACTGAAGCAACCAAAGCAAATGCAAATGCTTTGGAACGGAAAAGTTTTTAATGTCTCAATATTTATCATTCTTCACGAAGCGAGCGAGCGTATGTATTGCAAAAAAATAAATCAAATTTGTTCTGTTCTTGTACTTCTATCTAGGTTAGGTAGGTAGGTAGGTATATGGGCAGCAGGGACGGAGTTCTCTTCAACACGATGTATTACAGGCACTATTGGCTTGGTCTACTTTCGTTATTCCCTTTGGCTTTTCTTTTCTTTTTCTTTTTCCGGGGTATTTTTTCTTTTTTGGCTTCATCACGAAAAATTTCTTGCCGGCAAGTCAAGTCAGCCTTGTCATTTCTCTTGGGGGTTTTTTACATGTACAGTCCTCATAGGGCAACGTTCTTTTTCTTCCCGTGTGTAGAAATTAGAATATGATACCCATCAACCCATGAGCCGGCACGATATTATGTAGATGAGGCTTAGGGCATGCGTAATACGATCAAAATATGAGACATTGGACCGAAATCTTACTATGTGCGTGCGGATGCCTAGTATCCCTAAAAGAATGAGTAGATCTACAAGTATTCGTACAGTGTGTATGGGGCAATGAATACAAGCTGATCGGAACCTTGAAGATAGGGGGGCGGGCACATGTGCATACGCACTGTAAATCCTCAGCCCACCGCACTCAAGCTACTGTATCTGCCTAGTATACCTAACCGACGTACGGATCCTCCCTATTAGTCCAACGCAAGCCTATGACAAAAATTTCAAGTTCTCACGTTTGAAATCATGCAATACTCGAACCATATCATGGAATATATTACCGACGGTAGGGAACTGCTCCTACGACCGCCCAATAGTGATCGCTTAACGGCCGAAGCAACAAGTTTTTTTAAAGGGGGGGATTTTTCTCTCATGCGGGTGATCAGGAGAGCAAATAAGTGCTTCGACTCCAATTCATGGTTGCTCAAGGGATCTTGTTGTCTCGTTGCCACGCCGTTACGCGGGAAGCGTTGGCTGGTTCCCGTTTGGTATAAAACGATCCTGGACCTAGTAATACACGGGCGGCTTCACGGGACTATTCTTCCCATACTAGGTACTAGGTATTAGGCACGCCACTTTCTAGGTTCTAGGGCTTATGTAGTGAGCACGGGCTACGGTATGGTACTTTGAAGGATAACGAGTTAGATGTAATACAATGCTAATATCTACATAGCTAAGAAATTAGTGGCTCATGTTGGTAAACCTATCCTGCCAATGAGCAGTGTAACTATTCCCAGTTGTGGATAGCAAGGATATACGACAAGGGTTCCCATCAAGGATAGATGATTGTTTTCCATCGAGTCATCGACTCCACGGTGGTATCAGTGATGGAGCCCCTTTATGCTACAGGAGGGTTGGAGGGGATAACTTTTTCATTATCATGCATAACATACAGTAGCAGAGTCGTAACTGGAGGTATAACGTCGATAGGGCTCAAGGATGTTGGAAAGGATTTGCCCTACCTGTGTACCTACATGTAGGTAGTAACTAGGTAGTAGGTACGAAACTACTCAGCTACGCGGAAAAAGCCCGACATTGGCGGTGTAACCGTAATCTTTTTCCTTTTTCATTCTTTTTCTCTCTTCTGGTTCTAGATTCTTGGCCAGATCTTCGGCAACTCTGTCCCGAGGAAGAACCATGCCCTTTAAGAGGTTGGAGGTTATCACCATGGTTTGAATTTTGGTACATCACTCGATACCTGATCCCCTGACTCTGGTGTCCATGTTACAATATCCTTTATGATGCCTAGATTGTTCATTTACGGGAACGATAAATTTGTTTAAAACGCCATCTAAACTCTCAATTATCGCGGACTAGTTACTCAAAATAGAGCTGCGAGAATTTCATTCTGCATGCACATCACACCGGCTACTACTGGGATGTACACCGTGTCGTGGGTGAGCGTTCAGGGTATTCAGGGCAGCTAGGTAGTATTCTTTATATCACGTAAAACACACTATTGGAAGTATTAGTAGTACATCAACCCCAGACTCCCAGAGAACAGAGAACAGACTCAACAGAGAGCAGAGAATCGAGAATACCTAGAAGACTGTCAAGGTAGCAGTAGAACTGTAGAATACCTACGCGTCATGACGAAACAGTAGTATTCTCTAGCTCTGCATCGCACGGGATACAGACTAATTCAAGCAAACGGTCTGCCTGCCGCCTACATGCCTGGTTGCCTAGTACTTAGCAAGCAATCCAAGATGTAGCCAAGGGGTTTTCGCTTGTCGAGCGAATGAAGATGAAGATGAAGGCGGAAGTGAGCAATTAGTAATTAGCGATTGCATTTTCTGATACATCGAAAGCGACGAAAACCACGTCGGTTAGAGGAAATGGCGTTCCAGAGTCGGCCCGTCACCAATTGAGGTGTTAATCGAGATTTCATCAAATGCTTTCAAGATAATGACAAAAAGGCTTACAGTAGATACTGTACTACTCCAGGAAGCGTTCGCATAGATGCAATTTGAAGTGCCGGCATGTGTAGGTAGTAGGCAAGTGCCTACATAGTAAGGAGGGATGAAACGAGATGGCATCGTAGCAAGGCGGCGGTAAATGTCAAAGGTAGCATCGCATTATCCGGGGTTCCCCTCATCCTTCATTGGGGTACGATTTGCTTGCTTGGTATTCAAGCGGAATATATCTATGTAGGTAGGCGTATGTACGCATGTACGTATGTATGCATCATGGTTCTTGCAAAGACGACATCTCTGCATGCCCCTAACCTGTCCTGCATCATGGGTTGCAATTCGGTCCGCCACAAGCTGCCGAGGCGTTAGAACGTTACGTAGGCAAAATATACATATGTAGTTAACTACCTATTGATGAATGCTCATCACTTTCCACTTAGGTATGGATAGGTGTAGGTATTACACATACTGAGTAATGAACGCCTTCGAGATACACCTGTGGACGTTAACAAAAACCTAAGACATGTCAGAGAACGGGAGTGGCCGATAATCCATTTATCCCCGTGAGTTCTCGTCAATACCCTAAGCCTTATGATGGAATTCTTATCAGGTCATATTACAGTAGCCTTAGGGGACAGGTCAAAGGGGCAGAGCGGGCATTACTAGATAGGTATCTAGTGGCACGAATGTGGATAAGAACGCGAATGCGAAAGTTATGAAATAACTAGGTTAGTTAGTTAGCCCTAGAGCCCTAAAGGAACTGGCCTCAGCTTTTCTAGAAGACCCATCAGTCTATTAACGCCGCGTTCCTGCATACGCGACCCCCCTCCAATACTATCACAGTCAAGACAAAGCCACGATTCTATATTATACGGTCCCATCCTATCGATGGATCTCGATAGTCGATACTAGGTACTCGATAGGATTCTGAGGCTTAATCTTCAATTTGTGACGTCTCAATCCCCGACTTTTTGTTTACACGTGTATTCGTGTAGAAGATCTGATGATCGCATCTATATTCCAATTTCCCACCTACTGCCATATTTCTATATTCCAATTGCTAGCTACACTGCTACAGTATTCCCCTATCTCGAAATGAAATATCAATCTAACCTAAGCTAACCTAGCTGCCGAGCACTTTGTTCTAGTTTAGTTTTAATGCTTCATAATTAGCACCAAGTAGGCCACCGACGTAGAAGATCATGTCAGCGTTATCAGGGGCTAGTTACCACCTTGGCAAGTATTCCCTTCAAGATTATGCCACTCAATAGGATATGATAGCCTATAGGTGTCTCTTCCGACGTTAATGTCCTCGACGCCTCTAGTGTTATCAATATATTATTAGTAATTTCAATTATTTCAATTACAATAGTTGCATACTACCACCCCAAGGATAGCTTTATTACACTGGCACATGTAAGAGACAATACCCAAAAAGAAAAGCAAGTGGCCATGTAAACAAAATAATCACCGATATTGGATCTAACGACGCAAGTAATCAATCAATTCTCGCGACTTTTGTCCTCGCTTATTTCTCTTTTCTCTTTCTATCTCTCTGCATCTCTCTCATACCCCCTATTATCCCCTACCTACAATACCAATTGTATTGTAAGCCGGTCGGCCATTGCTATCAAACATCGCCATCTTGGGCCAAATACACGGCATAAACCCCTGAAGAGAGTCATCATCATCACCATTGTCCAGGTATCACCACAGTGATCACAGTAATACCGCAGCTGAAATCGCCTCCCCGTAATTTCGCAAATAATTGCGACCGAGTCCGTTCGCCTATCGGAGTTTTTCTCCTCCTTTCTCTCTCTTTGCTTTGCATGTGCATTTGCATTTGCATTTTCAATTTCCGGCGCTGAGCGAACCCGAAGTTTAGTTCCCAGTTCACTCAATCACTCATCCCGTTGCCGTTCTAGGTATTACCACAATCTCCTTTCGAAGCTTACTGCTGCATCGAATCGACGACAATCTAGGGACCGGTGTGCCTCTACCCCTCCCCCCACACCTTTCCCCCCTTTTCACCACCCTCCCTCTCCAAGCAATGCGCTCGCGCCCATACACCCCACCACCCCCACTACCACCCCTCCTGACCGAACTCTCGGCGTACCTCCCGAACAGCAGCCGCGGCCGAGACACCAATAGCAGCAAATACCACCAATGCCACCACGGTAATCACGGTAGCGCCGTCGCATTAGCGGACCTAGACCCGGAGACCAGCCGTCTGCTGCCGCGGAAGCGACAGCCGCAGCCGCAGCACCGCGTGCGCGTGCAGGGGAAGCTGGCCCCCGTGCGCAGCGTGTCGGTGGTTAACTTGGTGCGCGGCGGCGCGGGACCGGGGGACCATCATCATCATCGGCGGCGTGCGCACTCGCCGCGGGGCGATGCTGAGATGGACGCTGCGGTGGGGGCTACGCTGACGAGGCCAAGGACGAGGGGGAGGAGGAGGAAGAGTTTAGATGATGTGGATGTGGATGTGGATGTGGACGGGGATGAGGGTGGGGATATGAATGGGGATGGGGGCTACGAGGCGGGAGAAGATGAGGTCGGGGATAGGGATACGCAGCTCAGGGGGTATGGGATCGGTGGGAGGGGGAACATCCGTGAGATCTCCTATTCTCCTTTCTTCCTTCTCCTCGTACACTCACAGCACTGACTTACTAACATTCGCGGTTCCAACAGGTCGGCCGACGGATGTCATAGGGACTTCTTCATCCAGGACAACATCGCTATCCTTGTCCTCGCTCTTCTCAAGCTCTGGTCCTGTGTCTCCGGGGCCGGGATCAGGGTCAGGGCCGGATAAGCGGTTTACTCTTGCGGGACTGCTGAATCGTATGGAGGATCGCAGGGTGGAAAGAAAGGGGTATCAAAGCTAAAAGAAAACAAAAGAAATCGTGCATGGAGTCATGTGTAGGTAGGTATATGTTATTGCGCGATGGAGCTTTGGCTTGTCTTGTATAGATGCATTACATTTGGTGGTGGTTAGGCGTTGTCGCGTGTATTAAAAGACTATGGGCGCGAGCCTGCTATTTGCATAATCATTGAGGTCCATCTTGGAATATAAGATAGGAGTAGAGTGTACAGATAGAGTAGGCGACCAGACACGGGTTTGGGCGTTGGGACATCAATTTTACACAGTCCATTCCTATTTATCAGGCAGCTTCAGTAGCATGACCTCATGCATGGAATAATATGGATAACAATTCGTACATAGAAGCATAGCATGTGTATAACAGCAGAAATATGTGCTTCAAGGAACCAGTTTCGCCCACCTAGAGAATGCAGTTTGCCCCTAGGAAGTATACCTAGTATCATACGCCAACCTTTTGTCACTGTTGTCCGTATTCTAATTCCAGCCTTCGTGGAATCATTGCCAGATCAGAAGAGCCGAGAAAGAAACTTATGTAAAGGATATGAACATGCAACATGCTGTTGCTGGCGTCAACTTCTGTAGCCTGGCCATGATCCACTTGGCGGAAATGCTGACCAGTTGGATGAGTCCCTCTCCCCTGACCCTTTCATCGTTGTCGGTGGGTCAAGTGTTAGATGTAGATGCGCTCAGGGGTAAAGGGGGCAACTAAAATCTTCCCACCGGCGGCAAGCAACAGCTCCTGGTAAACAAGAGATTTGGGGCTACGGGTAAGATTTACCTTCATCTCGCACATCTCGTAAAGTGATATGATTGGATTTGAACCTTGGACTTCTCGTATTGTCACTTTAAAGGTGTTGGTCGAGTTCCAGGACGACCCTGAGTTTTATTGATCGTGTCTGTGAATTGATTCACTTCGCCATGTCTCAGGCATGCATACACTTTATATTGCCTATTGGATACTATGAACTCACTTAATCTACTTGTCACCCTTAGTGCGCCATCCTAAAATGTGCTGCTTTCTGTCAGTGTTAGTCGAGCATACCTAGCATTGCCATAATTCAATGAGCCTTCCATAGGTAGCTACCTAACTAGTATCTTACCTAGGTAAAGATGGACGTACTTGCAGATGATTATTATGGCTTCGAATAGTTTTAGGTTCTTCAATTAAGTCGCCGAAAATCAGTTGTAAGTTGATGATATTCATGTTAACCTTGAACACAAGGTTGGCTGCTCTATGCGCTTCGCGAGATGAAAGATCATTTCTATAGGCATGCTCATCATTAAAGGGGTATATCTCTGACTGTATACCTAACTACCCATGTAAATCATTCATAATCATACATTCTCTTCTTAAAGAAGCATTCAACCCAGTCTATCTAGCCCAAGTCATTTCTCATCGCCCATAAACCCTCTTCTCCAAGTACCGGAACGGCAAGTAAAGAACCGCCGTCACCACAAACGCCATCTCAAATCCAATATCCCCAGACTTCTCCGCAATCGGGCCCTCAAACCACACCTGCGACATACTCGGGATCACCAGCGCAAAGCTCAGCGCACTCGCCGCCAAAGCCGCAACGCCCAGCGGCAGTCTCGACGCCACATTCCAGCTGTCATGGTCATAGCTGTCGTATTTCCCGCGCCTGAACACGTTGTGCTCGACGATTAGCACCGCGACGAACGCGGCCGACCAGTACCCGATGAGCGCAACGAAGTTCTCGAGGCTGGCGAAGAACTCGGACGCGGCCTTGACACTGACGGGGATGACGATGGCGGTGACCAGGACGGAGAACATGTAGCGCGGGATGACGACGAGCTGCGGGATGAGGATCTGGAAGTTGAGGGTGATCGAGTACATGGTCGCCGCGATGTTTCCCAGCAGGGTCAGCGAAAGCACGACCACCACGAATTTACCGAAGCCTCCGGCTCGTGACAACATTGCCGCTAACACGCCGCCTACTTGGGTCTCGTCGTAGCCTTCTTGCCACTCTGGAATGCTGCTTAGCGCGCCGCCGATAGCAGCGCCCAGAATCATGAGCAGAAGCGAGGGAAGCACTAGGCCTACATATCCATAAAGGAATAGCCTCAATCTTTTCATGTCCAACAGTTAGCCCATGACCCCAAAACTTGGCACAGAATGGAAACGACTTACGATGAAAACTTAGGGTTCAGATATGTAGTAAAATCCGAGGCGAGACAGGCATACGGGATCATGTAGGAGGCTATGATCATGCCGAAACTAAGGACACCGCCTGACGTCGCAGGCTCTGTGGGTGCTTGCTCACTAAGCCGCGACCCTCCACATCCCGTGGTAATAACAATGGCGATCAAGGCCGGAATCCACGCCCAGCGCTCGTAATGGTGGAGTACGTCGTACCCGCAGAAGGAGATGAGCAGGGCCAAGATGCCCATGATCACTATGCCAACCGCCGGCGTGAGAGAGCCGCCGGCAACCGCAGATAGGCATTGGCCGCCAATGACACAGATGACGACACAGAATCCCGTGAGCGTGGCCAGGTTCAGGATCACGGGAACGGAGACCAGGTACCGCCCAAAGGAAAAGCGAGCCTGTATCATCTGCCGCAGACCGGTCTTGGGCCCCAAGGTGCCGAGATAAGCCGGGATGGCTGCAGTCAGGAGGCAGAAGAATAGGATGACCAAAGAGCAGTCTCTTAGACTAAGCCCGTAGGTTGGGCCGAGCATGCCAAAAGTAATTCTATTAACGGGACATCAGCCAACTGTTTACTCTCTGCCGACGACGACAGACACACTTGACAATGACTTACGGTAAGAGGTTGATATTCATGCAAACCCATATCGAGAAGTAACTCGTATAATTGGTGGCGTTCCGATCTTCCAGGGAGACCGGCATGACTCCTCGCTCTTCAATCGGGCCCGCTGAGATGAAGCGGGCAAAAGTGCCCCGAAGGGTCTCTATCCAAGTCCGACCTTTCGACTCATCGACGACATTACTTTGACTGACCACCTTTTCAACATTCTGTTTGACTGCCACCGGCTGGCGGTCTTCGCCAGGCCCGTGACTTTCCAACATGGTGGTCTTCTTATCTAGCTAGACGCAGAGACGTGTGATCTAGGTAGGTATGTAAGGGGGTGTTGTAGAATAGGATCCAAAAAACCCCTAAAGAACTAGTATAGCGGCGGCAGTTTATAACAGCAACCAGTCGAAGAGATATATGTAGAGCTTTGACTCATTGGATATTGGGGGGGGTTCTTATCTCTTCATGCGCGAAATAATACTCTCCAAGTCATCATGTATGTGTGGTTTCCAACTGCATGTAAGTGAACTTGACAAACAGGTTGGTTGGAACGATCTCCAACAAAATTCTAGATGTCTATTACCACATAATAGGATTGCTTTTCGGTGGTAGTTACATTGGCTCCATATCGAATCAAGTCATGTAATCGCCACAAAGAAAGAAAAGTTTTCTCACCATTCTTTTCCCTCCACCAGCTAAAGCTTAGCTAGCTAACTAACCTAGCATTCTCCGTACAGTGTGAAAATGAGTCTAGTTTACATACTTCATACTATGAATGTAGATCTCTAGGTTAGGTTACTGTAGTATAGATCCCCCCTTTTCTCGTCATGTTCGAGTTAATAATCAACGATTCTGCTCTCGTCTAGCTTCCAGGTCAACTTAACTACAGGCTCAGTATTGAAGTATTACGAATTTCAAAGTTGTAAAACCTAAAATTCAGGAAACGTGCAAGAGCAATCAAGGATAGGGGCTCCCACGAAAGAGGTTTCTAAGAAAGGGGATTGGAGTTGTGATTGAGAGTAGATTTCTAAATCATATCATCGATTGATCCTAGGCTACTACATAAAATCAAGTGCCTAGTACTTTAGACATCAGGCTTAATACCCCATATCTCGCTCCTTTTCTTTTACCGACAGATCTACGACTCTGTGCCAATGCCTAATGCGCTCTCGCAGACCGCGTTCGTACTCGGGCATAGTCATGACAGCCCTCCCAAATGAACCAGTAGCTTGGTTATTGGCCAAGGCGAGTACCTTCGCCTCCACGCGGTTCAAAACCGATGCGGTCTGCGTGTCAAAATAGAGCCCACAATGACGCATTTCTTCCAGTAGGTTCAACATCCCGACAAGGTCACCACGACGATTCCAGTAGATTTCCATGAGTTCGTTGTAGAAAGGCGTTGATACCCCGAGGACGTAGGACTCTAGTCCGATCTCCTTGATTCTGGGAAGAACTGTGAAGACAAGAGGAGAGGAGGCGGAAAAGGATGTGTCGAGACGTCGTAGTGCAATGAGAAGATATGCTGGGTATAGTGGTCCATGTACGTAGAGACTTAGTTTTGGGAGTTCGGGCTCACTCTTATTAGCTGCACCGTCTGCTTCTTTCGCGTCGGTTTCTTCGGTTTCGGCTTCGGCTTCGGCTTCGGCTTCCTCAACGTCACCTTCACCGGCTTCTTTGGCGTTGGCTTCATCGACTTCGGCTTCTTCAGCTTCAACTTCTTCAACTTCTTCGGCGTCTTCGGCGTCTTCTTCAAAGGCTTCGGCTGCAGCTTCGGTTACGTCATCATCATCTTCTTCTACCTCTTCGACCTCTTGAGGAAGGTCTTCCGCGGTAGAACTAAAACCAAGTCTAGCAGGCATCGTGAAAACCTCTTTTTCTAGAACATCCCACAAGGCGAAATCCGTCTTCGCAGAGGCCATCAGACTCTCCACACGAGTACGCTCGGCGTGACGCAGAGTCTCCAACTCGACGCTGCGGCCAATAGTATGAGCAGGGGTTTTCCAGCCTTGATCGGACTCATCTTCTTGAGCAGCAAGGGTGGCATCGTCGTATGATATACTATCATCAATTTCCTCTGGGCGTGGCGCTGGAGCTGGAGACCGTACAGCGTCGGCCTCGATGGTGCCAAGAGCTTTCCTGGCAGCAGCGCGCAGTTCGAGAGGGAATCGTAAAAGAGCCTTGTTACGGTCTCTCGCAGCACCGGCAAGGAGGCCAGGGGCGGCAATATAAGCGGGCCTAGCCTGGCCAGCATCCTGGGCTGCCTGCTGCATGATGAGCATAGCGGAGCGTTCTGTGGAAGACACTACTGGATTGGGACCAGCTGGTGTGTTGGGCTTCAGACCACGGGCCCTGATGTCGGCAAAGATACGTTCAAAGACATATCTCTCAGACGGGGTAATGGTGCCACGCCGAAAAGGCGCGGTCTTAGGTTCGGCACCAGGCTCAGCACCGGACTCAGTATTAGGGGCGTATTCTTCTTCCCCGGGTTCCCCAACCTCAGCAGCGAATGGTATTTCATCCCTCTTTAATTGCGAACGTGTAGCATGTATTGAACGAGAAAGGGTGAAGGCAGTTCGAGGATTGGCTCTGAGGATTGTCCTCGTCTGGTATAGAAAGGGTAGTAAGGTCGACATTGTGATGTGAATGTCAATGTAAAAAATGAATGAAATTCTTCAATGAAGTTATCATCAACAAAGTTGGAAACTTTTTTTATTTCTAGATCCTTTTGAATAATTTTTTTCGTCTCTTCTTTTTTTTTTTTTTTCTTGTCGAGAGCATTATCGATAAGACTAACACAGTTTATCTGTATCTACAATGTATTATGTACTGTACATCAGCAGGGTAGCTCCAGGCATGCAATACGCGATTCCGCATGACCTCGCGTTAACTAGTAGGTACTTAGTACCTAGCGCATCCTCGAATTCCCAGGCTTCAAGGTTTCTAACGTTTAATTGATTTTAATTGATTTTCGTCATTCATCCCTTGACATCTCCATCTCTATCTCTATCTCTATCAATCCTTTTCATTTCCTTCTTTTATTTCAGGTTGTTTTCCCTTTGAATTCAACTTGAATAATATCATTATACATCTGACTGCATAAAGTCAATAGGCTTTATTCATGTCCTTTGTAGTGAAGCAGGGAATTGTTTGTCTAAGAGAATGATTTTGATTAAGACTCGAATTCACGTCGCGTCTAAGAAATCACCCTCATCTTGTGCAAATATTCACCACCAAGTTCAAATCCACCCACTTCACCCTTCCAAGCGCCAATTAACCTAGTAGTTTGACATTTGACCGAGTAAACCCTGGCATTTATTCAAAATGGCTCCCGAACTCAGTACCTTCGAGGCGCGAAGGAAAGCAAACGTAGTGAACAATGCCAAACTACTCAAGGACTCGGCCGAGGTCGCGGCTAAGATCCGCCGGGCCGCCGCTCCACCTCCGAAGCCAGCCGCTTCAAGGAAGAGAAAAGCTACCGAGCCCACTCCTCGTACCCGCGTGATTCCCACTCGTCAGAGTGCAAGACTCGCCGGAGCTGGCTCTGACACGAATGGCACTGGAATTAAACTTGAGGATATTCCTACCGAGTTGAAACCACCTGAGACCAAGCGCATGCGTAAGGGTGGTAACCTGGATCTCTTAACGCTTCAGGTGGAAGGTCAGAGGTGGTCAAGTCCTGGTACAATGGCTTCCTTCGTCCACGGCGCACAGCCTGGCGTTCGTACATTCACCGAGGAGGATATCAAAGATACCTCTGACTCGAAGCTCAAGAATCTTCGGAAAGAGATAGACAATCTCAAGTTATACGAAGGTTGGGTGCCAAATGGTAAGTTGGTCCACAGATTTAGTAGTGAATACATTCTTATAGAGTCCCAAACTTAACCGTATGCAGATATCAAGATTACCCCTGAACGTGTCTATGCTCTCACCTTCCATCCAATACAGGATAAACCCATGATTCTAGCCGGCGATAAGAAGGGTACATTGGGCTTCTTCGACGCTTCTCAAAATACTCCCCCAGAAGCAGAGGATGACGAAGATGTTGATATTCCCCTACCACAAGTGAGCGCCTTCGAGATACATAGTAGGACCATCTCCTCTATCAAAGTGCCCACATTCGATCCCAATTCAGTCATCACTAGTTCCTATGATTCATCGATACGTTGCTTAGACCTACAATCTCAAGTCAGCCGTCAACTATGGCAGCCCGACGACGATGGCGTTGATCTCGGTATCACGTGCATCGACATGTCGCCCGAAGCCAAGGACACAATACTCTTCTCGACTTTGGAGGGTACCTTGGGAAGGATTGATAGGCGGTCGAATGAGAAAGCCGATATGTGGGGTTTATGCGACAACAAGATTGGAGGATTCTCTATGAACCCATTATTACCACACCTCATAGCCACAGCGTCCCTTGACCGAACACTCAAGATATGGGACTTAAGAATGATCAAGGGGAAAGGAGACCTTCAACACCCTTCTTTACTAGGCGAGCATCAATCGCGACTCTCCGTATCACATGCCTCGTGGAGTCGGGGCGGATACCTAGCTACATCATCATATGACGACACTGTCAAGATTTATGACATGACGGATGCGATTAAATGGAAGTCAGGACAGGATATTCCCGATGAGAAAATGAACCCCGTACACCAGATTACGCATAACAATCAAACTGGTCGCTGGGTTACAATTCTCAAGCCACAATGGCAAGTAAACCCCGCTGACGGCGTGGAGAAGTTCGCCATCGCGAACATGAACCGGTTTGTAGATATTTTCGACTGCGAGGGAAAGCAACTGGGGCAGTTAGATGGCGAGGGTATTACTGCTGTGCCTGCGGTTGCAGAGTTTCACCCAACATTGAATTGGCTGGTATGTATATTTCCTCCCTTTTATCATACCTAGCCATTTTGAACATGTTACTAACTTTGGAATCTCAAGGCTGGCGGTACTGGAAGTGGAAAGCTATGTCTTTGGCTGTAAAGACAAATTATAAGGATCCAATTAATGGCTGGATAGAAAATACCCATTATGCAGTTAGACTACTGCGTAACTAATCCCTATATACCTAACCTAGATATGTACCCTATTACGGCGTCTCATTGAAGCAACTCATGTATAAAGTAAAGTGGTTTACGGCGTTAGGTTCATGATCATAGCTAGGTACCTACTTAGATACATACGAAGGCGTCTGGATTAATACAAATTCGATACACATATCCATGGAGACCATACTTATTCACTCAGGTCTTCAAATGTGTCCAAGGCTTGTGAGTCCTCTAAAATTGATATTTTTGAGCCTTATTATAGGCAAACGAACTTTTGCTCTAATTAGTATGATCTAACGAGCTAAGTTTCTTTATTGATATCTGACATTGGCTAACGTAGCTCAGGTTAGTGAAGGCTTCCAAGGTTCGTTTGTCCACTCACCGTTGTGCTCGTACCATCTCATAGAATGTGATCTCATCCGCAATAGCTAGGTACCTACCTAAGAGTTTGCCAGTATACCTAAGAATGAACATGAACTGGTCAATACGTCATCGTCGCCCAATACAACTACTTCTTACTCTTTAGGTACACACAACATCCCGTACAACAAATGGTGTGTGCGGCCTTTCAGTCTCCATGTAGTAGTTATCACAGGAATCGCATAGCTGGACGTTCCACGCAGCCAACCAAATCATCCGGGCAAACGGGAATGCGGTGGTCTAGGTACAACACGATGTGGCCTCTATGACCTGGACGTTTTCCACTTTCCACGTAGCTATGTATGTTCTATGTCCTGCTCTTCTATTCCAAAACCTGAGAACCTCTTTTATATAACCATCACCACCACTTTACAGTAAAAAAAAAAAAAAATGAAGCTCCTACTCAACCACCGTTACCACCACTACCTCCTCTCACTGATGCTGGTGGTGGTTCATAGCCAAAGCACCGGAGATACCCTCCCTCGGACATGGAGGGCAACTTTCTACTACGACGTCGGCGCCTGTAATGGCTCAAACGTGGTGACTAGCTACTTCACCTACGAGGGGACCAACGCCGTGAGCACACACCCCTTTCCCCCACCCCCCCTCCTCTCCTCTTCAACCCACTCTCTCAAAAAAAAAAAAAAAAAAAAAAAAAAACATATCAAAACCCTAACAACCGCTTATTCCCACAGAAACTAAGCCCCTGCCAAGACCTCGGCCAGCCCCCCAGCAGCAGCACCCTGACCTGCGCATCCTGGCAGTCCGGCGGCAAGTCCGGGCCGTTCACCTGCACAGACAAGGGGTTCGAGGTCGCGAAGGGGGTGCGCGTGCGCACGGGCGAGTGCTACCTGTACGCCGTGCCGGGGTGCGAGGGGAACACGCTGATTGTGGGAGGGGGAGGGGGGGAGAGCGGGTTGTGTGTGGAGGGGACGAGCAGCCTGGGGGTCGGGGTGGTGAGTTTTGAGTGTAGGGTTGAGCGGTGATGGTGGTGGTAATGGTGGTGGTATTGATGATGATGGTGATGAAAGGAGGGGACTACACGAGGATATGAGTAGTAGGCAGGTACTACGCTTAGGTACTAGGTGGTTAAAGGGGAAGGGAGGATGGGATACGCCTATTAGGGTGTATTATCAGCTAGTATCTGGGCCTCATGGGATAGAAGTGAGGACCTGACATCTAGCTATGATTACCTGTCTAGGTACCTAAGCAGTGTTCCAATTAAATTCGGATAGTCCCCAAAGACATTCATTGATGTGATCTTAATGTATTACAGCCAGTGAGACATGTCGTGTCAAGCAAAGAGAGGCTCATTCACTTGCAGTCACCTTGACCTCTTACAGGAAGAGGCACTAGAGATACCTAATGTATGTACTGAATAGAACAAGCGCACTTTCAACGTTTTCTAGAAGCGATAGGTGTATCATTAAAGCAAAGACAATTCAAAGCAAGGACAAAACAACATCACATAGTAGTTAGCAAACAGGGCACATGCGGCTTGTTTCATAATGTTCTTCTTTAATTCGAGTGTATAGAGTGTACATGTACAGGCCCCAAATAGAAGCTCGCCCGAGCTTACCATTATTCGTATCTTATCGCCCAATGATACTCGGCGTGATGCTCTTTCGGCATGCCATAATATAGGCAATAACCTATGTGGGCAGTGCCTCCTGATGGATGTAAATGTGTCCATCTTTGGGGAAGGCTTGTTTTGTCTGTGTTGTCGGAAATGGGGGGTGTGCTACATATAGTGCTTAGCTTTCACCCCCCTAACTTTGACGTGCTTGATTTCAGTTCGAGACGATTTATTTATCATAACATCATCACGTCGTCCTCCACCTCTACTTCTGTCTCACTGTCGATTTGCAGGAAGCTGTGTGCCAAGGCCTCCTCAGCACTAATCCGTCTCGCCGGATCTAAATCCATGCACCGAGTTAAAAACTCGATAGCCTCCTTCTCCTCTTCTGTCAGTTGGCTCGACTTGCCATCTTTACCACCTTCACTCCTGCACGTACTCCATAGCATGATCTTCTCGAAGCTAAAGCCTCTTTCACCAATAGTCGGTATAGTAGTGTCGAACACGCAACCGTGAAGCTGTCCAGCCTGTCTCATTCTCCTGGAGCCAAATATGGTAGCAATCTCGATCATGGCCTCGATATCATCAGCGCTGTTGAAGAAGGGGAATCGCTTGCACAGTATAGTTAGAAGGATGACACCAGCAGACCAGATGTCGATCTTAGTCGTCTGTTCCGTACACTTGAATAGGACCTCGGGCGCCCGGAATCCACGTGTGCCTGCCCTGTTGGCTCGACGAGAGGGCCGAGTATCATTCACTGGGTACCCTGCCGGTGGGCCAACCTGAGATCCACCAAAGGCTACGGACTGTTGCAATCTTTGTCTTCTGACCTGTCGGTCCTCATGGCAAAGACATGGTTTGGTTTCTCCCTCCTCCCGTTCCGCCAAGCCAAAGTCAACAAGAACACCCCGTTTCTTGTCTGGGTCGTAGAGGAAATTTGTAGGTTTAATATCACGGTGGATAATATACTTCTCGTGTACGGCGGCGAGGGCAGTAAAGAGAGATCGGAAATACACTCTCATGTCGTAAACAGACATGTGAGGATAATACTTGCGGAAATCCTGGTGGCGGAAATAGGGAAGAATCGCGAGTACCTGGTCGGCATGACGGAAGGCTGTGATGAGAGGGCATACGGAAGGGGAATCTCGCAAGTCGTGGAGGAGTTCGAGTTCGTTGAGGATGCGGGATGGCGAAGAAGTAACATAGATCTTCTTGATTGCCACGAACTTGGGCTTCTGTCGGGTTCGAGAAGAGAGGGAGTTTGTACGGGAGTTAGAAGCATCTCTAAGTGGCGGAGGTCTCCATTGGTTTTCTACAGCGTCAATATCCCATTTATTCTCGTATCGGTGGTATTGTATATCTTCGGCCTTGTAGACGGTGGAGAAAGTGCCTTCACCAATGCGCTTTATGAGGCGGTACTTGTTTTTGAAGTTGGGGAATGTAGCCTCTAGCTTTTCCATATCATGCTGGACGCTGAGGTCAATATCGTCGCTGCGGTCGGAACAATCGGTTTCGCAGTCATCGTCATCTTCGGCGTGATTGTCTTGTTCTTCGTCTTCAGCATCTTCTGCTAATCCATCGTCGGGATCTTCTTGGTCTTCTTGGTCTTCTTGGTCTTCGTGATCTTCGTGGTATTCATATTCGTCGTCTAGCTGTTTGGCTCGAGTCTGAGCAGATCCTTCAGCGTCTGAAGTTCCATCTACAGATACAGACTCATCGACGTGGATTCGAAAGGGCTCTTTGACTACTCGACGTTGCATGGCTACAGTGGCTGAGATTTGTATGGAATGCCTCTTTCTCGATCCTCGTCTGTCAACCCCAAGTCCAAGCGAGTCAACTCAATCCAATTCGATTTCAATTCGTTCCACAGCGTCCAATTTTTGTTTCTGGTTCGGGGAAAACGCAGGGGAATTGTGTATGCAAGGTGGTATTTGGGACCGTTGACTTCAATGCTTTGGTTATTATAGGAGTATTAATGGGGTGGGAAATGGAATCTGGGTGTGGAGTATGTAAATAAACGAAGCGGCGTATAGTTATGGTGATTGTCGCAGTCACTGCTTCCTCAATGTTAGTACTAATGACTATGTAAAATGCAATGCAGTATGCAAGCATTAAACATTGAAGACAATAATCATTGATAGTGCATAGTAGCACTGAGGTAGATATGTACTTGCAGTGGATACATAAATATCGTACCTGCGCTAGACCACAACGGTGAATTTTCTGGCGGCGATTTACGCGTTTCTATTGTCTTTGGTGGGTTGGCGCGGGGTATGAAAAATGATTGGCAGGCACGCTGTTTTTTGGAACTAAACAAAAACAAATTCGTTGCTAAAGCAGCTAAACCCTAAATCTTTAGCACCTGGGCAGCCTCAATCTACAATACATCACCGCCCAATGATACAATACCAGCATGGTGCGTCCCTAGCACCTAAGTTAGTATCATACAAACAGCATTAAACTTAAACTTGCATAGCAACCTTGCCTGTTTTTGTCTCATCAGCCATAGTTATATTTACTTTTTACCTTTTTACATTCCCATACCTTCATACTCCATACTCCATACTCCTCTACTAAGACAGGTTGAAATTATCTTGGAAAGTCTGGTATTTAGGAAAACAAATACGATACCCCATTTTGTACTGCAAGTGCAATACAGATCCTTTTCTTCCACAATTATCGATAATCCCTGGTGGTATCTATCTGAGTCGTCTTCTGCTCTCACCTACTTCTACGCCTCCATCTAGAACCCAGCGCTGGTTTGGCGCAAACATTCCAGCCACGATGGGCTCGATCAACTTCGACATTAACGATGCGCTTAAGCATTACATGAGCGATCCCGCTAGCATCGCCACTCCAGAAGCCGATAGTGCTTTGGTCGACTGCGAGACTGACCCCGAATCCCTATCTAACGCTTCTATCCTAAATCCCGTCTTAAATACCATCATCGATGCTGTTGCCGGGAATCCAGATGCCATAATGCGCAGCGCATATTTTGACTCGCTGCAGTTCCTTCTCAAGTGTGCACCCACATCCCATGCTTCCCCTGATGATGTCCAATCTTCTTCTCAGTCTTCCAGTTCGAAATCCCGAGAACCAATTTCTAAGCTTTTCGTAAAATCCAGATACACACAGTTCCTGCCCACCCATGCACTCAGTAAGATCTTCGATCTGATCATGAGCGGCTTGGCAGCCGAATCCGACGCCATTAACCACGATCTCGAAAATCCCGATGAGCAAGAGATACTCAGTCACCACAAATCTCTTCTCGAAATATATGGCTTCTTATTACAGTGGACCATCGCCTGCGTCGAGACGAAAGCCGCCGAGAAATCATCGACAGCCCCGGTATCACGAGCCAGAGGGAAAGGTGCCAAGTCCAAAGCTGCTGCGAGCAAAGACAAAGATGGCAACTGGGATAGCGCTGCACAACTGCAGTTGGCACTAGATGTCATGTCCAAGGTTCTTAAGTTGAAGCTGGGCAAGATCTTTTTGACGACTAGCGAGCGCGATACCTTCATCGGTCTTTTGACGAGGCCCGTCTACATGGTCTTGGAGAGTGAACAGAGGGTCAAGAATACAGCCATTAAAATGCACGCCTTTAAGGTTCTCTGCATCGCCGTGAAACACCACGGTCATGGCTATGGTGAGCGAGACGAGTTGGGGAATGCTGAGTTGGGAGAAGAAGTACTAACATAAGAGTAGCTGCGCAAATCTCCATCGTTCAGAACCTGACATACTTTGAGCACCTCTCCGAGCCTATGGCCGAATTTTTGCATATTCTTGCAGAACAATACGACTACCCACAGCTGGCGGATGAGATATTAAGAGAGATTAGCAACAAGGAATTCAATACTAACGACACTAAGGGGCCCAAGTCTGTCTCTTCGTTCATAATCAAGCTATCAGGACTCGTGCCCCGTCTAGTCATCAAACAAATGACTATGCTCGCAAAGCAGTTAGATAGCGAGGTATGTTTACTCCTCCATTTATGGTAAACTAACTTAACACACATTTAGTCATACACCTTGAGATGCTCTCTGATCGAAGTCTGCGGCAACATGATCGCCCATCTAACTACTCAGGAGGAGCGCAGCGAAAACCATAAATCGCAGCTCAACGCTTTCTTCGATGTGTTAGAAGAGCGGTTCCTAGATATTAACCCTTACTGCAGATGTAGAGCCATGCAAGTCTACACAAGACTTTGCGATCTCGAGCAGAAATTCCCCAAGCGTCGACAAAAGGTAGCCGAATTAGCTTGCAGGAGTCTTGAAGACAAGAGTAGCCACGTCAGAAGAAATGCGATCAAGCTTCTGGGGACACTAATCAAGACGCATCCCTTCACTGTGCTACACGGAGCTCAACTTTCTCGCAAGGATTGGCAAGGAAGGCTAGACAAGGTCGATGCTGAACTGGACGCTCTTCAACCGCCCGCTGGCGCGCCTGGGCTAGGAGAAGACAAGGCGAATAGCACAGCATTACTAGATGAACCTACACAGCTAGAATCGTCGCCCGAGAAACCCAAGGAAATGTCCGACGAGGAGAAGATAGCCGCTGTTCAGAAAGCCCGCGAAGAGGCTGCTACCTCGGAAGCTATTGAAAAGTTGACGCTGACGAAGAGATACTATACTGACGCCCTCAAGTTTATTGAAGTGCTACATGAGGCCACATCCACTGTCTGCCATTTACTTGGATCTAAAAATAAGTCCGAAGTCATCGAAGCTATGGACTATCTAGAAATTGGCAACGCGTACAACATTGAGGACAACATGGTCGGAATTCGACGAATGATGCGTCTGATCTGGACCAAGGGTAACAGCGATGAGGGCAAGGGCGTGCAGTCACATCTTATCGACTGTTACAGGAGACTGTTCTTCGAGGCGCCAGACAGCTTCACTCCCAATGACGCCGCCATCTACATCGCGAGAAACATGATCAGTCTTACGTCAGGCACGACACCGGCAGAGCTTACAAGTCTGGAACAGCTCATAGCAACCATGATGAAGGGTGGAATGATTTCAGACCGGGTCATCACGAAATTATGGGAAGTGTATGGCTTTCACAAAAGAGAAATATCTCGATCCCAACGAAGAGGCGCAATCATTGTGTTGGGCATGCTTGCTACCGCATCGCCTGAGATCGTCGTGGGCGAAATGGAAACGATGTTGCGAACCGGACTTGGGTCCTACGGAAGAGCTGATCTCCAATTGGCCAAATTTACCTGTATTGCTCTTAGACGACTCAACCCCGTGGGTCGACAAGCCAAGGACTCACCGGTCACGTTTAGCCGTCTCCAAAATGAGCATGCCGTTTTGGCGAAGCTAGCTGCCATTACAGAGGTTCCAAGCGACAGCAAAGAATGGTTTGGAGTCGCCGAGCAGGCCATCAACGCCATCTACGCCCTCGCCAAACACCCGGACACGTTATGTACCGAGATTATAAGACGTAGGACAAAGAGTGTTTTTGCTGCGCAACAAAGAGCATTTTCATCATCCCGTCCCGGGTCGCGGGACTTCGATCCCACCATGACAGTTGCCATGGACCACGGGATGACTCAGGGGATTACGATGAACCTCGACGCTCCTACCCAGACCATCAACCGACTAACGTCAGAGCCGCCTGCTGAGCCCAAACAAAAGGCAGCGATTGCTCTTTCGCAGCTTCTGTTTATTGTTGGCCATGTAGCTATCAAGCAAATTGTTCACCTCGAGCTTTGTGAGCTTGACTTCAAGCGCCGAAAGCAAGAAAAGGAAAAGGACGCAGCTGCTCAGCCGGCCAAGCCACGACCTTCTGTCGGCCGTAAGGGTAAGACCCCCACGCCGGCGCCGGCCGCGGAGGACCCCGGCGACGAACTTGACTTGATTGGTGGCACGACGGAAGACGACTTCACGGAGGCCATGGCGCACATACGTGAGCAGGAGCTCCTGTTTGGGCCACAATCTATTCTTTCCAACTTTGGCCCCCTGGTGGCCGAGGTCTGTTCGCGCAGCGACATTTACAGAGACAAGGGTCTACAGGCGGCGGCGACGTTGTGTCTCGCGAAGCTCATGTGTATTAGCAGCGAGTATTGCGAAGCGCATCTACCACTGCTCATCACCATCATGGAGCGCTCACCCGACGCGACGGTGCGGTCGAACGTGGTCATTGCCCTCGGTGACATGGCTGTGTGCTTCAACCATCTGATTGATGAGAATACCGACTTTCTGTATCGTCGTCTGGCTGACCGCGACCTATCTGTCAAGCGCACGTGTCTGATGACCTTGACCTTCTTGATTCTAGCGGGCCAGGTCAAGGTCAAGGGGCAGCTAGGTGAGATGGCCAAGTGCCTCGAGGATGAGGATAAGCGCATCGCAGATCTAGCCAGGATGTTCTTCACCGAATTAAGCACGAAGGATAACGCGGTATATAATCACTTTGTGGATATGTTTAGCTTGCTTTCTGCCGATGATAGAATCCAAGAAGAGGGTTTCCGAAGAATTGTCAAGTTCTTGTTGGGTTTTGTCGAGAAGGTATTTCCCCTTTTCTTTTCTCAGCTATCCACCATGTTTCTATTCCGCACTGCCCAATGATATACTGACAATCACATAGGACAAGCACGCCAAGCAGCTCGCCGAGAAACTGGCAGCTCGCCTCCCGCGGTGCGAGACGGAGCGGCACTGGAACGACGTTGCGTACGCACTAGGCCTACTACAGCACAAGAATGAGGACATTACGAAGATTGTAGGCGAAGGGTTCAAGGCTGGCATTCAAGCTGCTGGCTAGATTTCCTACCTAGGTACCTATGATGTTGTTTTGCAACGGTAATTGATGAATGAGTTTCTACGATATAATGCCCAGGCTGATGAAGGCAAAGAGAGAGGGGGGGGGGGGGAGAGAGGGAAGGAGTACGGCGTCGATGGATGAAATGATAGATAGTCTTGTGAGCTGCATAGTATAGAAAGACTGATCGAAATGGCATCGTTTTAATTGTTGAACATGTTTTTATTTTATCTTTTTTTCATACTTGAAGACCTCGGGAGCATTGAATCCCTTAAACACACAATCTTAGTCATCTATGGTTTATGGCTTATGGTTCATGGGCTTGATTTGATCATAGTCTTACTCACGATATCTATAGTGCTACAATAGATGGGTACCTACCCAGGTAAGAAGTACGAATACCTATCGACTAATTAATTAAAAGCCCGATGATGTGCATGCATATCATACGGAAGAGCAAGAAAGATAGATACCGGCCTACATACCTAACCTAGGTAGGTTAGGCAGGTTTATACCTCACAGCCTCCCCGTGTTCTCTGTAGACTTATATATATATATAGGTTGGTAGGTAATGTTGGTCTTCTTTACTGTTTACTGTTTACTGTTTATTGAGCAACTATGTACATACCTACATACCTAGCCTAGGCAATAAATATATGTAGGTAGGTAGGTAGGTAGGCACACACAAAAGCCACGCCCATCTCTGCCTCTGCCTGTCTCTGCCTCTGGCTCGGGGAGCTCTTCCACTCGAAAACCAGCGCGTGCTCTCTGCTCTGCTCTGCTCTGCCCTTCTTTGCTTCACTCTTAACTCTATCCTTCCCCTTTTGACTTTCTTTTGCTACGGGTAGGTTACTAATGTATGTATATTGACAGATCCCATCCTTTCTCTATTTCGTAATCCTGCCCGGGGTAATAGCGTATGTCGGTCTTACGTATCTGCGAGTTGAATATATCCCATTAGCGCCGATTCCTGTTCTTGTTCCTGTTCCTGCTTCGAGCACATAAGACAGAAGAGAGATTTGCCGAACGAAGAAGAAAAAGAAAGGGAGAGCAGCAAAAAAAAAAAAAAAACAAAAAAAAAAAACATACTTATCCGAGTTATACACCTTCATGTTCTCGCCCAGCAGCTCCTTCTCGCGCGCCTGATCCGCCAGGTGTCTCCTGACCAGATCGCGGTCTTCCTCGGCCTGCAGGAGGGGGATCAGGTGGATGCGGGACCACATCTTTTCGCGGGCGAGCTCACTGTTGTTGTTCAGTCCCGTCGTTAGCATTGATGCCAAACCAAACCAAACCAGATCAGATCAGAGCAGAGCAGATCAGAGCAGAGCAGAGCAGAGCAGATAGGATTAGGATTAGGATGTGCGCGTATCGTGAGGTATAAAACGTACTTCTGCTCTCGGATACCCTGTCCCAGCTTCCAGAAGCCGAAGACCATGACGGCGCCCATGCCGAAGAGGAGCGTAGCGGGGCGGAATCCCGGAGCAGGTAGGTTGCGCTTGTGGGACATGTGTGGGTTAGCCTTCCGGTCTTCATTGTATAATATAAGAGCCACGCATCAATCCATCATTGTTTCAGCAGTAGCTGCTCGCTCTCGTCGAAAAAAAGTTCCTCCTCTTCCTGTTTGTTCCCTGGTAACGATTCCTTCTTTCTTTCTTTCTTTTTTTCTCTTTCTCACGACCCCCCACGGCCCCCCATCATCTCCTCAAGCCAAGCTGCAAACCACCCCAACAACTCTGGACATAATGCGAAGCCCCCAAATGACGAACGTATAAAACTAACCTTGTACTGCACAGGGCCGTAGCCCCCGACGGGGGGCATATCCTGCGGCATGATTGCGATATGTCGATTTCCGAATATCTAATTGTCTTGTCTTGTCTTGTCTTCTCGTTTCGTCTCGTCCGTATCCTGGTTGTATCGTATCGTATCGCAAGGTAATGGAAGAGAAGGGAAGGGAAGCTCAATCAATCGTGTAGGTAAATCGTTAATCGGCCGATCGTGGATGGATGATGGATGAAAGTGGAGACTTGAGAAATTATGTCAGCATTAACCAATATTGATGTCACATGACACTCCATATAGTTACTAGTACTTACTACATAGTACATACCTATGCATGCACTTAACCTGCATATGTAATTAGTCAACAGTCTCACGGCCTCAGTAACATGTCACAGCAGTAACAACAGCAACAGTAGCAGATATGCCTAACTAAATAGCTACCTAACTATGTAGTTACCAACACCACAGAATCGAAGCTCGCTATGCAACCAAACCTAGACACCTAACCTTAAAGGACAAGAAAAAAAAAACTCCCCCTTTAATCCGGTATCAATGCCTGCCTGCCTTGCCTGCCTTGCCTTGCCTTTGCTTGCCTTTGCTTGCCCATATGTTGCTAGCCAGACAACCAACCAGCCCGCCTCGAATTGAAAGACTGATGATGATGGTAATAAATAATCAAATAACTCCTTTCGGGAGAATCCCGAATTCAACTATAAAAGATAACCCAACCATCAAATAGAAGACCTAAACTTGTCATGCCTCCCTTAAAACCCCGTTACGTGTGATAAAAATAAAAAATAAAAAAGAAGAAAAGTTCTATGACCATGATGATGGTGGATATGCCTCTTTTTTGACGCCGCCGAGCTCATGCGTAAAACTCATCCATTCGTAATACAGAACAGAACCTAACCACGCACAAAATGGCCTTCCATCTCCTGTCCTGTTTCATTTTGTCAATTGGAATAGATTAGACACTTCAACCTCCTTCGCCCTCGGCTTGTAATTCTGCCTCGAGCTCCGCCTCTAGATCGGCAAAGTCTTCATCATCATCATCATCATCGCCCTCTTCCCCTTCTTCCACTTCCACTTCTTCCTCCACCTCGCCATTGCCTACGTTGGCTACCTTGCCTCTGCCGTCCTCTTCATCTCCCGTCACCATTGGTGTCGGTAACCCACTTCCCTCTGCGTCCTCCTCGTCCGTAGCATTCCGCACATTGCGTAGACCCGTAGTCCTTGCTTTGGCGATACGCTGCTTCTTAGCTAGCACGCTACCTGTGACCCTCCCACCATCTTCATCATCTTCCATACTTTCTCCTAGTTTGCGCTTCTTTCCCTTGGGCTCCTCGGATTCCGTATCCGTACCTCGATCCGTTCCTTGCGTGCTCTCGAAATCCGAGTCATCCACATCCGACCCCATGAATTCTTCTAATTCCTTATCCACGTCGCCCCACTCCATCCCGTCTAGGTCATCAACGGGACTACGCTGGCCATCCCCGAGCTCGGCTGGCATCACATTGAATCTGTCTCGAAGGTCGTCGTCTTCTTCCTCCTCATCGTCCTCGTCGTCCTCGTCATCCTCGTCTCCCGAGTTGTCGGCGTCATTGTCTTCGCCATCATCTGGTAGCTCGTCCTCGAATAATTGACGACCTGAGGTGATAATAGTGATCTTGGGTCGCGGAGGCGAAGCTGAACCTTCTTCTATGGGTGCCTCTCCAACTCGGTCGGCGGGGTGTACTTGTATGAGGTACGGCGTCTCGTCTAGCTTCGCCCACTGCGCAATCGAATCGGCTAGCCAGTTTTGATTCACAATCTTAATCGACGGAATACGTGCTGCTTGACGGACTTTCTGAGTTCGCGGGCGAGAGATGTTGATCACTAGATGGGTAATCTCATGGCCCACCCGAGTTCTTATCTCGGCACCAAAGCTTTCGGCCTGCATCCCAATCTCGGTTCTGCGTACATCAACATCTAGTGGCACGAGCCCAGAGAGCACCAGTCTTGTGTTCCTTAGCACTTGCGACTTTAGAAAAGTGAGTGTCGATCCTACATCTGGAATGACATCAGGCACGATCTCATCAGCCCTACGGTTCGCACATCGCGCATCGTATTGTTCGTAGAATGCGTGGTGTAAATTGGCCAGATGCTTCTCCAGAAATCTTAGTTCTCGATCGTCATCGCGTAGAAGCTTGTGTCGTTGGTGCGAAGGACTCTCCGATTCGCCATTCATAGCAGAATCTGGGCTATCACTACTCTCGGCAGACTTCTTCTCAGCCTCTTCATCCTCTCGGTCCAACTCTTCTTGTAGATGAAGCAAGGGCCGGTCTTTGAGCTGTTTCTCAAGTGTTCGTTCCTGTTCCTCGGCCTGCAACTGTAAAAGTACAATGTCGCCGTGACCGTTGGCTAGTGGCTTTTCGTTTTGTCCCGGGACAGGACTCGAAGCATCAGGGGCGCCGACTTTGGGTTGCGTAGGTTTGCCGTTGGGGGTTTTTGGCTCAGGAGGGGGGGGTGGGGATGGTGCGGCAATAATATCGTCGCGTTTGGGTAAGAAGCTAGAATTAATGTCGCCAATGCCTGTGAAAAAATCATATGGCGTTACCTTAATCAAATTTGGCCTATTTCGTGGCCATACATCGGCTCGATCGTCAATGACAACAACCATGTTTGTGCTCACAGGGAACAAACGTTGCAGGCTCTTGGCAGTTATGCTCTCATTCTCGTCTCTGCTGATGATCCGGTTGCCAAAGAGTTTTTGTGTCGGATCAACAATCTTAGCAATGTTGAGAGCATAAGCACGCGTGCCCATCGTATAAACGTGCAACTCAAACATTTGATGGATTTTTTCGAGGAATTCGGCCAAGCCTGGACGCATTTTGATGTAATACCAACAGCCGCTGGTTGCTCCTCGTGGACCATCATCGAGTTGAAAGCGTCGAACATCTTTGACAGCGTCATAGTTCGGGTTCGAAGGGTCGCTCTGCCACTCGCCTACTGTGGGATCTATGCAGGCATGGATGATGGTTTGATCCAAGTCGACGACTAGGCTAAGCTTGCGGTCCTTCAGCAACCGACGCTGTAATTGCATCTCGGCACGTGTGGCTTGGTCTTCGCTCACGGTGAGGGCAATGTTGTCGTGAACCATAGCGATAGTAGCGCGTTCTGTGTCCAGCGATTCGCTGGCGTAGTTCGCCTCCTTCATGTCTTTGCCGCATATGGCGCAAAGGCCAGCATATTGCACCTCATGACTGCAGGTTTCTTCAATGGTAACGAGGTCCTGATCTTTCTTGATCACTTCTCCAATCTTAACCCGCCATTGTTTCACCTTGCCTTCGGAAGGGCAATCCCAATCGGCGACGCCCGTTTCTTCGACCTCGTATTCTTCGTTTTTCGTGGGATCGCCAACCTTGCGCATGTATTTGAAAGTATAACGCATTAGCGACTCTTGTTTCGTAACATCTTCGCCGGGGCTCTTTAAGAATTTGGATATGGTAATGGGGTATCGGAGCCGAGCTCCTAATCGAAATGTCTTGGCCATTTTGGGCGGCTTCTGGCTTCGGACGCGAAAGCGATCATGCAATTAATTTGCGAGGTATGATCTAAATGACAAAGACAAAGAATTAGCGTCTTGTAGTGGTTATAAGTTGACAGTGTGTTGGGTTGGTGATTGGAGCGTAATAAGGACATGTAGGACCTTGAAGCTTCACTGTAAGTGGACCTTTGACGTTGTAGAGAGGAGAAATATAGCAAAGGGAAATGCGACAGTTTTTGTAAACAACAAAGTAGCTGCATACGAACCAACTTGGATCGATATATAAATGTATAAAGGTCAAACAAAGAGAGTAAAATATTGTTGCAATAAAAAAAAGGGGAACAATGATGGCGCGAGAGTTTTGGGAATAGCTACTCACTATTGTGTACTACCTCCTATCGATGACGGAAGCTGTGAGAGTGAAATAGGTCGAGCTCAAGAGCTCCAGTTTTTCCCATTGCCCTTTAACAGTGTTAGATGCGAAGACAGTATATGTGCAAATAACGGACAAATGAGGAATGGTAGTATAATTGGGATATGAGTTCGGCGTGGAGTGTTCGCAAAGTGCATATAAAGGTAGTCAAGTATATGCAATTGTTATTGCGCGGGTTAAAGGATTGATGTGATGATGTGAGTATGTCAACTCTGAAGTCGCATCTGCAGTCGCAGTTGGACGGGCTTATGTATGTATTGTGTGGAGTGATAAAAGTATAAGAATAAATAGAGGAGGGTGAGGATGATGTAAAGCAATGATGTATTTAAATGCTCGTTGGTGTTTAAAAAGGAGCAGCTTTGCTTGTGTTGCGTACTTGCGCGCCGCGTTGTGAATGTGTACTTGTAGACCTTGTAGATTCTGGTGTAATAGGCAAGACCAAAAACGGGCTAGTGAGGTTTTGATAGCTTCGATAAGCTGATAGATATAGCAATACCAGAGTCAAAGATATGTTTGTACCAGGTATGATGCTATAAAAGTCAGGGTAGGTAGCGAATGAAAACGTGTGCGGGCTATCCCGGTAGCTGTGTAACGCTGCCGGTTGGGGAAATCTGGTTGGGTGAGACCAACTTGGGTCCAGGTGAATGCAGCGATTAAGGTAATAGGGTAATAAGGTAATAGGGTAACAAGGTAATAAAGCTTAAAGATATAAGATGTAATATGAGATGGCAGAAATGTAGGTAACAGGGTATATAGTAGGTACTATCAATGTAAATAGGTGGGTAGATACCTGATTACTTATAAAAGTACGATGAGAATAGAATAATCTAGCACTTGCATGCAGTTAGAGATTGGGTGATGATGGCATTGTTTTGTGTTGTTCTCAAGTCCACATGTGCATATACTAACTCTTGCAGTCATAAGTCATATGACGTGAAGAATCGGGTGGTTTGGGGGTATCAAGGTATTGAAGGTATGAAGGTATGAAGGTACGAAGGTAATTCGAGGAATTCAAGGTGATCACGCCTCAATTGAGAAAAAAGAAAGGTTTATGTATGTATGTAGTAGGCAGCTAAGTACCTACATACATACATACATAATAAATATACATACCTGCACGGCTTTTACTTATTGTATGTAGATATAGATGTAGCAGCAGTAGTTACACTCATCCACAGTACATATAGGTAGATAGATATGTGTAGATGTATGTAGATAGTAGGATTACTATAGGAATTCAATCCTTGCCGACACTCCTTTTCTGTTCGCCAATTGGTCCAACAGTCGGAGGCAACAGCTCTTAGTAATGGAGGTTATGTATGTAGGCAGGTAACTAGAGTGAAGTAAGGTAAGTACTATGTATGTATGTATAAGGGTGATGGATGTTACATAGGTATGTATGTAATTGACATACATAGGAACATTGAGGAATAAAAAGAAACAACTTGAAGTATATGACTATTATGACAGGTACCTTACATACCTAGCACTGAGTAAATTGAAGTTAGGTCGGTCTGGAATAAGCCACGGCAAAAGATAAAAAAAAAACGCCTCCTTTCTTTTTCTTTTTAGGATTTCACAAGCGAGATGGTGTCCCCTTAAAAATTCACTTCGGGGTGAGGGGACCTTTTTGTACCTGCTGAGGGATGGCGCGTGGGCTGGTCTTGCTATTCTCGATAGGCAATCCCCCCCCGCTGCCCCCCTTGTCCGTTTGCGGGGAGCTATCCAAATTATCAGCTTTTATTGGATGCATCAAATGATGTGGCTATAGCTTCCTGTGCTTCCTGTGCTTCCTGTATTGTGGCTAGTTAGTACATACCGTGGAGCTATTATGCACTTAACGTAACGGCCTAAACCAACGCCCTAACCGTGACTCTTACATAATACATGCAGGACTCGGTACTAGGTATATGTACATGTAGTGTAACTATGTAGGTACCTATGTACTAGTCACTATAATCACTGTGCATCTATATCGAAGTGACTCAGCCATGACTCTAGATCTTAAGACGTGGAACATTTAAAATATTCAAGGCTGTCAACCTTGGCTTTATCATGTACATGTGACATGTGTGATTCAGGTACTTCACTGGTAACTACATAGTAATACTAGTTAAAAGCTGAATAGATGATCGATATAGATACAAATTCCACCTCGGCATGAAAATCACCTAGGTAGATTCTAGACTCTAGACTCTTATAATCTCCCCGCTGTGTTTAATATCTATTGTTATAGCATTGATGTAATAATGTAGTAAGGTAAGTATGTAGGGGGGGAAAGGGGGGAGGGGAGTAAAGGGCAAGTAAAGAAACCCCCTATGTTGAGGCACACTCTATTTCTCTCGTTTACCCATCCTGTATAGCCATAACCTGAGTACCTAGTAGCCATCGATTAATCCGGATCCTGTACGTTCCCTTTTGATATACCTAGGTTGTATAAGGGGATGGAAAAAAGGAAAGAAAACAATTACCAAACACCGGCGCTGGCAATGCAGAAAGGAGCAGTCTTTGCGCGGCCGCGCACCCCTATGCATAACGCAGGCATTCGAGCCCAATATTAAAAAGAAAACCACCCCATTAGCCAACGATCTCATCCCGTCTTCCCACAAGGACATCTTGTCCTATCACGCAGCTCTTCTGACCTTGCTTGTTGCTCATCCGTTCCCTTGCATGAGAATCGAAATCTTGCTCAAACTCTCCAAGAGCAAACATGTAGTTCCAATTTGAAAGCCACTCTAGGCAACATTACAGGCATCTGCCTAAGAGCCTGTTGTAGCCGGCGCTGATCTGGCTGTGCTGATGCTCGTTCCACCATTTCCAGTGAGGGCCCTCGAGCCTAGTGCAGTTGCTCCACTGGTACTGGCTTCCATTTGAGAGAGGGCGCTCTTGACGACGAGTTCCGGATCAACGTTATCACCATCGACGAACGTCCAGCTCTCTTCTTCCGATTCGTCAGCTATGGTACCATCTGGGCTGCTTGCGGTGGCCGCGTTCTTGCCCGCTTTAGACTTGATCAGGCTCTTAGCATATTCAAGATCCCGGTAGATGCATTGGATTGCAGTGTCTACGCCATTTTCCTATAAGTGTAATCATGGTTAGATACGTGTTGTCAATCATCAACTCAAATCGAAAGCATACCTTGCGAATGGTCTCGCCCAAAACCCGAGCCTTGATAATCATTCTTTCACTGTGCGTAACCTCCCATAGCGCCCTCGCAAAACTGTGGGCACCCCATTTCTTTAAGCAGATGCCGACGCCTAGATCCTCAACGCGGCTGCCGAAGAAGAACTGGTCACCGAAAAAGGGTCGAATTATTGTAGGGATACCAGCCCGTAGACTAGCGCCCGTCGTTCCAGATCCACCGTGGTGGGCGGCAGCATCTATCTGGGAGAACAGCCAGTCGTGAGGTGCACTCTTGATCTGGAATATCTGAGGTGGGAGTGTTTGCTCTGGAACTGCGGCGTCTTTATTACCGAGGCGATCGGACCATCCTTTCGACAGCACACACCGAACATCAGCCTTCAACACTGCATCTATGACCTCCTGTGTCATCTTCGCCGGGTCTGGGACAATGATTGAACCGAAGCCAACGTAGACCACCTTCTTGTTGTCCTTGCGCGCTTGTTGGATAAAATTCCACAGGTCCTTAGGTGGAGTCCACTCGGTCCCTTCGTCCAGAAACCAGTAGCCCGTTACGCGGATCCAGTCGCTGTAATCAAGTGGTGGTGCCACAACCGCAGGGGAAAAGTTGTATAAAAAGGGCACCTTGTTTGGTTGCAGTTTCTCTAAATTGGTGTTGGGTAAGCCAAGAATATTATTCCGCCAGCGATTGATTTGATGCGCTGTTGCTTTCCAGAACACGTTATCAAACATAACATAGGTCACATAGTTGTAAGCGCCGCCCATCTTGTGTTCGGGCATAACGAAGGCGTGTGGGTAGGCTCGCGTACGGGTCCACGGCATCGTGAAAGCACGGAAGTACGGGATAGCTAATGCCTCCGCGATATGTATGCCGGCCATGGCGCTGGGACTTTCGATAAGCAAGTCGGAACCTTGGCATGCTGTGTAGGCTGATGCGAGGAGTTCATCCAGCCAGCCGCGGAATTTCGAATTGGCTTCTCTCAAAAACGCCCAGGTAAATGTACCGTTCTGGATGCAGATACGCATAAGTTCGCTAGGGTCACCTTCGACAGGCGCAAATTCGATGCCGTGTCCCTCAATCCAAGTCCTGAACTCAGCATGTGTAGCGATCCGAGCCTTATGACCCTCTGCCATCAGCCCTTTGCAAAGAGCAATGTAAGGTTGGACATCTCCTCGAGAACCGATCGTCAGGCAGGTGACTTTCATCGGCTCTGACGGTTTAAAGTTGAGGAAAGATGCCCTTGGGTCATCGAAGAGGATCGTAGGTGATGAGTCACTGAGACACGATGTCTCATGCGGCATCTTGAGCTCATGTTCAGTAGTTTCCTGAATGCGCGCCTCGTTGAGCGCATCACGTTCAGCCAAGGCTTCGTCCACGCCCCCCTGCTCTTCCTCGTCTAACGCGCCGGCCTCCCTAAGGTAGCGCGTAGTCTCTATGTTCTGAAGCAGAGTGACTGTGCAGTCGTCTCGGATTTCGGCCTTGTTGAATTCAAAAAACAGTTCTTCGTGGCCACGAATGACAACTACTAAACCAGAATAGCCAAACCGGAACCCTTTTTCCTTTTCGGCGGTTTCTATGTCTTTCAAGGGCAGAATCAACTTGGTGCGCGTTCCCAAGAGTAGGCTGCGAAAACAAAAATGTCGATCACTTATGTAGACTTTGCCGTAAAGTGGCAAGACACGGACAATGTAGCCGTAATATGTTGCTTGAAGTTTCTCGGTCTCTGGCAAGGCAAAATGTGCGCGAAACCTGTCCATATCAACACCATCATCATCGTCCATTTCGCCATCAGGCTTAAGTGCAGGGGTTTCGTGATAATGTTTGCGACCACCTTTCCACATGCCTGAAACCTTTTCTACATAGCCCATTGATTCAGTGGCCAGCAGGTTACTCATATGGCGGCTAGTTTGATTCAAGTAATTAGCAAATAGGCCCGCTCTCTGTAGGGGATATGCCCCCATTCTTGCAATCTTTTGCAGCCCTGGAGCATTGGCTGAGCCTTGATCGAGCCTGTCAGAGACAGCCAAATCGTACTGGCCCGTGGTCGCGGCACGATGCTTGTCAAAGGCAATAGCAGAAGACTCGTCCGACTTCTCACGCAAACGACTAGTACCAGATGACCTTTCTTGCCTCGAGCCGCGCGAGGCAGAGGTGGAGCGTCGGATGGTAGGCCTACGAAACACATCGCTACCTCGGAGAATCTGACTACCAGAAGGATCATCGTTAGACGATGATGCCACGGCAGACGTACTGGGGTCTTCGATGGAATGCACATAAGAGTCAGATGACTCGAGCTTCTCTTGTGCCACGCCATTGTCTTGAACAGAAGTCTTGTTCAATGATCGGCTACCACTGAAACTCCGTCGAGGAGAAGCATCTCGTGCAAGAGCATCGAGGTCAAGGCTTCGCCGTCCAAACTGGCGTATCGCGTCGAAGCTACCGCGGGTCACATCAACGCTAGCTCGAGGACTTGGTTCTCGGGGACTATGAGGTGACATGGGAGCTAGCGTCGCCCTGACATTCTCACGAAGTTTTGGTGATTTGAGCTCGAGGTTACTGGGGCCATTAATCTGCTTGTTACTGATGGAGCTGTGACGACTAACCCCCTCACTTCTCTGTGGTTGAGATGAACTCGAGTGTGCATCGTTATGGGCTTGCTGTTTTGAAGTATCATCGACCAGAATTTTAAGGACGTTGATTGCTTCCTTACTGAAACTGAAGAATGAGAAGAAGTACTAGGCGAGGTTAGCTAGAAGCTCTCTTGAATGGCCTAGTGATTAGTGAATAGTGGTTGCATCTTACCTCATCGATCGCATACGTTTCGTCGTTGTCTATAACCCGGATTTTGCATGTATCGGCAAATTCTATCATTTGACTGTCTTCAATATCTATTATGTTGTCAATAGGCAGAGAAATCTTAACGCTGTCACCATCGTTATGAGATCGAAATATGACCCGTTGCAAGCCCTTGACCCATTCTTTAGCACTCGGGGCACTGTCGGCTTTGAGATGATAGGTTCGATGGTGAGTGACGACTGAGAAGGAAAGGCCGTCCTTCTCTTTCTCGTCAATGCTTGCTGAGATGGCATAGCTCAGGTCAATCTGGCCATGCGGGAAGTAGAGATTAGACGGGTCGCGGTAGTAAGCCAACACATCACCCTTCAGGCGAAACCAGTAACGGCTGTACTTAGGGTTCCTTTTGCCGCTTTTCGACAGGTATCCCGACTTGGCGACCTCGTGCTATCTTGAGATTAGCTGGATGCTAGGGATGATTTTAGAAGGAAGGCCATACAGCTTTCTTGGGTAGGTAGGCATAAAAGCAGATGTGCTTAGCTGTAATATACATATAACCCTGTAACAGGACGCTTTGCAGCAGCCAGCATGGGTATTCTAGGTGACATATTAGCCACGACTCGATAGGTAACAACTATTGGTTAGGACAATACCCTCTATGACTTCCTCCGACTCATCGAATTCAAAGATTCGTCTCAGTTGTTGGGCAAGCAGACTAGGCCCTGCTTCTTCGCCGTTGCCTCTTCGATGATCGCCCGACAACCTTTCCAAGTCGAAGCTTGGCCTTGAAGACATCTCGGCTTTTGCTTCTAGCATCCTGCTCATAACTGGAGCGAGTCTTCCTTCGCGATCGGCCTTTGTGGCATCCATCGTAGGAGAAAGAGGGTCTGCTGTCGGGGAGTCTACGCTGTCGCCGTCACCCTCGGGTAGTAAATCTTCTGGTTGCACACCAGAACCTTTGGGTTGTCTATATTTGGAACGTGTAGAGAGTCGTGGCAGCTGTGGCAATGATTTTAAGAGATGGCCGGATAACCTCCGCCGTTGTTTTTCACCCTTCTCTTTTTCTGGTGTAGGTTTCTTTAATATTGTAGTCTGTGCCACACGTTCTCGTTCTTTTCCTTTCCTTGGTCGCTCACTACGATCCATGTCTTCGTCTTCGTCGCTAGATTGGCCTTCGAATCGGTCGTTGAAGTCTACGTTCGAGCCGGCAGCAGCAATCAAACCAAAGATGGATTGGTTCATGTTCATAAACATTTGCGGACCTTGACTAGGCGGTAGTACATCTTCATCGGCATCCTCTCCATGGTCTCTTAGGCATTCGGGAAGCTCCATGGTGGGAAGATGTTCCTCTTTGCGTTTTTTGTGAAGCTTCTTACTAACGCGCCGTCGTGCGGTAGCCTCCTCTGACAAAGGAGCCATAGCGCATCTATAGAGTCTATAGGGCTACTTCAATACAGTCTAGTGATTTGTCGAGGCCGGTACCGAACCGATCTAGGTAAGCTCTTGTTGGATTAGCTTTTGTGTGGTATGGGGTACTAGGCTACACAGGCGAGAGGCAAAAGGCAAAAGGCGAATGGGAGGGCGACACGGTGATCTAGGCGGTACCAGGCTTGCGGGCAGGGCGTACCAAGGTTCGAAAGGCTCAAACGTTAAAAGACGAAGAGGCTCTGGGGGAGGCGTTTAGACTCTGTCAAGATGATCCAACCACTAGGAGTTGTAGTCAAACACTTGAGCCAAAGTGGGCCGGTTGGTCCAGGCGGTGGGAATCAATGGTGTAGATGCATTATCGAGAAGGGTAGCTGAGCTGATTGATGGGTTGGCTAGTTGAATTGATGATAAATGGCAAAGTATATGGTGGGTGTGTATGGCTAGGCAGCAGGTGAAGGAGTAAGTGAGTGAGTGAGTGAGTGAGCAGGCAAGCAACTAAGGTTGTGACAATGTGCGATAGTAAGAAGAAGAATAAGAATAAGAATAATGATAATCAATAACGATAATAATAATACTATGAATGTAATGATATGTATGTAAGATACCTAAAATACGTAGGCATTTAAGGGTAGCTTCAACTATGTATGTACCACCTACTATTTAGGTCAAATGTATGTATGTATGTCTGGTAATTCAGATGTTGTACCTGGGAAACTTGAAGAGCATTGAACAAATCAGCCGGAGAATAACTAATAAGAAAGCAAGAAAGCAAAAGAAAGCAAAATGGACAGTGGGCGAACTACCTAAACTTTGGTAGGTAAGATAGCTAGAGATGTAAATTCGGATTCAGCACTGAGGTCAGGGCTTATCATCAGATGATTGGTTCAGTGAGAAAGATGACTTGAACGTGCCAGGTGTAGTTGCATGTGTACTGCATAGTAGTTAGTTGCATGTGGACGGAATCTTTCAGATGAGCAGGAATTAATTGATGTGAAAGGTTTGAAAGACCTGCAGGGTAACTATGTAACTAACCACTGGGCAGGGTAACCAGGGTTCAGTGTTGGAAATATGCATGTACAAGGTACATACATACCTAGTACATCAATAATACTAGGTACGCTAGCAGACTAACTACCTAGTAGTAGCTTATCTTGGGAGGGATCATGTCCACACGTCCACGTCTGTTCTGATTCAGTCATATCAATCACGATCAATGCAGAGTGCCAGTGCAGCACCTATTTTACACTACATACGCACTAATCGATAAGCATTGATGCGTAGTTACAAACTATGTATTTAATACTCCAATCTCTAACTAGTGCTATCAAGTAATTCAGGGTTCACTTGAAGTTGTGCACATATGGGTACTATGACGTTGAACTCTATGTATGTCAATCATGCCAGTGAATACATACTAGGTACAATAAGCACATTAATATTTCAAACATTTAATCTTGGGCTTTCAAAGAACCGATCGGACCTTGAGAACATCTACCTTGGTGCTTCACAAGACGGACCGCTAAGCCTGTGTGAAATCGCGTACAGCATTGAACCCACTTACACATGTGCATCTTATCGTATGCATTCCGTCAATTCTCTTATGAGGTACCAGGTAGATACTTAGACATACATTATACATATTATGTAGTTATCTGCCTAGTGGTCATTTGCGGATGGCACGGGACCTATAAGGATCTCGAGATGTTAGATCACATGCTAAATACGCCCCATAGCGTGGGAGGCTTTGCTTCTACTACTCACACTACTTCGTACTTCGTACATAACGTAGTATAAAGGTCTTTAGTTCATGTGGAGAATCGATGGTGGTACGAATTACATCACGCACAGATTTTGAACCCGAGTGTGCTGGCTACAGTACCTACATACATATGTAGTAGTACTTAGTACCCAACAAGATTATCAACATTATCAAGCTTGACATGTAATGAATAGCAACCTAGTCAACATGGATTGACAGCTTGGGATCGTCCATGGCGCCTCAAGTGCTACCAAGACAATTGTTACCACGGCGAGTATTACCAAGGCAGTTGTGTCTTTAGCAGGTTTCTGAGATGGACCCCTGAAAATCATAATTAGGTCCTAGAACATTTCCTTGTTCATTGGTATTGTTCATTGGTAAAATGCATTTTGTATTCAGCTGAACTCCCTTTCGTAGAATCCGATCATGCCATGCGATGCTCGAGAAAGCCGAAGACTACCTGCCATATGTGCAGGCCCTTGAGTTACAACCGTCCCAAATGTCAGGTATCCGTTCCCTTATTCCGCAAATAGAAACCATCCCTCTGGTACTTCCTCTATGCGACCAGTTCAACAACGCCACCTGCCTCGGTGATCTTCTTCTCTGCCAGCTTGCTGACCCATCGTGCTCGGACGACTACGGGGACTTTGGGCATTCGGCCCTTTCCGAGGACCTTGGAGTAGCCTAGGGGGAGGAGGTCGATGACGGGGACGGTGTCCTTCTTCTCACCGGATAGGTAGGCATCGCGAGTCTCGGCGGGGACCAGCGACCATAGCTACAGAAGGTATATAATTAGTATGCAATCTTGCGATATGCGATATGTTGCATCGTATGGGATCGGGCTTGCAGTCCCGTCCTAGTAGGATATTTGGAGTATTCGTACCTTGTCGAGGTTGACGATGGGCTTCCAGAAGTGGTTTTGTTGCTTGTGGAAGTATCGCATACCAACCTTACCGAAATAACCAGGATGGTATTTGTCGATGTTGGTTCGGTGGTGGTGCTGACCACCGGCCATACCACGACCACCGGGGTGCTTGCGGTGCTTGCCGACACGACCGTGACCGGCCGAGACGTGGCCACGGCTATTAAAATTGTTAGCATAGTTTTTCTAGTAGAGCGAGTCATACACTCTGAGGGAAATTCCAAGTAGTTGGGTTTCGCTCTCGCTCGCTCGCTCGTTCCATTCGTCGCGCCGAATGCCATCAATGCCAGGTCTATTTCTGCCATGATTAATCGCAGCGCCGCCAAGTGATTGGGATCAAGGCTGCATTGAATCGATTCAAGTTGAAATTTGCGTGTGTGGTTTTCCTCCCCAGTTCATTTTCATCCTTGAATCTCCTCGCAAGCAACGGCATTGGAATGGCAAAAACGGGTCGGCGCGACAGGCAAGAATTGGAGCGATCGAGAGCAAAAATAGAATAAAAAAGTGTTGTGATGTGCGCAATTGGAAACATACTGCTTTCTGGTCTTTGATAATCTGGTAGGCATCTTGACGTTTGAGAGGCTGGTTGTGATGTGTTGAGAGTGCCTACTCGGAGTGGTGGGTTGCTAAGATAATAACTTATTAGGCGGTTTTGAAGATTGTATGTTGTATTGAATTTGTGAAATTCTATTTTTTCGTTTAATTTTTTGGGTAGGGTTTGGCGGGTGGGTTGTGGAGATGCTTAGCCACACTGGGCCCATATCATTATGGACACAGCCACATTTGCATAGCTACACTACCACTTCACTCAGTGCTCTTCCAGTGAGTGCACTGTGCATTCGACCTTAAATGATTCAATGTTCAATCATTTGTTGATCAGATTATTGATCAGATTAGCAGCAACAACCTTAGAACCAATCAGAATTGAATCATCACCCATTACTATTCATCATCACCGCATACACAGGTACTATGCTACGCAGCTTCATTCTCAGTTGATTGATTTAATCGAGAAAAAAAGAAAAAGAAAATAAACTTGTTAGTTGGTCTTGGTCCTCATGTCTCTAAACATACCTAGGGTATCCAAGAAATCAGGAGCCAATGTTGTAGCAGGCCTTACACAAGCATATGCACATTTGCATGAACGACGTAGTGGTTGATGTTATTAATACTCATTTTAAAACACCCCAATGTATTGTACAGCTTTCTATTGTTGATCTCGAGTACCCTAAATGTAAGACGAATAGGTACATTTTAACCAATCAACCTTCAACATGGACCAAGTGACGAACGAATTCGGGAAGATCAACTTCCATCATCCATATACCCCGTACGATGTACAAGATGAGTTCATGAATGTCGCATATGAAGTTCTACAGCGAGGAGAAGGACAAGTAGGCATCCTCGAGAGCCCAACCGGCACTGTATGTTGAACATTTCATATTTTGAAATCCCCAGTCTTCTCACCAACTAACTTAGCCAGGGGAAATCTTTATCTCTAATCTGCGCAGCTCTCACATGGCTACGAAATCACAAAAGGTCCAAATTTGAGAACTCTGTTACTAAAGCAGCTGATGAGTTCAAGGATGAGCCAGAATGGATTGTCAGTCAGATGCTAAAGCGGAAGCGAGAGGAGATACTGAAACAATGGGAGGAAAGGGAGGCACGTCTAAAGAAGATACGAGCTAAGGAAAAAATCATGGAAGAGAGAGGGACTAAACGAAGGAAACTTGACGATGGCGGGGCTAGGAGAAGCGACAGGACAGCTGATGACGACGACGAGTGGCTGCTAGACGGTGGTCAGGATGATGATACATCGCAGAGTGACGATAATCCATCCGGCCTCAGTAAGGAGACGAGAAGTCTAATGGAAAAACTTGGACTTGGAGGTCTCAAAGCAAATGAAGGAGAAAATGAAGAAGAAGGCGACAACGAGGTCAAGGTCTGTCAACTTACTGGCATCTCGGATGGTCTTCGTTTGCCATATTATCACTCTTTGCTAACTATTCATAGATATATTACACATCGCGAACACATTCGCAATTAACGCAATTCATCTCAGAGTTACGGCGACCTGCTTTCCCAAGCTCTTTGCCAGATTCACTTCTCAGTGGGAACGAAGACACGGGACCCGAGGGTATCAAACACCTCCCACTGTCTTCTCGTCAGCGGCTCTGCATTAATCCGTCAGTTTCTCGTCTCGGTTCTCTTCCCGCAATCAATGATCGCTGTACCGAGCTTCAAAAGCCGAAATCCAAGGACAAATGTCAGTTCGTGCCAAACGCAGATAATCTGAGTTCAACCCATCAGTTCCGGGACAACACACTTGCAACGGTACCCGATATTGAAGATTTATTTGAGCTTGGGAAGAAGCTCCAGGTCTGTCCGTACTACGCATCGAGAACTGCTGTGGCTGGCGCGGAAATCATTACTTTACCTTACCCATTGCTTTTACAAAAGACTGCCAGGGACGCTCTTGGTATTAAACTAGAGGGAAATGTGGTTATCGTTGATGAAGCCCACAACATCATGGATGCAGTAGCAAATGTTTATGCTTCTGAAGTGAGCCTCGGCGAGCTCAAGCAAGCTAGGCAGATGCTTGGTGTGTACGTGAAAAAGTTTGGGAAGAAGCTAAAAGGAGAGAATCGAGTTATGGTTGCCCAAGTTGCTAGGGTGGTAGATGGACTAAAGGAATGGTTAGAGGGTACACTCGAATTAAAGGTGAGGGCAAAAACGTCGTATAGACATTATATATCGATATGTCATTGCTAACATTCTCATTCTATAGAGTGAACAAGGGATTGTAGAACCCAACATCCTCTTGAGGGCTAAGGGTATCGATCAGATCAATATGTACAAACTCATCGAGTACATTCAAAACTCCAAGTTGGCGTACAAAATTGAAGGCTATGCTGCGCAAGCTGAGACCCAAGGCAACGAGAATGGCTCGTTTACGTCGCGATCAACCCCAGTCCTCCACACACTCCTTTCCTTTCTCGTTTCTCTGAATAACTTGAGTTCCGAGGGGCGTATCTTTTACCACAAGGTCTCTCAAAATGACATCAAGCTTTCTTACCTCCTTCTTTCACCTACTCATGCATTCTCATCTATCGCATCTAGTGCGCGAGCAGTGATCCTTGCCGGCGGCACTATGTCTCCGTTTGAGGACTACACAGCGCACCTCTTCCCAGATATGGCCGAGAGCAAGATCACAACTCTGAGCTGTGGTCACGTCATTCCTGCCTCCAGTCTTTGCGTTTGGACATTGGCCTCTTCCGGGCCAAAAGGGAACACGAGAAGTATAGATTTTGAGTTTAGCTTCCAGAAGCGTCGCGACAAGTCGATGGTTCGCGATCTAGGTCTCGCCATCCTTAACATATGTACCGCCGTTCCAGACGGCGTTGTTGTATTTTTCCCTAGCTACGGATACCTCGACGAAGTCGTAGCAGCATGGACTGAAGCGAGCCCCGGCCAGGCCAATTCGCTGTGGGATAGACTACAGACCAAGAAGGCCGTCTTCCGCGAGTCTAAAGGCGGATCAAGCGACGAGGTTCTGGAGAAATATACCGAGGCCATTCTCGGCGACGAGAACAAAACGGGCAGTAATCCGTCTGGCCCGAAGCCAGGGCTGACAGGCGGCCTACTACTAAGCGTAGTGGGTGGGAAGATGAGCGAAGGGATCAACTTCTCCGATCGCCTTGGCCGTTGCGTTGTTGTCGTCGGGCTGCCTTACCCGAACATAAACTCTCCCGACTGGAAGGCTCGGATCGAATACATTGAATCGACGACGGTGGAACGGCTAACGAAAGCTACACCCGCAGCTACCGATTCTACTAACCCTACGACTTCTGCTTCCATGGCTCCCAAAACATCGTCGCTAAGCGAGACAGAGGCGAAAGCCAAGGCCAAGCAAGTGGCGCGCGAATTCTACGAAAATGCATGCATGCGCGCCGTCAACCAGAGCATTGGTCGAGCGATCCGGCACCGTGGTGATTACGCGGCTATCGTGCTCATAGACAGGCGGTTTGCAACTGCGCGCATTAGATCAAAGCTGCCTGGCTGGATTCGTGGGGGCTTGGTCGAGGGTAGTGAGGATAAGGGGCTAGGGCAAATGATGGGGAAGCTTAATGGATTCTTTAGGGAGAAGAAAGCTGGGACTGGTGTTTGATTCATTATTGGTAGCAAGGGAATAAAGGACAATTCAACTACAGAAGAGTGTGATTGAATTTCCTATACCTAACCCGACCGGTGACTAGATGCTATATACCATCTAGTCTGTATCCATATGGATATAACATATTGGCACATGTAAGTGAATAGGGGGATCACGGCTTTACAAGGGGTAAGCCCTTCTAACAAAGTCAAAATTTTAGGTGGTGGCAAACCCGCCTACCTAGAGCTACTAGGTACATCCTAGTGCCTGTAATGCAGCCCTAATTCCCTGAAGCACATCAAACCCCACTAACTATAGTTTAATGGCCGGGACTTACTAGGCCGGCTATCGCGTTTTCTCCTCGCGTCGCCAATAAATTATTCTTTCTACATATGCACTCAACTCTTTTTTGTCGATCGCGAGTACCAAAGTTCACAATAACAGATACCCCCAACTCATACTAATAGACCATTTAAAATGGCTTCTTCACCACGACATGAGGAATACCAGTACCTCGAACTTGTGCAAGAGATCTTGGACCATGGCGAACGCCGACCTGATCGGTATGTTCTTGATATCCGATCCAAATTCGGCGCATGATTCTAATACGTAGGCCCTTAGAACGGGCACAGGCACTTACTCCATATTCGCCCCTCGACCCCTTAAGTTCAGCCTAAACGACGACGGAAAACCCATTCTACCCCTCCTGACCACAAAGCGCGTCTTCCTCCGCGCCGTCATCGCCGAGCTCCTGTGGTTCATCGAGGGCAACACGTCCTCCGCCTCCCTGAGCGCGCAGGATGTCAAGATCTGGGACGGCAACGGGTCGCGCGAGTTCCTCGACAACCTCGGGCTCACGCACCGCGAGGTCGGCGACCTGGGCCCCGTCTACGGCTTCCAGTGGCGCCACTTCGGCGCCGAGTACGTCGACGCGAAGACCGACTACACGGGCCAGGGCGTCGACCAGCTCGCCGACATCATACACAAGCTGAAGACAAACCCGCACGACCGCCGCCTCATCCTGTCCGCCTGGAACCCGCACGACCTGAAGAAGATGGTGCTCCCGCCGTGCCACATGTTCGCGCAGTTCTACGTCTCGTTTCCGCGGCGGAAAGGCGAGGTGGAGGAGGAAGGGGAGGGGGAGAGCAAGCCGAAGGGCCACCTGCACTGCCAGCTGTACCAGCGGTCCTGCGACATGGGCCTCGGCGTCCCGTTCAACATCGCCAGCTACGCGCTGCTGACGCACATGCTCGCGCACGTCTGCGACCTGGTTCCGGGCAGCCTGACGCACGTCATGGGCGACGCCCACGTCTACGTCGACCACGTCGACGCGCTGAAGGTGCAGCTGGAGCGCGAGCCGCGGCCATTCCCGGAGCTGAGGCTGACGCCGGAAAGGGGGGACGCCATCGATGGATGGAAGGTCCAGGATATTGCGGTGCTGAACTATGAGCCGCACAAGACGATTCCGATGAAGATGTCAGTTTAGGAAGGAAGTGACGTGGTACGATAATGAATATACTTGGTAAAATTATGAGAAAGGATATGAGAAAAGACTAGATGGCCGTTAAGTAGAGCTATTGAAGGTAAAAGCATAGGATAGGGAGGTGGTGGGAAGGTGTCTGCGTGTTATATATCACATTAGACTTGGTAGAGAAAAAGCGCATCTTGAGGATGGTAGACGAGACATCCGGCATGATAAAGGATGTCTGATTTCGGCCAAGGAGAGCTGAGTCAATACCTAGGTAGACATTTCTCTTTAGGGGACATGGCTATGACTTCCAGAGTTCTGAAGAGTTGTCGAGCCTCACCAAGCAGCTTTTCAGGTCAGCTTTAGGTGGTAGAATCATTACGAAGTCCACCATAATCCTCGTTTTCACCGCAGAGAACGGACACTATGGCATACCTACTTTCCACACCAACAAAGTTGCACCTGGAGTTCGCTGGTGACGATAATCGTTTACATCTCATACCGTTCTCGAGTTTAGAGCAGCAGGCTCATTACTGTGGTATTTACCACGATATCGTGGAATTACTCCCCAATATATATACCCTTTTTTACAAGTCCAATTTTCATGGGCTTCCAGCGATACTAGGTATCATATTTCCCCCAGCTCACACACACAGAAGTAGACCTCGCAAAGCGGCAGCACCCCTCTACCCCACCGTGTCTAGACTCCCTCTCGCATTGAACCCAGGGATTCACGCCGCTGGCACACGTCAACAAGCATCGGCATACAGCTACATTGATAGGTCTACCATACGATGGACCATAAACCCAACAGCACATGTAAAAACACATGCTATAATTTATATCTCTACCTAGGCATGTATGATACAAGATGAGTGCTCTCATGGTAAAGGGGTAGGTAGTTCATCATGTGACGTGACTCGACGAAAGCAAGCGCTTCCAGCACACAACAATTGGCTGCCTGCCAAGCTGCCAAGCCGCTTCACGCGCGGAAAGGATGAAATCTATTATAATAGTCCCGGAAGAGATTGAATAGTTACCTAAGTATCAAGATATTGAATATTGACATGATCAGTAAGGCCGCTTATTCGCGAAAGCGCGAAGCAGGTACGTAATGTTGATGGGCGAAGCAAAAGCAAATGTTGTTGGGAGCGAAAACAAACCCCTGGCTGGCTGACTGACCGACCCGGACTGGACTGGAAGAACCGATGAGGTCGGAGTCCGATCTAATATCGGAGTTCAGGATGCGGAGCTGCATTTTACATAACATAGCACCCTGGCATCCAAGGTAGGTTATGTGGTAAGTAGACTGGATATCTCGGATGCCGACGCATTGAATCGCTGTAATCGAATTACTGAGAGCTAGGTTACATTCACAGCCAACTAGGGCCAAGCACCAGCGACGACATCTGCCAATTACATCTCCCATTGAAAGCTGCCTGATCGCGAAGGACCTAGCTCACGTCAGCGAGAATTCCTTACGATCAATGCAGTTTCATGCCTTCTTTCTTGCCTAGGCATTAGGTAGACGTGATGGTAGGATGTAGAATGCCGACTCGTTATGTTTGGATGGTCGGACATTAGGTAGGTAAGTACACTTCATGATGGTGTCATGTCATGTCGTTGGTAGTAGTGTAGGAACACACCTCCTTCGGAGACGCGAGGGTTGATGGCCGAGGCATGCGATGCGATGCGATGCGATGCATGCAAGGCATAATCACAAGCTACTGTGACGAAGGAGTTGTTGATCATTGTCATCGAGTACCTACCTATTTAATAATGAGCTTCGTCTGCTTTTTTTTCTATCCGATGTTATTCTCATCATCAACTCAAACATCTTCACACTCATACTCACACAATACCAGCACACACTACCAACTACCTACTCATCATCTACCAAACTAACAACAACACACTCGTCAACCTCCCAAACAAACAAACAACCAAACAACCACAATGGCACCCATAACCGAAATCGTCCTCGCAACCCGCGCCCCCGGCGCCCCCCTGGACGCAATCTACACGCTCTTCGCCAGCACCCTGAAGCCGCAGCCCGGCAACCTCGCCGTGCGCGCCTCCGTCGTCGCCGAGGACCCCAACGCCTTCCGCTTCTTCATCGACTGGGACTCCCTCTCCTCCCACCACGCCTTCCAAGCCAGCGCCGCCTACGCGCCCTTCCTCGCGCAGCTGACCCCGCACTCCGGCGGGCCCGTCAAGGTCCTGCACGCGGAGCTGACCCCGCACCCCCCCACCGTGCTCGACAACGCCGAGGGCGCGGGCAAGTCCGCCGTCGCCGAGGTGCTGTTCGCGTACTTCGACCCGGCGGCCGACACCGCGGCGCCCCTGGCCGCGGCGCAGGAGCTGGCCGCGGGCCTGCGGGCCGCGGGCTTCCCCGGCCTGTCGGGGGAGTCGGCGTTCGGGTGGACGGTGGAGGCGGACGTCGAGTACGAGGGGCAGCCCACGCGCGCGCTGGTGTCCCTGGTCGGCTGGGACAGCGTGCAGGCGCACAAGGACGCGCGCGCCACGGAGGCGTACGGGAAGCTGATTGCCGATTTCAGGGGCGCCGTCCAGGGGCTCAAGGGGTTCGATGTTACGCATGTGTCCAACAAGATCTTGTGAGTGCCTATAAAGTGCCTAGCCTAGGTACATGTAGGTACTGTACCTAGGTGCCTGTAGTGGCTCTTGGGAAAATCTGGGGTTTCTTGTTTGTTCGGCGATATGCCGCCATCGATGTACTGGGCTCGTCGGTTTTGGTTTTGCGATCGTGGATAAAAAGATGTGAAGCAGACTGTCTTTTAGATACGAGTTAGATGTTAGCGATTTATGAAATAGAGATGTCTTTTGGATCTGCATATCGACATTCCTCGTCTTGCACTTCTCCTGTAAAAAAAAATGATGCGATTTATGATTAGCAAGCCAGCCACTTGTGCAGGTTAGCAAAATAAAGAAAAAAAAATGATTCACAGTCTCCGTAAATCTTCGAAAGAACTGTAGGTGTAGGTAATACAGTATGTCTATCTATTCATTCGTATCGTATTCTCTTACAAGGTGGAATCTACATGTCAGCTAAATCATTTAGTCTTAAGATCGGCTTCTTCTTTGGAGCTTGCCCCTTTTATCCCAACCTCTTCATCTATAGATTGCCCCTTAACCACCCCAACACCATGCTCTGCCAGATCCGTATTCAAAATTGGGGGTCCTGAGAAATGCTTGCGGCCCCAGGCAAAGTACCAGACGATACTGATGGTCGCGAATCCCGCGAACACCACGCTAGCGTAGTTCATGTTAGAGGCGTCTAGCCCGCTGAGATTCGTAGGCATACAAAGCAAAAAGATTGCCAGGACAATCCACAAAAGCGTCGTTATGTTGATAGCGAAGCCAAAGCGACCTAAAGAGTAGGATGCGCCTACCAACAGCTTCCGGCCGCGGATGACGGAAATTAAAATCGGTAGCCCATATGATGTTGAGAGGCACAAGGTGGCAACGCCGGTAAAGCTGCCGAACGCGGCAGATGAGCCAAAGTAAATGAGTCCAAGTAGGCAATCGACAACTGCAGACAAAGTGAGAGCAAGGAGTGGAATGTCAAATCGCTTGTCAATCTTGCTCCAAAGACCAGATCCAGGGATGGCTCCGTCACGTGCAAAGGCATAAGTGCAACGACTCGACGCTGTTAGCGCACCAACGCCAGCAAAGAGCCATATTCCCAGTATCAGAAATAGCAAGCCAAAGCCTCCCCCGGCACTTCCGGTTGCCGTCTTGAAGACGAGACCGATAGGTTGGCCGTTTGCTACTTCTAATAACGTCTGAACCTCGGGAAGAACGAATAAAACCGGTATTAAGTAGATCAGGCCCGTAATTCCGGCCGCCACAACGGACACTGCAATGTCCAAAGTCAGTAAAATGAATGGGGCCATTGAAAGATGCTTTTGGCTGAGAAATACTCACAGACTATAGCCTTAGGAACCTCTCTCTCCGGTGACTGCACTTCCTCACACATAGCTGCGACCATGCCGTAACCGGTAAGCACATATGCAGGCTGCAACAGACCGACGAAGAAGGACCAGCCGGCGGGCCATCCCGAACTTGAGGCGTCGTAATGCGCAAACACGAACTCTCCGCTCCTCTTGGTTGGCGACATGGTCAACAAAACGATGAGGATGATAACGATGGAAGCTCCGGTCCAGTAAATGCAGGCAGTGTTGATTAAGTCTAGGTATTTAGAGCCAAATACGTTGATGAGGTAGCATAGGAGCATGACGGCCCAGAACATGAGAATGGTCTGCCACTCGTTCGCGACAAAGTCTTCGTCCCATAATGAAATGGCACTGAGGATCAACTGGGCGCCTCCGAAGTTAATAGAGAGAGTGACGGTCCAGTTCCCGACGAGTGTCAGCCAGCCAGTAATCCAGCTAGTGATAGGAGCCCATCGTGGTGTTGACAGAAGCGCGGCCCAGTAGTAAACGCCACCGGCAGTAGGGTAGACGGAGCAGATCTCAGCTAGCGAGGCAGCGATGGCCGTAGACAGGAGAGAGAGCAAGACCCAGCCCCAGAGGACAGTGACGGACTGACCGTTTGCCAAGGATACATAAAACGTAGTGCTTAGACCATAGGGAACGGCCATCTGTCAGGCACGTGTTAGCAAATACTCTCCGAAGACTCGATTGTTGACCCGGGGATGCGACATACTATAAATCTCACAGTTAGCACTTATATCTCTAACCAAGATATCCGTAGATACCTCCATAGATGAATTAGGTAACATACCAATAGCGAATGAAAGGCCGAGTACTGAGAGCATACTCAAACTTCGGGGCAACTCGGACTTGTAGCCCATCTTCGCGAGGGCATCGTCAGCCGCTGTCGCCTGCATAGACCTGCGCCGGCCGACGCTCCTAAGAGATTCTGCTCCCATCGTCGATGATGTCACGATTGCCTTTTTGTTTTTTTTTTCTCTCTTTTTTAATAGTAGTTAGTGTAGTTAGTTAGGTAGTTAATGATAGTGATAAGAAACTAATAAATAAAATAAAAGAGAGAAAGGTTGATTTCCAAGGATGGAATATTGAGCATTGAGTATTAAGTAGTTATGGTATTTCATGTTAAAGATGGAAAGGAAGAGTCGGAGTCTGGGGGTGATGGCGATGATAACAATTGGCAATTGGCGCTGATAACAACATTTAAACATTTGACTACTATGTATTAATGAACATGGGACAATTCTGTATCACCTACTAAGTAGATACTAGGTATTGTATTGTACCTAGGTAGTAACCAGGTAGTAACCAGGTAGTAACCAGGTAGTAAGTAAGTATAAACTACCCTAGTCCTAGGTATTAGAAAATAGCATCATCCATAAATCTCTACATTGTGTATACATGAAAGTGCTAAAAGTGCTAACATTGAAAACACCGAAGGCCTTATCTCTAGACCGTTTGGTCAGATTGAGCCCGAGATTGAGAATCCTTCTAAGTTTTACTATGTAATTATCAGCCAGCTAGTCTCGATATGGCATCGTTCAACGGGCCTTTTTCTTGATCTGACTGCTAAGTCCCTAGGCTTAGTTTAATATCCTAACCCAGAGCATCGTTGTCCCAGGGTTTCTTATCTTTTATGTTGTACTGTGAGTTAAGGAGTTATGGGGTTAGTTATGGGGTTATGGGGTATTTTTTATCATTCAAGAAGATCAATTGATCTTCATTACAACATAAAACTTCATTTCGATAACATCGTCTACTTATCTATCATCTACTATACCCAGTAACCTATGTTAGGCAATTAGCTGACGACGACCTTAGGTAATCTCTTATAAATCGGGAAACATTTCTTCTTTTTTCTTTTTTCTTTTGTTTATTTCAACATCATCTTGTTGTCTCTTATGAATTTGGAGTTGGAGAACCTCAAATGTGGCTACTGGCTAGGAACCATGTACCCTAACTAACATTTATACTCGGTGAGGGGATCTCGATCAGCGAGACCTACTTACTACTTAGTATGTAGTATGTACGAAGTATATCAAGTAATCAACCAGTTCCCCCGCACGCTATTCGCCGTCGCCGTGCGGGCACAACATTGAATGAAATGGCCTTGACTTCTAGCTCGGCCAAGTCTACCTATGTACTTATCAATTAGATAGTAGTAACTAGCCTTTATCTGTTGGGACAACCCCCTTTTTACATATTATAGTATTCTTGATAACCTTGGAAGACACCATCATCATGGCACCTCAGCCACGTCTAGAAGGCAAAGTCGCAATTGTGACCGGAGGCGCGTCGGGCTTTGGGAAAGGCATCGCCGCCAAATACGTCCAAGAGGGAGCTCGTGTTGTCATCGCCGATTTATCAGAAGAAGCCGGCCAGGCCGTCGCTCAGGAATTGGGCTGCCACTTCGTCACCGGAGACGTGACCAAGCGAGAGGACTGGGAGAGTCTCCTAAAAGCAGCCCTACACACTTTCGGTCAGCTCGATATCGTGGTGAATAACGCCGGAGCCACGTATGCCAACAAGCCGACGGATGAGGTCACAGAAAAAGATTTCGACCTTGTCATGAATGTCAACGTCAAGTCTATCTACTTCTCCACTAATGTCCTCCTGCCTTACTTCTTGGAGAAGAAGAGACCGGGCTGCTTCATCCAGGTGGCGTCTACCGCGGGAGTCCGGCCGCGTCCAAGACTTACTTGGTATAACGCCTCAAAGGCGACTGTCATCAATGCTACCAAGGTAGGGGAACAGATGAATGACTACAAAATAATGAATACTGACTGCGATCCTATGACAGACGATGGCAGTCGAATATGGACCCCAGCAGATTCGCTTCAATGCGGTCTCGCCAGTAATCGGGAGCACGGGCATGACACACCTATTCATAGGCATGTCTAACACAGAAGAGAACCGCAAGGCTTTTGAGTCCGTGGTGCCATTGGGAAGGGGCTCTACGCCGGAGGACGTCGCCAATGCTTGTTGTTACTTGGCGAGCGATGAAGCTGCCTTTATCACGGGGGTCAATCTCGAAGTGGATGGAGGACGGTGTGTGTAAGGACCCTCAGCTTAGGTACCCATTCTACCTGGGAGGTATGTCTTAGAAACCTTGGAGCATTAGGACCTTCCTTCTCGGGCCATATGGGAGGCTGCTATTGAAGCCATTATGTGACGAAGCATGCTATCCTTCCGTCCGAGAATAGACACGAGATGACGCTTGCGCTGATGGAGTTGGACTTCTTTCGGTCTTTGACTGTGATATAATGTGGTGTCCAATTCATTTGCACTTCCAAGCGGAGCCAAGCCGGAACCGAGACGGAGCGACTCAAATATAGCTACATGGGGATGTCATAGTAGTATACCTACTAGTCACTCAGGAAGCTTCCATTTATATATCAAATGCTACCTCAGGAGCCCGAGTCGTCACAGTCGTAGAAGTGGATGCGAGGTTGTATTGTAGTGTAGTTGTGATGGGTGCTGACATCCACCTTCAAGGCTCCCCTGTTTCCTTGCGCACCTATGAAGTTCAGAATCGCCCTGGTTTCCGGTCATGCATTTTAATCCCCTGAGGGTTACCGACAAGGTGGGCTACGGTAGTTGACATGTCTTGGTATTATTTACGAGTCATCTAATATATGTTGCATGTTGTATTGGCCTGCCGAAAGAGATCACATTCAGAGGTCCTTCCGGCATTGCCCCTTTCGGATATTTCACGATCTTGCTTTTCCCCACAATCACCCCACGAATCCATGTCGCCCGCATTGCGAGGATTCCCAGAGTGGATCTATTTCGTCGCAGTGAAGATGGCCGACGATGGAACGACGGTCCGCGAGAGTTGCCTGCCTGCAACACGCGCCAGCCCAAAGCGCTTCTTACCTAGTACTTGCTACCCAGCCTAGGTATATGGTACCTACACATCGATTTATATGCATGCAAGATGTGACATCACTCCGCCATGGTGCCGCTACGCCGGTATCTTGTAATATACATATATATACCTATCTACCTGGAGAACATCCTCGTCTTGGCGATCCTGTGCAACACTGGGACTACAGCGCTGCCATCACATCACCCCTGGAACTAAACCACTACATACCTACTATCTGACCTACTAGGAAACTTGAAGATCTCTTTTCCACGATGAAGAGCTTTGCCAACCTTGCTGTTGCTACAGCGCTTGTGGCTAATGGTGCTTCTGCGCACTACATTTTCCAGCAGCTCTCGGTTGACGCTACGAAATATGGCCCGTTTGAATACAGTACGTCAAAATTTACTCCCCCCCCAATATCGCAGTGTGAAAGTTCAGCGGCTAACGATATCTTTCCCAAACAGTCCGCCAGAACAGTAATTTCAACTCGCCAGTCACCGGTAAGTTGTCTCTCGAAGATGTTGGGAACGACTTGGCACTAACCCAGGAGGCTAGATCTGGCATCCAACGATCTAAGGTGCAATGTGGGCGCGGAGGGCGCCGGTACTGAAACCACGGAGCTGAAGGCTGGCCAGGCGTTTACTTTCACGCTCGATACTGTATGTGCCTGTCTTGCCTCACTCTGCATGAGCTTCTTTCGATGATAGCCGATCTAACTATCACACAGCCTGTGTATCACCAAGGACCGATCTCGATGTACGTATCATGTTTTCTTTTAGTAAAGTCTCGGTCCATTAGGCTAATAGAACAACAGTTACATGTCCAAGGCACCAGGCGCCGCATCCGACTACGACGGCAGCGGCGACTGGTTCAAGATCAAGGACTTCGGTAAGCCATCAATCAATCATCCCCCCCCCTTCACCTTCCTACCTCCCAACTAACTCTCAACCCATCACCAGCCCCCGACTTCTCCGGCGGCGAAGCCAAATGGGACATGTCGGGCTCGTACACGTACACGGTCCCGAGCTGCATCGAGGACGGCGAGTACCTGCTGCGGATCCAGTCGCTGGCCATCCACAACCCGTGGCCCTCGGGCATCCCGCAGTTCTACGTCTCGTGCGCGCAGGTCAAGGTCTCGGGCGGCAGTGGGAGCTATAACCCGACGACGGTGCGGATCCCGGGCGCGTTCAAGGAGACGGATCCGGGGTATACTGCTAATGTGAGTTTTTTTTTTCTTTTCTGTTGAAACCTTTTCTTGTTTGTTAGATATGGGATGATACAATGATAGATGCTTACCACTTTCTTTAGATCTACTCCAACTTCCACGAATACACCGTCCCTGGCCCTGAACCTGTGAGTTGTGATACTAGGTAATTAGGTATAAGTTATGAGCACGAGCTGACTCCTTTTCTCTCTCTTTAGCTTACCTGTTAAGTTTTGCCACTGAAAATCACGGAATAGGGGAAGGGGTATATGAGATATGAGAACTGAACTTTACATTGAGCTATGATGAGATTATTATCAAGTGAACGGTCTTTGTTGTGCCGCTTTTCAATATGAATCGATATGAATATGTATATAGATATTATAACTAACCTAGGTATCTAGACGAAAGTCTCAATCACCAAAGTTTAGATCTGTACTTGGATATCTACCTGCGTACCTTTGAGTTTCTCATAATAAGCCAACTTTAGGATAATAGTTCTAGTAATACCTCACATGAACGCAATGCCCAGTACAATCGTACACTCATCTTCATATTGACCCAGTGCTATATTATATATACTAGTTCTATTCTAAAAAGAAAAAGATATGGTGAGCCTCTGAGGTAAACACTACCAGGTACGCTACAAAAAGCCACAGAGAGAGAAGACAAAAGCCTTCATACCCTAGTTTCTAGAAATCTGGCCTAGGTGTATAAACCCATAAACATGCCGATGGAAGGTATGTTGAGATAAAATAAGGAGTGACTTCCACCAGGAGCACAAAACTCTAGAACGCCGTGGAATATCATATCACACTTTTAGTGCCGTGATTCTCGACACGAGTGACATCAACACTCTAAGCTAGGTAGTTAGTTAGCTGGCTCTTGTAAAAGAAGAAATCATGCTGTGTTGTCGAGTTTGTATCTACCTAACCTACTAACCTACAAGAATGGTTGGGCACTGTACAATAGATCCTTAACGAGAGCGGTTTAGAAAGAAAGATTACTCAACGCTTCATCACTTGACCATTAGTATTTCATTGTATGAAAACGCATTACAAATATGATACAAAGCATCCATGTTAGTAGTCGCCTGCGGCCTACCTAGGTAGATAGTGCGTGCCCTCTAGTTATAGAACTCATATTCTTGTTACCATGCCCTTGAGACTCGGACTTACGTTACCTAGGTAGTTAAGATTTAGGTTACGAGACGAGCTTCACAAAGACGAATGCTATATTTCTGCGCCAAAAGCGTGAATTACTAATACACATGGAGGACTCCCATCCCATCGAGGCGACCGTATCCGTACCGCCTGCTAGGCATAATCATAATACAAGTCTGCCCCGTTTCTACCTACATACCTACCTTAATCAACCAACCAAGCTAGTTAGTCAGTGAGTGGGCTCATGTCTAAATAGCAATCAACGAGCAAACGCCTTCTTCCGCCTTCTTCCTATTCCTATCCCTAGCAATCAATCAATCAATCAATCAATCAATCAGCCTACCTACCACCAGCCTACCACCAGCCAACGGAAGTTCCCAACCAACTGTACCTGCTACTAACCTACTATATGTGGTAAATTGACGAAGCCTTAGATTGAGGCAGACGTAGGCTAGGCTAGGCTTGATAGATGGATAGACGGATAGGATGGATAGATAGATAGATAGATAGAAACACGCAATACGTGAGTCCACAGTGGCGAATCTCTACTACGCCACAGCCGCACCCACAGAAAACAAGGCGTCAGAGGGCGTCGTCGAGTGCGTGATACCAACCCTCCCTGTTCCACCAGTCACTCCCCCCTTTAGCATTAGTTATTAGTAGCTAATTATTGTACGGACTGACCTCCGCGTATGCTTATATCGTATCTATACTGTTACTGTATTGTATTGTATGTGTGTGGAAAATGTAAAGCTGGGGCGTGCGTAGGGACGCAAACTCATACCTACCTTGTAACTACCTAACCTAGATGACTTTAGTAGATGCGTAGTGTAGGTAGTTAATTGCTTCGGTAAGTAAGTAGGTAGGTAGGTACCTAGGCAAAGAAAAAAAAAGGGGGCAGCAAACAGGCACCCCATCGTCACGCGGCGAAGAGTGACTAATACGCCCTCCTCATCACCACCACCACTACAAATTTCCGATTTCAATCACATGTCCCCCCTCCACTCCGCGTAGTCGCGACAACGGGGGGCGCGGGGCCATGGGGGGGAAAGAGAAAAACACATATTTGTATTTTCTTGGATGTAGCGAATAGCGAATAGGTGTGGATGGGTTAAGTACCTACCTACCTACTTAGTACTTACTACCTAGGTAGGTAGGTACCCAGCATGTATAGGTATGTAAGTGTGTAGGTTAGGTATGTATGCACTTTAGGTAACCGACTGACCTACATGTAGGGACCTTACCTACCTACCCACTTGCCTACCTACAATCTCAAAGCTGCACATCATATTAAAACATACCTTATAGGCTTATACCTTACTTTAGTGTATGTGTACCCCAGGTTATCGACGCACGTCCGGCTAACAGGGATACTAACTATCGAGAACAAACTTTGCTTCGTCGATGACTTTTTGAAGATCAGGTTCCCGCGGATGCTGGATGGTACGGCCCGGAATCGAGTTTCCAATTTTATCTAGGACACTAGGGACACATCTAGGTTAGTAGCATCTTAAGGATGAGGAGCCTATATGAGGGACCGTGTCCTAGATTTCAGGGGGTTGTTGTATGCATAGGTAGGTAGGTAGGTAGGTAGTCGTTTTGCAGGTATCAGGGAATTTCATGAGACGAGACTTTGTGATGAATTCCTAATGGTTGCTTTGGCAAGGCTCAAAAGAGAAAGTGTTGTTCAGGCTGATACTCTTTATTGGATACTGGGTGAGTAGTATAGTCTGCCTGACTACTCGTGTTCACTTACCTAGGTACCTACCCACCCATCTTTTATTGGATGGATATCTCTTACCTGTGACATTATAGTCTGCTTGTATAGAGCTGAAGCCAGGCCGTAATACTTGGATGCCGATATACATATAGTGCCACTATGTTGTCATATGTCTCTCACGGTCCTTGACATATGTCGATTTTCTGTGTCTTTCTTGGATGATCTCCCATTATATCCTCTAAATAGGCAGGTAGAGTAGCAGTCCATTGTCCCCGGTGAGCTTCTATAGAAACCTACTTCCTTGAATAATGACTTTTTTCCTTTCTCCCACCCTACCGAGGGTTCATTATCCTCAACTGCGGGCGGCATCTGCAAGTTATGATGTGATATTTTTGATGTTGCCAGGGAGGTTATTTGTGTTAAGAGTGCCCGGTGTGGGTGTGGATGCCGCTAGGGCAATGCGCAGGTATACTAGACTAAATAGTATTATCTGGGATTCTGTATAGGAGAGGTAGGCAGGGTAGGTGCTTGACCTGAATACTTCATCTTTGAGACTCAAGAAATCTAGGCTTACCGACGCGACGGACTTACAGTACTGCATCTGAAAACCGAGACTATCGGATGTGACCATGACATATTTTGTGGAGAGAACGGTTTCCTTTGAAGACCTTAGAATGCGATCCTTTATAAATAAAGATGAAGGCATTCGGTGGAGCCGCCACGGTAGATAGATATAAGCGAAAACTGGATAGAACGCGTCCTGCACGAACGACGGGTGGAAGCGCTTGCGTGTGTCTCATCGTATCCCTGATGCATGTGCGTGGTTGATGGAGGGCTGCTGTGGGGATAGTGCATCATGAGATAGTCTCATAGTTAAGCCAATCTAGAGAGGGTGGGTAGGGGTGCAAGAAGGGGAATCTCGCAGATCATAGGATCTCGACGGTCTTGACAGTCGATCAGGTTGTATCCTTGCAGGACTCAACCCCTGTACGGATGGTCGGGAGACGAGGATAATCCGTTGCACTGCAGCGGAGAGAAAAGGGTGTGCCCAGGGAGTTTTAAGCATAAGACAACGGCGTCATGGGATATAGGTGCATATTTGGGTGAGACATACGAAAGTGGAAACAGATTAACATGATCTCTCGGTGAAATGATAGGTTGAAGATGGGATGGGGGGAGGGGGGGGGGAGCTCTATTACCCATCAGGGTGACTTTGTAGCTTCACAGTCTCTTGATGTTTAGTTTAGATCTGGCCTAACTATCCTGCCTAGATGGACAATGTAAAATGAAGGGCCGGAGGCAATGCGGAGACAATGCGGAGGCTGCTCCGAAGTGTGTTTGAATGAGATAGGTAACTACCTAGAACTAACCTACATAGCTGCTCAGATAAACTTGGAAGTGTGTATAATTCGAGGTCTGGTCTGAGAGAAAATACTACATACATACAGTATGTATGGCGGCAGAGCGGGATGCCGTACGGGGAAAGATGCATTGGAGCAGTTGACAGGGTTTAAGGATGGGGTGGGGGGGAGCTTCATGTACAATACATACTGTACAATACATACAACTGATCAAAGTGGTGATGGCAGTTCATTGGTAATTCGCTTGGTGGGAAACGGTGTGGCCACACCGCGGACGTTTTGGGAATAGTGTATGACTCTATATTTACTTACAGCGTAGGCACACAGCTGAATTCATACATGTGTGTAGTAATGTAGTAATGCACCTACTTACCTAGGTAGGTACTTAGGTAGATGCCTACATGTAGGCGCGTGGACTATATCGAGCTATCTCGGGAATAACCTCGTCCTTCAGGTCATGGGATGTGGAAAATAAGAACAAGGCTGACGATTGCCCTTGGAGCCACTATATCTAGGTATTAGTGCTGGTTTCTTAGACGGCCGAGCTCATCCATATAAAAGATGTCTCACCTCTGCTATGCTAGGTAAGTAATAAGCGACTTATTCTAGCGCTTATATCTTCAACCCTGTGAGTGAAGGCCCGAGTGTATTGTAGTAATTGTACTATTGTGCCAACTTGTGAGAGAACAAGCGTGGACAAAAAAGTGGAAGCCTCTAGTTATTGATCTTTGTACAGCCCGGCGAGAACTAGGAAGGTCAATCTAGTGTGTGGAGTCTCATTCGCAAATATTCCGCGATGTATAATAACGTTGCTCTACTACAAGAGTTCAGAAGGGCGAGCTAGGTTGAGAAAACTTGGAGGGTGAGCGACCTGAAGCCAAGAACATTTGACGCGACGGGAACAGCGGAGTTAATAACTAGAGGTATGTATGTAAAACTTGAAAAGGAAGAACCCCACGATAACTTCACTGTAAGGGTGCTTTTCAGCTCAGATTGTGGCCAAGTTTTGAGACATTGTTGCTTAGATGCAAGGCGGAAAGTGGAATATGACGGAAT